TTTCTCCGACATTCACTTGTATAACACCTCTCCATTGCTTGTACTGCCTAAAGGCCAAATATCCAAGCCCCTGTGCACATTGTGTTTATAAATAACTTAAACAGTGTGCTTAATATAACTTCCATGTTCCATGTGAAATGTGTTTTAATTTGGAAGAAGACAAGAGGCCCAGAGGGCCTGTATCACTCACCTGGATCTTTATGACCAACATTATTATATCTGTGCATATGTTCCATGTTTAACACATTTGACCCCTGTGACCTTGATTATGGGTCAAGGTCATTTTTTTTACTTTCTTTGACTTCATAAAAGGAACATACTGGCCAAATATAATGATTCTAAGCTTTTCTATATTTCCAAAGAAATTTTTTAAACGTTTTAACACGTTTGACTCCTGTGACCTTGAAGATTGGTCAAGGTTATTTCTTTTTGCAAATTTTGTTGGGCTTCATCAAAGGAACCTTCCAGCCAAATATGATCACTCTGCGCCTTTCGGTATTTCAGAAGAAGTTGTTTAAATGAAAAGTTGACGGATGCCAGACGGAAGGACTTTGGGCCAGTTGAGCTAAAATCAGAATTTTACTATGGAAAAATAATGCAAATTTCAGCAATATTACTAGGCATATAGGAGGAAATGATTCAATAGACTCCATATCATAAAGATAGATCAGTGAAGTGAGAATCATTTTTACAGGTTTTAATGAAGGTAAAGATGCAATTGTAGGGGTGAATGTATTAATACAGTACAGAGTAAGTAATTTGTTACCATGACAGTGTCGTTCTGCTCACATATAGATATTTTGTCTCTACGTGATGATATATTTACCAAAATTGTAAATGATTATACATGTTTATATTTGAGGCTCAGCCACATTTCTCTGTTCTCCCGAGTTTTTAGACAGGTGTTCAGAAATAAATTCCTCCTCTGAAGATGTAGGTTTCGGTTGAAAATAATGACATTTCAGCATTTTTTTAGCATTTTTCGAATTGATTTACCATGGTTTGTTATGTAGTGTATGAACATATATATATATATATATATATATATATATATATGTTTCAGGGTGTGTTTATCATAACCAGTCTGCAATACCTATATATCTCAAACATGTCCCATAATTTCTGGAAAGTTTTTCCTGCTACAACAGTGTAAGAATTGGAGGTGATGTGACAATGAATGTTAATGTAGGTCACGTGACATTGGAGGTTAATGAAGGTCGTGTGACAATAGATATCATGTATGAATAGAGATCATGTGACAATGCAGGTAAATAAAGGTCATGTAACAATGCAGGTTTTCTGACAATGGAGGTAGTGTTATAGTGTAGGTTATGTGACAATGGTGGTCAATGATGGTGATGAAACAATGCAGGTTATGTGACATTGGAGGTTTTGTGACAAAGGTAGTTATGTGAGAATGAAGGTAATGTGACAATAGTGGTGATGTGACAATGGAGGTTATGTGACAATGGTGGTGATGAGACCATGGAGGTCATGTGACAAAGGTAGTTATGTGAGAATGAAGGTTATGTGACAATGGTGGTGATGTGACAATGGAGGTTATTTAACAATGGTGGTGATGTGACAATGGAGGTTATGCGACAATGAAGGTTATGTAACAATGGTGGTTATGTGACAGAAGAGGTTATGTCACAATGAAGGTAATATGGCAATGAAGGTTGTATGACAATGGTGGTGATGTGACAATGGAGGTTATGTAACAATGGTGTTGATGAGACAATGGTGTTGATGAGACAATAGTGTTGATGAGACAATGGTGGTTAGGTGACAATGGAGGTTATGTAACAATAGTGATGATGTGACAATGGTGATGATGAGACAATAGTGATGATGAGACAATAGTGATGATGAGACAATGAAGTTTTATGTGACAATGAATGTTATGTGACCATGGTGGTTAGGTGACAATGGAGGTCAATGGTGGTGATGAGACAATGGATGTTATGTGACAATGAGGTTTATTTGACAATGAAGGTAATGTGACGATGGAGGTTATGTGACAATTAAAGTTAAGGGTGTTGCGACAATGAAATTCAGGCCAATGCAAATCACCAAAACAGTAGTGAAATATTGCTCCTCAACTAATAACAAACAAGATTAAAGATTCATTGGTTTTATTCATGACTCAGTAAAATAATGCGGTGAACAAGAGAGTTCTTCAGTACATATAACATCCTGGCAATTACACAGTTTTATTTTCTTGCTACAGCCCTGTGTGTGATAATAATCTGGCATTCTTATCAATCAGACTTTGAGAATAGTTCTCTTCTGATTTTAAACAGACTGCAAAGTTCAAAAGTAACTTGTCTTTGAAGTAAATTTTGTATGTAATTTTGAACAAATACTTCACAAATGAAAATATCAAAATTTTAAAGTGTTGATACTTTTCAATAATAATGAATCCATGCTTCATTCAATCCATGTATACATCATATAAAAATGAAATCTGTTATCACATATTTGCTTTAAAAGTATACTATTATCACATATGCCAGTAAACATGTGTTTCCTCCATGGTAAACTATCATTGATTTACACTTCAACTTGCACACTGAAGTTATCACCTTATAAATACAGGGATCTGATATTAATGTAAGAAAGGCCGACCCACACATACTTAACAATTAAATAGTCCTATTTCAGACTATCTTGTTTATACTGTATTATACAAAAGAATCTTTAAAGTGCTAATTAAACATTATCACTCAATGTTTAATACAATCATTTGAATTTTAAATACAATTTCTTTTTAGTTTCTAATATAAAGAAACAATTTCTTTTGAAATTAAAACTTGTTGAAATGTACAGTTTGAATATATTTAAAAATCAATATCATGATTGGATTTTGACCGGTAAACTAGGTAAAACAACATGCTGAAGAGCATTGAAAATGCTCTTAGCATAAAAATGAAGATGTTTCTCATGCTACATCAAATCTATAAGAAAGGCTTCTTCATAAACTTCTAAAAATTTAGAAAAGCTTGAATTACAATGTGTTTCCTGAAGACTGAATTGGATCAGGGGTTTTTGAGAAGAAGTTTACGAACGCATGATGCACGACCCACGACGCACAACGCATGACACACGACGTCAGATGAAAGGTATTAGAATAGGTCACCATGAGACTTTGTCTCAGGTGACCCAATAACCTTGTGATATTTAACACAGGATACAAATGAGCCTGGTTAGCAGCACCGTTTATAGAAATAGTCTACCAAACCCAGAAAAAAACCCAAAGTGTTCCTTCTGCTGGTACAAGATATGCTAGTCATTGGTTGAATGAGCATTCTGCAACAAGAAAGGGAAGGAAAGTGATGTTTAATGTCTGATCAACACATTAAGGTCATTTACAGACAGTACCAGTTGTATAATGGTGGATGAAACTTTAGTAAACCACAAGTGTCAATGGTGACAACACTCTGTGATGATCTGTAAATAAAACTCATGTGTTTCATGACCTCGCACTTTGGTAATTTTGGTTGATGTAACATGTCGTGCTTCCAGAAAAATAAAAATTAACGATTTAAACCAAGGATACCAGTACACCAGTATGGGACGTCAGTACCAAGTTTTTTATGAGTACCTGTCCATCACATGTTTGTGACTGAAACAAATCGTCTAGAACTGTTATTTGCAACCACATACAGGATGATTTTAAGATTGAATTAAAAATAACATTCTCGTGAATTTGATTAATCATACCCTTTAATAGGAATCACAATAACTTTTCTGATTGCTTCGGAAGAATGGCTTCATGTAACTTACATGAAATAATATGGGATTATAAAAATTTTGTCAGCATGCATGGGCCTTCGCTAATATTTAACAGTACAGACACAGAAGGTGATATTGTTAAGTACACAGTACATAACGTCAGGCACTATATCTGTGCGGAGACAATCTTTGAAGGCTCCTAAGGCCAAAAGAGTTTGATAATTGCTGTTTTACCTTTTTGAAACACGTCGATTGAAAAAGAGCATTATCTGTGTATAATTCATTTGCAAACTTATATTAAATGTTTCACTGATGATCTTGATATATTGCCTTCCGTTGTCTCTTATATCAGTGAACTTTAGTCAACATAAGAGTAACCATATCCATGAACCATGAACCCTTCTATGAAGTTTGAAGTTGATCTGTTGAAAACTAATCAAGATATCAAGCAGACACTGTTTTGATGATTGAAAAAAGGGCCATAACTCTTCTTATAGTCGGAAAAATTTGGTCATCGAATGTGTCTAAGTGATCATGGTTATGAACCTTCCTATCAAGTTTGAAAATGATCTTTTGAAAACAAACTGAGAAATTGAACAGACACTGTTTTGGTAATTGAAAAGGGGGCCACAACTCAATGAATTACAGTTCAAAAATTACAAGTGATCAAAATTGTGCAAGCTATCATGGTAATGAAACCTTTCTTTGAAGTTTGAGGTTGATCCTTTGAAGACCACTTGCAATATTGAGCAAACACTCTGTAATTAAATAAAGGGCCATATCTCAGTACATTTTGGTCCAAAAATTGTGGTCATTGAACTAGGCGAGCAATCACGGTAATGAACCATTCCAGAAAGTTTGAAGTTGATCTGTTGATAACTATTTGTGATAAGGGGCCATAAATATGTGGAATATGCTTAAAAATTATGGTGATCAAAATTTTCAGAGCTGTCACAGTAATGAACCTCCCTATGAAGTTTGAAGCTGATCTGTTGAGAACTTCTCAAGTTATCGAGCTGACACCATATGTGTCCGCCCACCCACTAACATAATAACATAATAAGACCCGCCTTCATCAGGCATATAAAAGGCAAAAAACTATCATAAGCAATTTTGAAATGTGTTGGAAATTCAAACTTATCCTTTCAAAATTATCATGATTTTCAATGTTACATATATCTCCAAAAAATTATATAAAATGTGTAAATGGTAAAAATGATTGCATATTCAAAATCAAAACTCATTTTATTGAGATTTTTGTGATGATGAATAGTATATGCTTATAATTTTAACAATACTTATATATACAATATAACAGCATGATTTATTTAAGATAATACATGAGACATCTATAAAGCAGCATCGTTTCACACTCTCCTGTAACCAACCACTGTAATACCTTGATATACAATGATATATCAGAGTTTTTCAGTCCTCATCATCCTTTGCCTTTGGTTTCTTTGGAGATTTGTTCTGAATTTTGTTCCAAGTCTCTGCTGTCCTTGTATCTGCCTTTGTGATGGAGCTGAAGTCAAGTTTCAGAAGATTTGGAAACATTGACACCACATACTGTTTGTAGTTCTGAAAGAAAAAAAAAGTTCATATACAATTATACCCCATGAATTCACCTCAAATTGATTAATCTTGAAGGTTGTATTCTGTTTGGTTGGTTGACAGATTTTCGTCTCCGTGACTCGTCTCACCGATGTGTTGTTGTATGTATCTACATTATCATTTATGGTGGTATGTTTAATTACTTTGGTTTTAAGTTAAATTTGGCGAGTGTAGGGTAGTGATCTGATCCTCATGTGCCATTGCTAGTAGTCCATGTGTTAAGTGTGGTAGCTCTTTACAATGATGCTAATGTGAGATCTAGATGTGATGTTTTTCCAGTTATCATATCAACCTTTGTTGCCAATTCAGGGTTGTTAAGAATAATGGTGTTATTATCAGATATCCAATATTCTATAAGATCTCTTTTGTTTTATTGTTACCCTATAAGGTGCTTGATGGATTTAACACCCAAGATATTATGGAATTATGATATTTACTGTTTTCTCTGCAGCATCAGTCAGCTGTTATGAACATGAGAACCCAATTAACAATGAACAGTTTTGATTGTCCCACTAAGCTTTTGATGTTTGATCATTAATAAAGCCTTACCTTTTCCTTCTCAACTGGGTTTCCATGCAAAGTTAACCTTCTAAGATTTTTCAGTCTCTGCAGTTTTTCTATCTCCTTTAAATCTTTTATTTGGTTGCCATGAAGGTAAAGGATCTGCAAATTTTCTAAGTCTAGCAGCACCTAAAAAGATTTATAAGTACATGTCATGATGAAATATATAGTCAGCAACCATAGACAGGTCAGGCAATACATCAAAAGGAGGCTCAATCATGACTAAACTGCCTTCACTGATTCCTTTTATAAAGGAATGGACTTATTTGTGATCAAGCAAATGGTTCAGCTGATACAGCAGTCCTATCACCAAAATAACCAGCAAACTGTACATAATGCTCTGTGATAAATATGAAACTTGTCTAATGTTCAGAGTGACCTTTGACCTTTTACTTTCACAGATGACTACCAAAAGCTAGGAGACATAGATATTGATGCTATGGTGTTGTTGGGAACTAAAACTGTTCATGAGATTTCTTAATAGTAGACAAACTTATTATTTCAAAAGTAGTGGAGTGTGACCTTTGACCTTTTAACCTTGACCGATGACCACCAAAATCTTATTAGGTATAGAAGTTGATATTACATCAATATGGTGTGAATATGAACAGATTATTGCTTGGTTTCTGAGTAACAGTTTAGATATATCTCCTTGTCTTCTGCCTTTGCCTATGTGAATCACCTATGAGATCTGAACCAAAATTCTATATCCGAGGGTTACTTGAATATCTAGCAAACAATTGTAGTTCTAAAAATATTGCACAATTTCAATGTGAAATACATGGAAATTTTTCCATAATAATTTTAATATTGAGCAGTAAGCAATGAGTGGTAACTACCATTTTAATAATCTGGTAAATCTCAGCCAGGATACAGAACAGGAAGCCTTTCACATAGGGGGAGTAAAGGAAGCAGGTAAGAATTCTTATTTCCTGCAGGGTAGTCCTCTTTGAGGGGGGGGGGGGGGGGGGGGGGGGGGAGAGGGTGGCGGCATATACAAGGTATGTATTGATAGAAACATTATTCAAATTATGATTTGTTTTTTAACAATGTTTGTCCACAACATGATAATGAACAGAAGTTAGTGTTGTGTTGTTTACACCAAGTGAAGAAGTGGGGGGTGGGGGGGGGGGGGGGGGGGGGCATCGTGAGCATTTCTCAGAGGGTTATAATTGATTTTAGTTAATCAACATTTTGCTCCATCTGTCTCATGGTTTGCTGCACCAGCATTCAAGCTATTAGGACACCTCTAGTTTTGTAAGTATATTTGAGATGTTCTTCCTCTTTATTATGTCATACCTTAGTGGAAACCAGTACCTACAGTGTGAGAAATTAGTGACCTCCCTGGGATCAGCTGGTTAGATAATGTGAGAAAAATATTTCCATCCTGAAGTACTCACAGGATCAATGATGGTGAGTTCATTAAAAGACAGGTCAAGCCATTGTACTTTGAGGGGTTCAACATTGTGAGCAAACAGGGTCTCCTTGAGTCCTGAAATATCTGTCAAATTGTTGTTGTTAAAGCGCACAGATTTAGTCGGAGATTTCTTATTCTCCTTTTCAGGAAATTTTGACTTCCTTGGTGTTGCCCTTGGTTCCTCTTCTTTTGCTTCTGTGAAAAATAAACAGAAATTTATTAACTTAGATCACAGTCATCATAATTTTGAGCAAAAACTATACAGAACAAGAATCTGCACATAAAAATGAACTAAAAGTAAAAATGACCTAATTGTGAACACAGAATTGACTAGACTTCCTCACTAATAGCTTCAAGCTGTGTGGATTGTCTGGTTTCTGTTTTTCATTTGATGCCATATTAAGAATTTTCAAACTTTGGAATTTGGCTAATTCACTTAATCAGCTATCAATAGTTTGTCACATCATGCATTAATATGTCAGTGAGACAGTAGGAGGTGCCTGTGAATTACTTTGAATCATTTTTAGGGGTAGGGATATTGATGACTTTGAGTAAGATCACCTTCTTGATTATAAGTTTTCTATTTCACTTCATTTTTGTAGATACTTTCAATAAAATCACATGTTGTTTGTTGATTTGATTTGTCTTGTCTTTAGAAATTTTGTCAAATTAGTGGTGATAAAGTATAGATGGCAAGGCTTATAATTCGTCACAGAATTCTTGTTTCAAAGAAACTTGAAATTTTCAACAAGGAAAGCATTGCAGAATTTAGATTTTAGGAAAATGTTTTGGTTCAGAGTTCTAATAGATGAATAGTGCATACCTATCAACATATAAAGCAACCTTTCCTGGGGAAGTGTCTACAGATCCTGAAATTAGGTTTAGAACATTATCAGCTTTTTTCAACATTACCTTAGCTGTTAACAATACTAAGAGAAGTACCTTTTGCAGACAGAGAAAAATGAAGTACAAACCTTCTACATGGCCATATCTGCAGAAAGAAAAGTTAATACTTTTAGACATCTCATTCATGTTATCTACAGCAGAAGAGGTATTGTTCTTTCTCTTGGTGATGGCACCAGAGCCTTGAAATGGAACAATGCTGCAAAACAAAAAAAGCACAAAAACTTAGATTTCATACACAAGGATAACACAGAACCATAGGTTTGTGTGGCATTCCTTGTTGAAAATCTGAAAAAAATATTAATAAAAGAGAATTTGGAAGGATTTGAAGTATTATTAACAGCACCAAAATGACTCAAATATTGATCACCATGTATCAGTCTGTTTTAAATGTGATTTGAAACTGCAAGTCTCAAGTGATAATTGCAAAAGAGATCTGATATGCTTTCAACAGTGACATATAAGATTCTACGTTAATTGTAAAATGAATATATCAACTCATTTTTTCTGACAAATAGTTTCTAGCACATTTGCACAATTGGCTGGCAATCTCATGAAAGTAAAGTAACTTTTCAGTAGGTTTAAAACAACAATCTTGCAGGATTTTGTAATGGCAGCCATAATCAAAATGTGTTTGAAACTTGGGTTGTAGGAAAAAATATAGCCAATGACTGCCAATGGCTTTGACATATTTATGTAAGTTACGAGAAATGTTTTTACCTTTTCATGGATATATTGTTCATAGACATAGCACCTTTGTAAATCATTTAAAACACCCAAGTGCCCAGCCATGCACAGGTCACTACCAGGTAAATTTAGGATTTTTTTTCACACAGGGAGGATTTCTAACTATTTACTACAAAGGATAAAAATAAATTTGCAGAGTTATTGTTCCATTGTTTGGGGTAACAATGCCAAAAAGAATATTGTAAAACTAGGTGTCTGCAGAAGAGAGTAGCAAGAATAATTCTAAACTGTGATTTCTCTACACCTTCATGTGATATGTTAAAGCACCTCAATTGGTTGCCTTTTTGTTAATGAATTTTATAAGCTTATTAGCTTTGCTATAACAGTAAAAACATGGAATAATCCTACAGAAGACATTGTATCTGCTCCAAATGCAAATACTTTTAAAAACAAACTGGATAAGTTTTGGAAAAATCAAGATATTGTATATAAATAAAGAGCTACTGTAAACTAACCGGAAAATGAACTTTAACCACATTAATATAATTTTTGAGTCTGGTGAAGAGGAACACGGTGTGTTCCTGTACCGGAAACACTACTATACTATACAATCAAGCTGTTTCAGTGTACAAGGTGCTTAATAATTTAGCTCCACGAAGTTTGGATTGTTTTTCTTATTTGTCTGGTGTTCAAAGTAGATCTACAATATCTTCGTTCTTACATGTTTTTAACTTGCCATCTCGCAAAACAAACATTTTTAGAAAGTCGTACATTGATCTTACATTGAACCTTTTACCCAACGATGCGAGAAATTCTAATTCTCTTTAAGCTTTTAAGAAATCTGGAAAGACATGTTATGTGGAATGATATCTCCTTATCCCTGTTGCTGTATTTTACTTTCCTGTGAAATGTTTTCGTAATTTAAATTGTAAATATTGTATATCATCTTCTTGGTCATATGTAAGACGAGCATATTGCTCATAATGTTATCAAGAATAAATAAAGTCAAATTATTATTATAGTTTTTCGGCATTGTATTACCTTAATCCCGACATGTTTTCGTCAACGGTTGTTCTTATCACCAATATGTCGATGGATCTCTAAACCAAAGATGCAGGATGTATGTATATCTACATATTTGATTGTGAATATTCCTTTAACAGATGTCGTAGTTCAACAATACGGACATTACGCCATCATGGTTTTTCGTTGCTATGTGTTATTCGATCGCTAATATCAGAAACCGGTGCTGGTGGCGACCTATTCCGGATCAATGTTTTTAGGCGATTTTGTTATGACATTAGATTTGAATGATTTTTTATTAGTCTTGCGTATGGTATTTTGTCCTTAAAATGAAAAAAAGTATGTTAGGTTGTTATCTTTTTAAAGAATTTGTTTATTTGTATTAAAGCCTCTCTATTTATGAATATCCGGATATTGACAACAGCATACGAATTATTAGTTTGTATATCTATGCAACCAATCAAAAGCCCTTTTACAAACATACGCGCTGTGTTCCGAATATTCGAACTCCGAACGTAAATCAATGAAAGTTGCAGGCAAATAGATTGACCATGCGGACAAAACAAATACAGAAGGGGACAGTAATGAAATCTCCCTTAGGAAAAAGCATAAGGAAATTTGTATTTGTTTCATTTGTCTCTTCAATTGGATTGGCAGCGATACTATTCGGGTAAATGCAGCACTTGTTGACTCTGAGAGACTTCAAGCTGTCAGCTAATTTTGACGCATTTTGTACTTTTAACTCGTTGTTATCTGGTTGCGCAGTATAAAAAAGAATGCCAAACTTAAGTGGTACATTACATTGTGTCAATACTTATTTAAAATAATTTGGAAAGTATTCAAAGTGAATCGCTCTGCGTCCGTGGTCCGTCCGTCTGTAAACAATGTTTTGTCATCGCTATTTCTTGAGAAGTACTGGATGGACCTTACGAAAATTGCCTTTAAAGGTTACCCTTGGTCCCTAGTTGTGCCAGTTTAATTTTGGGTCTGATCAGAAAAGCAAAATGGCCGACAGACCACCATCTTGGATTTTGCCTTTGAAAGTTTATCTTTATTTCTTGAGAAGTGATTGATGGATCTTTTTAAAATGTTATTTGTGGGTTCCCCTTGGTCCCTTCTTGTGTCAGTCTGATTTTGGGACTGCTCAGAAAAACAAAATGGTAGACAGACGGATATCTTAAATTTTAACTTTTAAAGATTATTATCACTATTTTTGCAAATGTCTTATCATTAAGAGCAAAAACAGGGAAGAGAAAAGAAGGGAAAAGATTCAACTTTCAAAGAGCATATAAAGATCAAATAATGGTGGCACCAAGATCCTTCTGGGATCTCTTGTTTTTTGTTTCGTTGCAAGGTCTACGCAAATACACTAGAATATACTCAAATATACAATGTATATACATACTTAAATAGACCTAAATCTACTCAAATTTCCTCCTTTTGTGCATAATGCAGTCATTATGTTTAAATGTAATGAACATTCATGTTGTCATTAGATAAAATGTGATTGGTGGAAATTACTGGATTTATTTTCTATTTCTATTTAATTTCTTGTACAGTTCTGACCTAGCTGTTAAGTGTTTGGGACAGAAGAAGAAAACATGATTGATTGTTTCCACGTTATTACAGAACTCACAATTTTGTGATTTGTGTTTCAACATAGTATATATAATATTTTTAAATCTTAAATTTGTTTTACCTTATCTTGATATCTTGATCTTGTGATAATTTTATCTTCTGATTTACTGTGGCTGTTTAATTTTGTCTTTTTAAAAGGTTTTTCTATTATTTGTCTCAAGTTGTTTGAATTACTCTGATCTCTCCAAATTCTATCCAATATTTAGATCATCTGACCTGAAGGGTCAAGATAACCAATAGCCATCGTGTTTCGTTTGTCTTTACAACCCTACTCTTCTTTTATACCAGGACGGATTTCTACCAAATCTGATTTTCTGCATCATTGGGTGAGAGTAATCATTTCTTAAATTCAGATTTTTGATTCTGGGTTAAGGGAGGGGGCCCAAAAGGGGAAGATGCTGAAACTAGATTAAAAAACCCTACCCCTCTTTTATGCCTGGGTGGATTTTAACAAGCTGTGGTCTGATTCATCATTTAGGGTAGGCAGTTATTTCTTAAATTCAGAAGTTTGATTCAACCCTTAGGGACTAAAGGACAGGGGCTCAAAAGGGAAAATAAGACAATATTTTGCTTAATAACACTACTGCTTTTTAATAGTTGAAGCAATACAAGCAGACTTCGAGATTTGAGAATCATTTCTGATCTTCAGAAAGTTGATTGGACCTGTAGGGAATTGGGGGCAGAAGTTAGACAAGATTGTGCTTGAAAATGCTTCCTTTGTTAATGCTTGAGTGGATTTCAACCAAATTTAGACAAAAACATCACTGAAGGTAGGGAATCATTTCTTAAATACAGAAAGTTGATTTTACCCCTAGTGAATAGGAATGACCTTGATCTGTTTGAAAGGTCACAGGGATCAAATGTGTTAAAATCTTTAAATGACTTCTTCTCAATAACCATAAGGCCAAGGACGATAATATTAGGCCTTTAGTATGCTAGGATAAAGGGCTACCAAGTTTGTTAATATAAGGATCTTGATATTGGGCGTGTGGCTTGCTTTTCCAACAAGCAATAGTTTTGGGGTAATGACAATTATGTAGTGCATGTATATAAAGAATATGATTTCTAGTTTGTAGAAAATGTCTTGATGAACAAACAGTGTCTTCTATGTAAGCTGTAGAGTAATTGAACAATTATTTAAGGCCTATTTTGCCTCAATGTCATTTATGTTATGATTCAGTGTTTTCTTCATTAGTTTGTCAGCTCTTTTGTTGCCAGGAATATCACCAGGGGATGGAATATATACAGTGGAACTTCTCCAAAGTGACCCTGCATGGGACATGAATATTTGGCGGGTTAAGGGAGGGTTTGGTTTGTAGAAGTGAAGCAAGTTAACCAATCCATACTCTAATATAATTGAACAGATTCCATTCTGTACATTACATAAACCATTCAGCATTTATACTGCACACGTCCAACTGAATACAGAGAAATAAGTTTAATACAGTAAAGATATTAGAAAAAGTGAAAATGTGAAAAAGCAGTAATACTTGTATTCTATATGTGGCTTTAGTCTAAAAGGATTCTGCGCATTGCCTGGTGATCTCGGAAGTAATTTACCGTTATGTAGTTATGGCCTGACTTAGCGGTGGTCAAATGGTCAGCTTGTCTGCAAGTGTTACCAACCAATATATTTGATGAATGTATGTTTTGTTGATCAGTATAAAATCTTTAACTTCTACAACAACACTCATTTGACATTTCCATTCTCTATTTTTCAAAAATAACATTATTTAATTATTCACAATTTAGATGCGAATCTGTAACTATCTAACTCTGCATCAACACTCATTGTCACTTTATCTGTAGCGGTTTCTGAATTCAGTGAAATGATATGGTTTCATTTTGTCATTGGACATACATTATGTTTATTATAATCCTTTTGATCAGGAAAGGTATTGTATACAAAGCCTAACCATGGCAAAGCTTACAACTGTCACCTCAGGTGTAGTAACAGTACGCTTATCAGAACTTGATTTGGTTTTGATAAGGATTGGTTTGTGGGAGTTGTTTTGTACTAGTTCTACTGTGATACCCAGTTCATCTTATAGTTGTAGAGAACATAGAATCAAATTTAGAATGACTTGAGCTATTTCTGGTGTCTATAAATTGTAGTGCCAAAAGACTGTCTGAGAAGATGACTGTCCTGTTTGGTTTGGATTGATCTATCAATCTTAACGCTAAACCTGTAGCTGTGAGTTTACTGTAATAAACTGAACTGAACTGAAACATTTTGTTTGATATGTTTATGTTGTTGTTAGAGGCACAAACTCCTAGACCTACACTATTTGTTCATGGAATTTCAGAACCATCAATGTAGTATCTAATATAAACATTGTGATTTATCTTCTATGGTTGCTATGGATGTAATTTTGGTTTCTGTTGGGTTTAAGTTTTTGTCGGATGATGTATGAATTTTTTAATTAATTTCGGGTTTACTGGGAATCCAAGGCATTAAGGGCAGGGTTTTGAAACTTTTTTTCCAAATTTAGTCTGAAGCGTTCTTTGAAGAAGGATAATCAACTTCATACAGATGGTGGGTCTCTGCCCGCTGGGGCGGAAGGGGCCAACTAGAGTAAATAGAGCAAATTCTTTAAAATCCTACTCCTTCTGCAGAACTGATTGGGTATTGTCCAAATTTGGCCTGAGGCATTTTTAGGTCATCTGACCCGAAGGGTCCGATGACCTATAGTCATCATGCTTCGTCCGTCGTCGTCCGCCGTGCGCCGTCCGTAAACTTTTCATTCAAACGACTTCTTCTCAATAATTGGAAGGCCCAGGCAACTAATATTTGGCCTGTAGCTTGCTTTGATGAAGCCCTACCAAGTTTGTTATAAAGAATGACCTTGACCTTCATTCAAGGTCACAGGGGTCAAATGTCTTAAAATCTTCAAACGACTTCTTCTCAATAACTGGAGGGCCCAGGCAACTAATATTTAGCCTGTAGCTTGCTTTGATGAAACCCTACCAAGTTTGTTCAAATGAATGACCTTGACCTTCATTCAAGGTCACAGGGGTCAAATGTCTTTAAATCTTCAAAGGACTTCTTCTCAGTAATCAAAAGGCCCAGGCAACTAAAATAAGGCCTGTAGCATGCTGGGATGAAGGACTACCAAGTTTGTTCAAATGAATGACCTTGACCCACTTTAAAGGTCACAGGGGTCAAATATGTTAAAATCTTCAAACAACTTCTTCTCAATAACCAAAAGGCTCAGATTGCTGATATTGTGCCTGTGGCATGCTGGGATGAAGGGCTATCAAGTTTGTTTAAATGAATGACCTTGAACAACTTTCAAGGTCACAGGGGTCAAATATGTCAAAATCTTTAAATAACTTCTTCTCAAATACTAGAAGGCCTAGGGGGCTAATACTTGGCCCATAGCATGCTGGCATGGAGCCCTACAAAGTTTGTTCAAATGAATGACCTTGGCCCACTTTCAAGGTCACAGGGGTCAAATATGTTAAAATATACAAAGGACATCATCTCAATAAGCAAAAGTCTATGAGTGCCGATATTGGGTCTGTAGCATGCTGGGAGGAAAGGCTACCAAGTTTATTTAAATGAATGACCTTGAACAACTTTCAAGGTCGCAGGGGTCAAATATGTCAAAATCTTTAAATAACTTCTTCTCAAATACTAGAAGGCCTAGGGGGCTAATACTTGGCCCATAGCATGCTGGCATGGAGCCCTACAAAGTTTGTTCAAATGAATGACCTTGGCCCACTTTCAAGGTCACAGGGGTCAAATATGTTAAAATATACAAAGGACTTCATCTCAATAAGCAAAAGTCTATGAGTGCCGATATTGGGTCTGTAGCATGCTGGGAGGAAAGGCTACCAAGTTTATTCAAATGAATGACCTCAACCCACTTTCAAGGTCACAGGGGTCAAATATGTTAAAATATACAAACGACTTCTTCTCAACAAGCAAAAGTCCATGAGTGCTGATATTGGGCCTGTAAGATGCTTGGAGGAGAGGCTACCAAGTTTGTTCAAATGAATGACCTCAACCCACTTTCTAGGTTTGGCTTGCTTTTTGTCAGATGACCGTTAAGGCCCATGGGCCTCTTGTTTGTGTGAAGGGGTATTAATTTTTGATAAACGGTGGGTCTCTGCCCCCTTGGGCAAGAGTGGTAGGGCCAAGAAAGGGGAATAGAGAAAATTCTTTAAAATCATGTGTTGTCAGAATGATTGGATTTTTGCCCCAAATTGGTCGGAGCACTCGGATGAAGAGAAATGAATTATGTATAAAAAATGGGTCTCTGCCCCCAAGGGCAAGGATGGCAGGGCCAAGGAGGGGAAATAGAGGAAATTCTAAAAATTCTTACTTCTCCAGTTGGAATGATTTGGTCTGAAATATGAATGGTTTTGCTTACCTGGGGACAGAAGGTTGGGGTCTCATAGGAAAATAGATATGTTGTGTGATTAGATATTAAGAATTCCTTTAATGAGGCAAGTCCAAGAAGGAATTTCTTGTCTCTGTCTAGGTCTCTGTACAGGGTAGCACTAATTAATCATTCAGATATAAATGATTTTCTTGCTGGATTCAGTGCCTTGTAGGCTCAGTCAGCTGAACTAGTCCTATAATGGAGATATTGCATCCTCCAAACCTTGCATTGCATAAAAGAGCTCAAATATTGCAGTCGTATTTTGTACAGGGTGTTTTAGAACAGATAAAGACAATTTTTATTTTCTGTGGTCAAAAGTGGCAAAAGTAAATAACATTGAGAACTACTTCACAGGTTTCCATATTAATTAATAATATGCCTTGATTTTTTACAGCTCCTTTGGTACTTACTTTGAGAGTCGTAAAGTAAGAAGAGAAGAAGAAACTCTTGCGGAAAAGTTTGCTTCCAGTCAGGCTGCTGGCAGATGGGAACATTTAAAGTATGGAGTTAAAAAATACAAGGAGGAAGAACAATAAGGATTATTCTGTGTGACTGATGAGCTGTGAGAACTTTCTTGGACTGATGTTGTACAGATAATGCTATCAGTTATAAACATGTGAGGACTAATTAGCAATTCAGAAGTATGACAATATAGCAAATTATGTGAGAGATAATGAACAACCTCAGAAGTGTGACAATATAACAAGTACTGTAGGTACTGTGAACTGGTATTTATTTCTGTGCTAACTTTATTGACGTGGCTGTGAAACAAAAATACCTTAGTGATAATGTAATGGAAAAATTGCATGCTTGTTTTGTAAAGATATTTTTTGTTTGGAAGTAAACTGTTTGTTGACTTTTTAAAAGCTATCTATCATTTATAATAATAGCCAAAGGCCTGCGCAGTTATGTAGGGGTGTGCATTTCATGAAAAGTTGATCAACAATTTTACTTCATAACAATAATTCAACATTATGTCCAAAGAGGTGAGAAAGAAATCTAACTCAAAGCTTGCTCTTAAAAAGAAGGGAAGGGGAAATTGTGAAGATGCCAAGACAGTGTTAATACAAAATGTAGATCTGAATGAAACATGTGAGTTTCAGCAACTGAGGCCTAGAAATGCCACTGCTGTATTTCCTCTTCCAAGTTCTAGTATTGAAAAGATGACACATCAGCAGGACACTGAGGAATGCCAAGGACGGAAAAGACATAGAAAAGTAAATGATCTGCTCAATTCTGCAAGCAATGTCCTTTCAAAAGAAAAGATTGATGATGAAGAAGAAGAAAAGGTGGATGTAGATGATCTTGATAAGAGTGAAGGTAACAAACTTGAGGACACCGGAGAAGAACTAAGTAAAGCTGACAGAGGTAGATGTCTTGCCTGTGGCTTGTTCTTTCCACAAACAGATTTGAAGACTCACATACAGAAATGCCTTCAGTCCAAGTTTAAGAGATCCTCCAAGACAGGTTAGTCACCCAGTCAGTGACAGGTCAGTTACCCATTCACTGACAGATCAATTACTCAGTGACAAGTCAATCACTCAGTCACTGACAAGTTAGTTGCCCAGACAGTAACATGTCAATCTCCAAATCAAGACAGGTCAATCACTCAGTCTGTGACAGGTTAGTTGCTCAGACAGTGACATGTCAATTACCCATTCATTGATAAGTCAGTCACTCAGTAATTGACAGGTTAGTCACCCAATCAGTGACAGGTCAATCATTCAGTCAGTGATGGGTAAGTTACCTAGTTGGTGACAGGTTAGTCATCCAGTCAGTGACAGGTCAGTGACCCAATCAGTGACAGGTCAGTCATTTATCAGTGACAGGTCAATCACTCAGTCAGTTACAGGTAAGTCACCTAGTTGGTGACAGGCTAGTCATCCAGTCAGTGACAGGTAAATTACTCTGTCAGTTACAGGTGAGATGCCCAATCAGTGATAGGTAAGTCATCCAGTTAGTGTCAGGTTAGTGTTAGGTTAGTGACCTGGTCAGCTACAAGTGACTAACTAGGTGATTACTAGATATATAAGTATACTCATCTTGGCAGACATTGTAAACATATAATTGATATTGTACCAGTTGATTACTAGATATGAAGTCTGTTGGGACAGTATATGTGCCTGTGTCTATTTAGCTCTTTTATGAGCCAAATAGCTTACAATATGTATGACCTTATACTCATATAGTTGTAGTATACAACATGTCTTTTGAGGGAATTTTATGAAGTTTGGATAGAATTTTGTCTTATTGAGTGAATTGATCCCTTCAATATTTCAGAAATACAGAAGGAAAGAAATGATGAACTATTACAGGAAGGAAATACTGAAGAGAGCTACTTATGTCAGTTCTGTAGGAGGGATTTAACTCGTCTCAACTCGAAACTCAAAACGCAGCACCTTAACAGGTGTATGGATCAGGTATACAGAATCATCACTGTTCAACCATTTAATGTTCATACCGTTTAACTATCTCAGAATGTACAGTATTGTCCTACCATTTCAAATTCTCAGGGAGGAAAAGTTAGGTTAAGTGCATAGTGCTGTCATTTAACTCTTGAGTTGCTATCCATGTAAAATTAAGTTTTGCAGGTGAACTGCTATTCCCTCCATGCTGGAACTCCTGTCTGGCGCAAGTTATTATGTAAAAATGGACACAGCTGGCAACAAAACCATTGCATTATTAACAAGTTCATAATCTGATCTTGGAACACATAGTAAATGAAAATTCACTCAAAGTCGTTCATACAAGATTTGGTTGATGTTGTGAGAATGCATTGTTTTCCCCGAAAGGGTGGTATTTTTAGATAAAAAAAATGTTTTCAAAAGCGGAGTGTATTACGTCACATATCCGAGATTTCCATGCAGTAAATGGCAGGCATGTACATCAATTTGTTGACGCAAATTTACACATGTTAATACGGTATGTTGATCTTCTTGATGCGATTTGCGATCATAGTTAGGAATCATAAAAGTCTATTGGTTAAAGATTTATTGACCAGCGTAAGATAGCTTCTGAATCACATATAATAACAAATTTGATAACGCATTGGAAAATTAACTGTAGGAGAGGTGTGACGTCAGCGAAACGGCGTTGTCAGCTGATCAAGTTCTGTACTGTCTGACTGGAATTTTGTGTTGTTGAATAAAATTTATCACATTTTAATATTATGAAATGTATGAAACTCTGAGATTTAAGACTTTTGTCATATTTTCTCATGAAATATTATTGTGACATTGCATATATCATGGGTATGCTGCAATTATATCGGTTCAGTGTCAGAATTCGTTTGTCATATCAAATATAAACAACATGGCAGATAGTCAGAATTTGTCAGACGACTTTTTCAATGTTTTACCGGAATTTCAGGATGTATTTGAAGAAATTTTTAAGGACAATGACAGTGGTAAGTTTGAGGGATATGATCTTAATGAAATTGACGAGAATGACTAGCTGTACAATGCTTTCGCTGAAGAATATTGGAGGCAGGGTATAAAGACACTGTCTACTTTCACTTTCATGTCTCGAGCAGAAGTCAATTTAAAAGATATAAATAACCCTATGACTAACCTGGATTATTTCAAAGAGTTTTTCTCAGAAGCCATAACTTCAACAATTTTTGAAGAAACAAACTGCTATGTAGAAGACTTTTTGGACAATCACAGAAATCACCCTGCTCATTCATTTTTGAAAAAATGGTGTCCAGTCATGAACAACATGAAAGCATTTCATGCAGTGGCTCTTGCCATTGGGTTAGTGACACAGGCCAACATCTAAGATTGCTAGTCAACAGGTCCTGTAGTAAGTACTCCTTTTTACGCAAGTGATGTCCAGGGATTAAACTTTGAATATAATGAGCTTTATGAATCTCTCTGACAACAACAGTAGAGACAGGATAACTATTCATCTCACCAGGAACTTGAACGTCCCTATCGTGACATCATAAACAACTTAGAGAGAGTTTATATACCACACCAGTAGTTGGTAGTCGATGAGGGCATGATACCATGGTATACAGTCCAGATAAACCAACAAAATACAGAATCAGAGTATTTCTGTGGTGTGACTCAACAAATGGTTACTGCTCGAGGCTAGCACTAATTATTGGAAGAGAGAATGCATTCTCAGGAGTGGAAAAGTTGGACCATATAGCACAGTCCTATCTTTAATTAGCATTCTCAGATTGGAAAAGTTGGACCATATAGCACAGTCTAACCATTTGAGAAGTATTTCAGTACAGTTTATTTCCTCAAGTCTAAATAAAAAAATCACTGTTAGTGGTGCTTCAGAACAGGACAGATCAAGTCTCCTTCGGTCAGGATTCATGTAATGCTACAATACAGACCATCAGACTGTTAAACAGTGCTACAATATACACCACCTCCTTGAGTCCCACTCTGGAGATTCAGAATTTTAATAGTGCTGCAATATACACTATCTCCTTGGGTCTCACTCTGGAAATCAGACTGTTTAATAGTGCTGCAATATACACTATCTCCTTGAGTCTCACTCTGGAGATCAGACCTGTAAGTAGTACCTTATTACACCATCTCCATGGGTCTCACTCTGGAGATCAGACTGTTTAATAGTGCTGCAATATACACTATCTCCATGGGTCTCACTCTGGAGATTCAGAATGTTTGTTAGTACTACACTTCACACCATCTCCATGGGTCTCACTCTGAAGATTCAGGCTGTTTGTTAGTGCTACAGTTCATACCATCTCCATGGGTCTCACTCTGGAGATTCAGACTGTTTAGTAGTGCTACAGTTCACACCATCTCCATTGGTCTCACTCTGGAGATTCAGACTGTTTAATAGTGCTACAGTTCACACCATCTCCATGGGTCTCACTCTGGAGATTCAGACTGTTTAGTAGTGCTGCAATATACACTATCTCCATGGGTCTCACTCTGGAGATTCATACTGTTTAGTAGTGCTACAGTTTACACCGTCTCCATGGGTCTCACTCTGGAGATTCAGACTGTTTGTTAGTACTACAGTTCATACCATCTCCATGGGTCTCACTCTGGAGATTCAGACTGTTTAGTAGTGCTACACTTCACACCATCTCCATGGGTCTCACTCTGGAGATTCAGACTGTTTAGTAGTGCTACAGTTCACACCATTTCCTCAAGTCGTACTCTTGAGATTCAGTTTGTTTTGTAGTGCTATCTCCTTGAGTCTCACTCATTCAGTCTTTAGGTGTCCATCCTTCTGTCCGATTTCAAAATTAGGTCTCCATCCTTCTGTCCGATGTCAACATTAGGTGTCAATTCTTCTGTCCGATGTCAACATTAGGTGTCCATTCCTCAGTCTGATGTCAACATTAGGTGTCCATTGCTCCGTCTGATGTCAACATTAGCTGTCCATCCTTCTGTCCAATGTCAACATTAGGTGTCCATTGCTCAGTCTGATGTCAACATTAGATGTCCATTCCTCAGTCTGATGTCAACATTAAGTGTCCATTCCTCAGTCTGATGTCAACATTAGGTGTCCATTCCTCAGTCTGATGTCAACATTATGTGTCCATTCCTCAGTCTGATGTCAACATTAGGTGTCCATCCTTCTGTCCGATGTCAACATTATGTGTCCATTCCTCAGTCCGATGTCAACATTAGGTGTCCATTCCTCAGTCCGATGTCAACATTATGTGTCCATTCCTCAGTCTGATGTCAACATTAGGTGTCCATTCCTCAGTCTGATGTCAACATTAGGTGTCCATTCCTCAGTCTGATGTCCACATTATGTGTCCATTCCTCAGTCTGATGTCCACATTAGGTGTCCATTCCTCAGTCTGATGTCAACATTAGGTGTCCATTCCTCAGTCTGATGTCAACATTAGGTGTCCATCCTTCTGTCCGATGTCAACATTATGTGTCCATTCCTCAGTCTGATGTCCACATTAGGTGTCCATTCCTCAGTCTGATGTCAACATTAGGTGTCCATTCCTCAGTCTGATGTCAACATTAGGTGTCCATTCTTCTCAGTCCGATGTCAACATTATGTGTCCATTCCTCAGTCTGATGTCCACATTAGGTGTCCATTCCTCAGTCTGATGTCAACATTAGGTGTCCATTCCTCAGTCTGATGTCAACATTAGGTGTCCATTCCTCAGTCTGATGTCAACATTAGGTGTCCATTCCTCAGTCTGATGTCAACATTAGGTGTCCATTCCTCAGTCCGATGTCAACATTAGGTGTCCATCCTTCTGTCCGATGTCAACATTATGTGTCCATTCCTCAGTCTGATGTCAACATTAGGTGTCCATTCCTCAGTCTGATGTCAACATTAGGTGTCCATCCTTCTGTCCGATGTCAACATTATGTGTCCATTCCTCAGTCTGATGTCAACATTATGTGTCCATTCCTCAGTCTGATGTCAACATTAGGTGTCCATTCCTCAGTCTGATGTCAACATTAGGTGTCCATTCCTCAGTCTGATGTCAACATTAGGTGTCCATTCCTCAGTCTGATGTCAACATTAGGTGTCCATTCCTCAGTCTGATGTCAACATTAGGTGTCCATTACTCAGTCTGATGTCAACATTATGTGTCCATTACTCAGTCTGATGTCAACATTAGGTGTCCATTCCTAGGTGTCCATTGTCCATTCCTCAGTCTGATGTCAACATTAGGTGTCCATTCCTCAGTCTGATGTCAACATTAGGTGTCCATTCCTCAGTCTGATGTCAACATTAGGTGTCCATCCTTCTGTCCGATGTCAACATTATGTGTCCATTCCTCAGTCTGATGTCAACATTATGTGTGTCTGATGTCAACATTATGTGTCATTCCTCAGTCTGATGTCAACATTAAGGTGTCCATTCCTTAGTCTGATGTCAACATAGGTGTCCATTCCTCAGTCTGATGTCAACATTAGTGTCCATTCCTAAGTCTGATGTCAACATTAGGTTCCATTGCTCAGTCTGATGTCCACATTATGTGTCCATTCCTCAGTCTGATGTCAACATTAGGTGTCCATTCCTCAGTCTGATGTCAACATTAGGTGTCCATTCCTTCTTGTCAACATTAGGTGTCCAATGATGTCAACATTAGGTGTCCATCCTTCTGTCCGATGTCAACATTATGTGTCCATTCCTTCTTTCACATTAATGTTAACATTAGTGTCCATTCCTCTGACATCAACAGTAGGTGTCCACTCTTCTGTCAGATGTCAAAATTAGGTGTCCATCCTTCTTTCCAATGTTAACATTAGGTGTCCATCATTCTGTTAGTTGTCAACATTACTTGTCTATCCTTCTGTCCTAAGTTAACACTGGGCTTCACCTTTGTTTTTGCTACAGCTCATACAGCACTCATACAAAATGACCTACTTTCCATAGTTTTGTTTGTATCTTGATCTGAGAATTGTATGTATAATATACAGACTGTATAGGGATTCCATTCCTAATGTTACAAGACTCTGTCAATGTTATTTGTCATTTTCACAGGAGGAGAAAAAGAAAAAAGAAGAGGAGAAAGAATTAAGCTTGGAGAGAGAAATGAAATCTGTTCTTTCTTGTCCATTGTGTGGGAAACCTTCCAAAACAGAAAAGGTTATATCAACAATATCTTTATTTTTCACTTGATATTAGTTCCCTATAAATAGAGAGTCACTGGAATAAAACAGAAATTTTAACTAAAAGATTTATTTTAACTTGCAAGCTTTCTTTTCTGCTTATACTCATTCTCACATGTGTTGTCTCCCAGTTACACTCATGTTTTCTCTCTCCTATTTAAACTCACAGTCACATGCATCAACCCACATTTATGCTCAAAATCACATACTTCCACCACTATTTACACTCAAAAACACATTCTTCCACCCCCATTTACACTCAAAATCACATACTTTCACCCTCAATTACGCTCTCAATCACATACTTCCACCCCCCTTTACAATCAAAATCACATACTTCCACCCCTATTTACACTCAAAAACACATTCTTCAACCCCCATTTACACACAAAATCACATACTTCCATTTACACTAAAAATCACATACTTCACCCCCATTTACACTCAAAATCACATAATTCCACCCCCATTTACACTCAAAATCACATACTTCCACCCCCATTTACACTCAAAAACACATTCTTCCACCCCCATTTACACTCAAAATCACATAATTCCACCCCAATTTACACTCAAAATCACATACTTTCACCCTCAATTACGCTCTCAATCACATACTTCCACCCCCCTTTACAATCAAAATCACATACTTCCACCCCTATTTACACTCAAAAACACATTCTTCAACCCCCATTTACACACAAAATCACATACTTCCACCCCGCTTTACGCTAAAAGTCACATACTTCACCCCCATTTACACTCAAAATCACATAATTCCACCCCCATTTACGCTCAAAATCACATACTTCCACCCCCATTTACACTCAAAAACACATACTTCCACCCCCATTTACACTCAAAATCACATACTTTCACCCTCAATTCCACCCCCATTTCTCTCAATCACATACTTCCATCCCCATTTACACTCAAAATCACATACTTCCACCCATTTACACTCAAAAACACATTCTTCAACCCCCATTTACACACAAAATCACATACTTCCACCCCGCTTTACGCTAAAAGTCACATACTTCCACCCCCATTTACACTCAAAATCACATATTTCCACCCCCATTTACGCTCTAAATCACATACTTCCACTCTCATTTACACTCAAAATCACATTCTTCACCCCTCTTTACACTCAAAATCACATTCTTCCACCCCCATTTACACTCAAAATCACATACTTCCACCCCCCTCAATTACGCTCAAAATCACATACTAAAAATCACATACCCACCCCCATTTACACTCAAAATCACATACTTCCACCCCCATTTACACTCAAAAACACATACTTCCACCCCCATTTACACTAAAAATCACATACCTCACCCCCATTTACACTCAAAATCACATACTTCCACCCCCATTTACACTCAAAATCACATACTTCCACCCCCATTTACACTAAAAAACACATACTTCCACCCCAATTTACTCTCAAAATCACATACTTCCACCCCCCTTTACGCTAAAAGTCACATACTTCCACCCCATTTACACTCAAAATCACATACTTCCACCCCCATTTACACTCAAAATCACATACTTCCACCCCCATTTACACTCAAAATCACATACTTCCACCCCCATTTACACTCAAAATCACATACTTCCACCCCCATTTACACTCAAAAACACATTCTTCAACCCCCATTTAGACTCAAAATTACACACTTCATCCCCATTTACACTCAACATCACATACTTCCACCCCCATTTACACTCAAAATCACATAATTCCACCCCCATTTACACTCAAAATCACATACTTCCACCCCCATTTACACTCAAAATCACATACTTCCACCCCCATTTACACTCAAAATCACATACTTCCACCCCCATTTACACTCAAAATCACATACTTCCACCCCCATTTACACTCAAAATCACATACTTCACCCCCAGTTACGCTCAAAATCACATACTTCCACTCCCATTTACACTCAAAATCACATACTTCCACCCCTTTTTACACTCAAAATCACATACTTCCACCCCCAGTTACGATCAAAATCACATGCTTTCTGTCCCATTTACTCTCACCCCACATTCTTTCTTTTCCATTTACACATACTCTCATGCTTTCTGTCCCAGTTATACTTGCTGTCACATGCTTTCCTATTTACACTCATTCTCATATGCTTTCTGGCTCATTTACATTCACAATCAAATGTTGTCTCTACCATTTACACCCACAGTCACATACATGTGTCCTGTTTTTAATTTCAGGCAAGAAAGGTTCACCTCAAAAAGTGTGCATCTGCTAATGGAATTGCAACTAACCAAATTCTCAAGCTTGTGAAGGACCAGGAGCAGGAACACAAATTGAAGCTGGCAGCAGGAATTATTCCTAAAGGGTAGACAAAATGAATATTATTTTTAGCTCACCTGGCCAGACAGATTCTAGTGAGAATGGTGCAGGCCCCTTGGACCTCTTGTTAATTAATATTAATTGTTATTACTCAATTTCAAAGACTTTCAAACACTTGCACCACTGCATTCATTATGTTCCAAATGTCAGAGTTACATATAAGAAGAAACAATTAAAGCATGCCTAAAAAGATTACAACCAAATTTCATCAGTAGCATTCTTGGAAAAGAGAATGGAAGGACAAGACTCATGTCTACCCTCAGGTTTGTGGGGCCATATTCAGAAAATTCCTTAATCTTGTTTGGATGAAGGAATCCTAACCCGATTTTCCCTTAAAACATGTATAATGTATGCTTGGGTGAAAGGAGATTCAATTTTGTATATGGATCAAGGGGACTCTGTATTGTGACCTGTTATAAGTATGTTTCCAATATATTTCTTTTTGTTTGTACTTCAGAGAGGTCAAGAATTTAAGTAGAATGAGCACAGCCAACACAAAGAGTAAAAAAGTCAAGGAACCAAAAAAGTAAGTTATAAAAAAGGGGTGTGGTTTGTTAGGGTTCCAAAAAAACAATTGAAAGGAGCAATGCTAAGGGCTTCAACTTTTGGTAGTTTTATCACCCTTGGATGTTAACTTTATAAGGGTTTATACATATGGGACTAAAAACTTTTTGAAGACTTGTTTTAGGGAAGAAACATTTTAAAGGTTTATTGTATTATTTAAAAGCTTTAAATTTTTTAAAGTTTATCATGCTGGAGAGAGGTTATTATCATGAGAATAGCTTTTCTTCTGGATTGTGTATCATTTGAAAGATTAAACACTCCAAAGGTTTATTATCTTGGAAGGAAGTTTAAGGTAGACATAGTTTGCTGTGATGTCTAGTGTTAGGTAGCCACAGTTGACTATGATGTCTAGTGTTAGGTAGCCACAGTTGACTGTGATGCCTGAAATATTTCAGACCACTCTTAGCAGAAGAATATAAAGCATCTTAGCCTGACATAAAATTACTTATTTCAGTCAGTTTGATGAAGACACACAGCTGGCCTTGGCAATTTCATCCTCTCTTGATGTCAGTGAGAATGAAACTGATTTGATTGCTCAGACACTTAGTGCTGAGAGTGCAGTAGCCTGGAACATGCAGACTAGTGTTAGTGGAATGAAAAGAAAAAAGTGCAGAAAGAGGTAGGATTTCTCATGGCTTAAATATCACAAGGGCATCATGTCTGTGTGGTTTATTTATCTTATAGTTAACATTATGATAACCAACACCACACTTACACACAGAAAACATGTATATCTACCAGTTATCTGTCACATCTGACTACACTACAGTCACACACAGAAAACATGTATATCTACCAATTATCTGTCACATCTGACTACACTACAGTCACACACAGAAAACATCTATCTCTACCAATTATCTGTCACATGTGACTACACTACAGTCACATACAGAAAACATGTATATCTACCAATTATCTGTCACATGTGACTACACTACAGTCACATACAGAAAATATGTATATCTACCAATTATCTGTCACATGTGACTACACTACAGTCACACACAGAAAACGTGTATATCTACCAATTATCAGTTATATCTGACTACACTACAGTTACACACAGAAAACACGTATATCTACCTATTATCTGTCACATCTGACTACACTACAGTCACACACAGAAAACATGTATATCTACCAATTATCTGTCACATCTGACAACACTACAGTCACACACAGAAAACACGTATATCTACCAATTATCTGTCACATCTGACAACACTACAGTCACACACAGAAAACACGTATATCTACCTATTATCTGTCACATCTGAATACACTACAGTCACACACAGAAAACATGTATATCTACCAATTATCTGTCACATCTGACTACACTACAGTCACACACAGAAAACATGTATATCTACCAAGTATCTGTCACATCTGAATACACTACAGTCACACACAGAAAACATCTATCTCTACCAGTTATCTGTCACATCTGACAACACTACAGTCACACAGAAAACATGTATATCTACCAAGTATCTGTCACATCTGAATACACTACAGTCACACACAGAAAACATGTATATCTACCAAGTATCTGTCACATCTGAATACACTACAGTCACACACAGAAAACATCTATCTCTACCAATTATCTGTCACATCTGACAACACTACAGTCACACACAGAAAACATCTATCTCTACCAGTTATCTGTCACATCTGACAACACTACAGTCACACACAGAAAACATGTATATCTACCAGTTATCTGTCACATCTGACTACACTACAGTCACACACAGAAAACATGTATATCTACCAGTTATCTGTCACATCTGACAACACTACAGTCACACACAGAAAACATGTATATCTACCAGTTATCTGTCACATCTGACAACACTACAGTCACACACAGAAAACATGTATATCTACCTATTATCTGTCACATCTGACTACACTTCAGTCACACACAGAAAACATGTATATCTACCTATTATCTGTCACATCTGACAACACTACAGTCACACACAGAAAACATGTATATCTACCTATTATCTGTCACATCTGACAACACTACAGTCACACACAGAAAACATGTAAATCTACCAATAATAGTCTAAGTTGTCATATGTAACCTTTGTAGGGATGCAATAAATAAGGTCACATATGACAGGTGGTTTCTTATCACAGATTCTGTGAAAAACAAAAAAAAACATATCCAACTAATTACAACAATGACTTCCCCTACACTCACACGTTCTACTTCAGCTTTAATCTGTATGTTGCCAGGGTGGTGATAGCCGAGTGGTTGATGTCCCTGAAAATTGTTACCACAAGCCCTCCACCTCTAGGTCATGAGTTTGAGACCTATGTGGGGCAGTTGCCAAGTACTAGCAGCAGGTCTGTGGTTTTTTGCTTAGAACTCTATCTTTCAGCCACTAACCAAACCTGGTACATCCTTAAATTGCCCTGGCTGTTAATAGGATGTAAAATAACAATAAACCAAACCATGTATGTTGTTATTGTAGGGAGTCAGAAGGATTACCATTGGTCCTGGCTTTGTCAGCAGATGAGAAACAGAGACGATGTGAACTAAAAGTCAGCAGTTTGTTGGTTTCTGAGGTAAATGATATTAAAAAAGGTTTTCATGATCTTATATGACCTTTGCTGTTGTTTTACCCCATCATTAGTAGATACTTTCATCATACGACCTTAGCTGTTGTTTGACCCCATCATTAGTAGATACTGTCATCATACGACCTTAGCTGTTGTTTGACCCCATCATTAAGTAGTCACTGTCTTATATGACCTTAGCTGTTGTTTGGCCCCATCATTAAGTAGTCACTGTCTCATATGACCTTAGCTGTTGTTTGACCCCACCATTAGTAGACACTGTCTCATATGACCTTAGCTGTTGTTTGACCCCACCATCAGTAGACACTGTCATCATATGACCTTAGTTGTTTTGATTATGTTAATCATGGCAACAAAAAAGCAAATCTTGCTTTTTGAATGTAGCTGATGACTATATCTCAAATTTTTCTTCAATCAGACAAACTGTACTAATGAGGAGGAAGAAGATGATCTCAAATATATGCCATCCATGATTGACAGTGAACTACAAAACTTACAGGTGAGTTGTCCCTTTGTACACTACCAGTGAATGGTCACTCTGATCATTACAAGTATGTTGAACATCATATATGAGTTGTCACACTGAACACTACAGGTGAGTTGTCATGCTGAACACTACAAGTGAGTTGTTACACTGAACACTACAGGTGAGTTGTCACACTGAACACTACAGGTGAGTTGTCACACTGAACACTACATGTGAGTTGTCACACTGAACACTACATGCGAGTTGTCACACTGAACACTACAGGTGAGTTGTCACACTGAACACTACAGGTGAGTTGTCACACTGAACACTACAGGTGAGTTGTCACACTGAACACTACAGGTGAGTTGTCACACTGAACACTACAGGTGAGTTGTCACACTGAACACTACAGGTGAGTTGTTACACTGAACACTACAGGTGAGTTGTCCCTTTGGACACTACCAGTGAATGGTCACTCTGATCATTACAAGTGTGTTGAACATCATATATGAGTTGTCACACTGAACACTACAGGTGAGTTGTCACGCTGAACACTACAGAAGAGTTGTCACACTGAACACTACAGGTGAGTTGTCACACTGAACACTACAGGTGAGTTGTCACACTGAACACTACAGGTGAGTTGTCACTCTGAACACTACAAGCTAGTCTTTATATATCTGTGTTGACTTGTTTCGGGAGACCAGTCTGTATACATATGAGGTGACTTGTTTCAGGATACCCCTCGCCTATGGACCAGTCTTTATAGATCTTTGTTGACTTGTTTCAGGTTACCCCATATCTTTGGAATTGCTCATGTCTTGGAAACAGAAATTCAAAGAGAGTAGATGATTTCTATGTACCTAGCCTGATGCCTCCTATAAAAATGTCTAAAGCAGTTGTGGGAACAAAGATCAGGAATATGTCTGAAATTCCAGGACGGAGGAAATCAGAGTTGCCAAGCAACCAAGATAAGCTGGTTCATAATAAGGAAATGGTGTGTATGGTTAGCATGGGGCCAGATAGAGATTTACAAGGGATCTCTTGAGGCTCCTTCATGGTTGTCTCAGAGATCTACTGAGGATCCACCATGGTTGTCTCAGAGATCTACTGAGGATCCTTCATGGTTGTCTCAGAGATCTACTGAGGCTCCTTCATGGATGTCTCAGAGATCTACTGAGGCTCCTTCATGGTTGTCTCAGAGATCTACTGAGGCTCCTTCATGGTTGTCTCAGAGATCTACTGAGGATCCTTCATGGTTGTCTCAGAGATCTACTGAGGATCCTTCATGGTTGTCTCAGATAGAGTTCTACTGAGGATCCACCATGGTTGTCTCAGAGATCTACTGAGGATCCACCATGGTTGTCTCAGAGATCTACTGAGGATTCACCATGGTTGTCTCAGATAGAGTTCTACTGAGGCTCCTTCATGGTTGTCTCAGAGATCTACTGAGGATCCACCATGGTTGTCTCAGAGATCTACTGAGGAGACACCATGGTTGTCTCAGAGTTCTACTGAGGATCCACCATGGTTGTCTCAGAGATCTACTGAGGCTCCTACATGGTTGTCTCAGAGATCTACTGAGGAGACACCATGGTTGTCTCAGAGTTCTACTGAGGATCCACCATGGTTGTCTCAGAGATCTACTGAGGCTCCTTCATGGTTGTCTCAGATAGAGTTCTACTGAGGCTCCTTCATGGTTGTCTCAGAGATCTACTGAGGATCCACCATGGTTGTCTCAGAGATCTACTGAGGATCCACCATGGTTGTCTCAGAGATCTACTGAGGATCCTTCATGGTTGTCTCAGAGATCTACTGAGGATCCTTCATGGTTGTCTAAGAGATATACTGAGTATCCTGAGGATCCACCATGGTTGTCTCAGAGATCTACTGAGGATCCACCATGGTTGTCTCAGATAGAGTTCTACTGAGGATCCTTCATGGTTGTCTCAGAGATCTACTGAGGATCCACCATGGTTGTCTCAGAGATCTACTGAGGCTCCTTCATGGTTGTCTCAGAGATCTACTGAGGATCCACCATGGTTGTCTCAGAGATCTACTGAGGATCCACCATGGTTGTCTCAGAGATCTACTGAGGATCCACCATGGTTGTCTCAGAGATCTACTGAGGATCCACCATGGTTGTCTCTGAGATCTACTGAGGATCCACCATGGTTGTCTCAGAGTTCTACTGAGGATCCATCATGGTTGTCTCAGAGTTCTACTGAGGCTCCTTCATGGTTGTCTCAGAGATCTACTGAGGATCCATCATGGTTGTCTCAGAGTTCTACTGAGGATTCACCATGGTTGTCTCAGATAGAGTTCTTCTGAGGATCCACCATGGTTGTCTCAGAGATCTACTGAGGATCCACCATGGTTGTCTCAGAGATATACTGAGAATCCATCATGGTTGTCTCAGAGTTCTACTGAGGCTCCTTCATGGTTGTCTCAGATAGAGATCTACTGAGGCTCCTTCATGGTTGTCTCAGATAGAGTTCTACTGAGGCTCCTTCATGATTGTCTCGGATAGAGATCTTCTGGATATCTACAATGATATGCCCAGGGCTTGCACTGTCAGTTTCCATCAGCGCCAATTGCGAAGCTGAAAACTCTTTTAGTTTAAAAATTGCATTGGGAGAAAGTATGAAATTGCCAAAATATAGTGATATTTCAATGTCCCAGTGACTAAAATCGCCAGTCATGAGCATGTCAAGACCTACCCACCCAGACACCTTGGCACTGACTTTATTATGTATGCAAAGGGGTGTAATGATCTCACAATCCGCCTTAACCTCAGGCATGAGGCTTATGTCACACATAAGAAGGGCTACAGGTGGATGGCGGTGCCTAGGTGGTTGTCTGTCTGTACCCTCAGGTGATCACTGTACTCACTCACAGTTAATTATCATTATCCTTGGATTATTATTAGGACCATCACTTCAAAAACAAACACTGATTATAGCTGTCATCAATTTCTTGCATGAAGGTGATCTTTGGTTTATGAAAAAGCATAGGCAGTTGCTGACCGCTTATGTTAAAGAGGAAATACACATAATAAAAAAACCCAGAAATCAGTATGAAAAATCCTAATTTTTAGCAGAGATCATAAAGAATGTTTAAAAAATCAACCAGCAATTGTGTCCTGTGAAAAGGTAACCAGTTTTCTGAAAATTCAGATTTTGGCTAATCAAAATTTAGAGTCAGAGCTAGCCCTGTACAGTGTCTCATCTAGAGATCTCTTGAGATTCCACCATGATTTGTCTCACCTAGTTATCTTCTGAAAATCCACATGTCGATCTCAGAAAGAGATCTTATGAGGATCCACACAAATATATGTATCGGGAATCTTCCAGAGATGGACCATGATGCGCTCAGACAGAGGTTTACAGAGGATTCAAGAAGATGTCAGATTTTGCCTTTGTATAATCTTTGTGATATTGTTTGGACAGAATGATGGTGCTTTTGAGAAGGAAGACTTGATGGCAACTACTCAGACAGCTGTAGTGTTAGCTGAACTGGCAGCCAGTGGGGAAGTGAGGGATGAAGTGTTAGACACTACTGTCCACTGCAGTGGCTTTTGTCCAGAGAGAACTATTGAGATTAAGGTTAGTTTTATCATTACATATGAAGTTGTCAGTGTTTATAGGGAAATGTACAGAAAAATTAGTTACATGGATATGATGTGATGTTAGATAGTCATTGTCTGTGTTTATAGGGAAATGTACAGAAAAATTAGTTACATGGATATGATGTGATGTTAGATAGTAATTGTCTGTGTTTATCAGGAAAGGTACTGAAAACTATAGTTACATGGATGATATGATGATAATCAGTATTTGTCGATGTTCATTAGGAAAAGAACAGAAAATTACTGGTATGTTTATGATAAAACAGAAATTGCTTTGACATGTTTAACGCTAGAGTACTACCCAAAGTGAGGCAGCGAGAGGTCTGCAGACCACTATGTCAGGCTTGGTGAATAACCCAACAGGAAGTGATGTTACCATTATTGTGATGAACCAGGAGGAAATATGTGCCCATAGTGTGATTTTATCCTGCAGATGTCCTACTCTTCTTCAGGTGAGGTCAAGCTTCTGAAACTGCAATTTCCACAGCTTTGTCTTGGATTTTAAGGGAAGGATGATGACAAAGTTTTGATATTTTTGCCATTTTGGATTGGTGGTTGTGGTTTACATGAAGAAAATATGTTTTAAACTCTTGTAATTCCTGTTAGTTCAATGTATTGTATACATTTATAACTCATATAAGGTAATTATGTCCCTGCCATTGTTATGGTAATTTATTATTAATGTTTGTAAGTTCTGTTATGGTAATTTATTATTAATGTTTGTAAGTTCTGTTATGGTAATTTATTATTAATGTTTGTAAGTTCTGTTATGGTAATTTATTATTAATGTTTGTAAGTTCTGTTGTGGTAATTTATCATAAACATTTGTAATTCCTGTTATGGGAATTTATTATTAACATTTGTGACTACTTTGTTTGTTAACTGAGATGGTTCTCAGGGCCCTTGACACTGATATTTTGTCTAAAGAGTAGAGCTGCACTGTTTGTTCCAAGAATTACTTTGACCCATTCTCAAGGCCACAAGTTTTTAAACAACCTTTTTGACAATAACAAAGAGGCCCATACTCATGGTAATGGTAAATAAAACACTAGGATGAATGACTACCTAGTTTGTTCAAATGAATGACCTTGACTCACTTTTAAGAATTTCAAATTTCTTTTTTTAATATCCAAGATGTCCTGGATCAACGTATTGCTTTTGAAGATGATTTTCTATCTAAGACTTAAAGAACCATCAAAGAAGTCTGTAAACTGTGATTCAGGCCCATGTGGCCTATTGTTTTTATATCTTGATTTTTAAAAAAATGAATAATTGTGAGAAAAAAAAAAAAGAAAAAAAACACAAAAATAAAATTTGAACCGAATACTGTCACTTGTTTCGGTAGTAACAGTAAAAGACTCATTTTCAGATGAAAAATGAGTGCCAGATAAGACTGGTGGATGAGTCTGCAGAGGTGGTGTTAGTGGTACTGCAGTTTGTGTATGCTGGCCTTGTCTCACTGTGTCACAGTAACACTCAACAAGTCTTTTCTCTGTCAAAAAGGTAAGTTGTAATCATAAAGCAACAACACATAATGGCAGTAAAACTCCTACAAAGAGCTCATTAAAGACCAGATATCATTTCTATAGCTATCATATTTTGTCTGTAGTCTACCGTGCGTAAACTTTCGAGTCAAATGACTTCTTCTCAATTACCAAAATGCGCAGGATGGTGATATTGGGCCTGTAGCATGATGGGTAGAAGAGCTACCAAATTTGTTAATATGAAATACCTTGACCTTCTTCGCATCTTGAATGGATCAGATATTCTTATATCTTGAAACAACTTCTCAATAACCAAAAGGCCCAGGGTGCTGAAATTGGGTCTGTGGCATACTGGGATGAAAGGTTATTAATAGTATTCTTGTGATTGACCTTTTCTCTAATTTAAGGTCACAGGGGTCAAATGTGTTAAAATCTTCAAACAACTTCTTCTCAATACCAAAAAGGTCCAGGCTGTTGATATTGGTTCTTTAATATAAGTGGATAAAAGGCTGCTGATTTGTTCAATTATTTATTATATCTCTTGGGTGAAGTGAGATGAGATCTTAAAATTTCTTTGTGGACAAGCAATAGGTTTGAAGTAATGGCATTTGTATAGTAGCATATACTTTGCAGGGTCTGTTTGTCTGTCCAAGGCTCTTCCTGGTAGTATATTTAGGGCCCTGAATGAAAGTCTGTCTGTCAGCACTTTTGTTTCCCAGCAATAAGTTGAGCGTTCTTGGGTTAATCATTCTCCAACTTCAAATAGTGCTTCCTTATTGAGAGTTCTTGCATGGGACTACTTTTCAGCTTCAAAGGTGAAAGATCAAGGTCACTGATACTCTGAATAGAAAAATCAGTTTCCCTACAATAACTCAAGGTTGCTTTGGCCAATCAAACTCATACTTCATACAATGCTTCCTTACTAAAAGTGCTTGCTGGGGGTATTGCTTTTTATATCCCAAGTTATAAGGTCAAAGGTCACTGTTGTTATAAATCAGATTGTTGATTGTATTTTTAGCCCACCATCTAATAGATGGTGGGTTATTCAAATCACCCTGCATCCGTGGTCCGTCGTCTGTCCGTCCGTCATCCATCGGTCCAGGCATCCGTCCGTCCGTAAACAATTCTTGTTACTACTATTTCTGGAAAAGTACTGGATGGATCTTTCTCAAATTTCATATGCAGGTTCTCCTTGGTCCCTAGTTGTGCATTGTACCTTTTTTGAACTGATTCGCATTCAAGATGGCCGACAGGTGGCCATCTTGGATTTTGGAAGTAAAAGTTTGTTACCGCTATTTCTGGAAAAGTACTGGATGGATCTTTCTCAAATTTCATATGCAGTTTCCCCTTGGTCCCTAGTTGTGCATTGTACCTTTTTTGGACTGATTCGAATTCAAGATGGCAGACAGGTGGCCATCTTGGATTTTGAATGTAAAAGTTTGTTACTGCTAATTCTTGGAAAGTACTGGATGGATCTTTCTCAAATTTCATATGCAGGTCCCCTTTGGTTCCAAGTTGTGCATTATACCTTTTTGGACTGATCCGAAATCAAGATGGCTGCCTGTCAGCCATCTTGGATTTTGAGAGTAAAATCTTGTTACTGCTATATCTGAGGAAGTACTGGATGGATCCTTCTGATATTTCATAGATATTGGTTTCCCTTGGTCCCTAGTTGTGCATTGTACCTTTTTTGGACTGATTTGAAATCAAGGTGGCCCACAGGCAGCCATCTTGGATGTCGACAGTAATACAGCACAAGCATATTGTCCATTATCCACCTGTAACTGACTGCTGTCTAATAATACTTTGGGATCTTTTTCAAATGATATTTGCTAATAGGTGCTTAATAAAAATATCTTGTGCCATCATTGAGTATATTCAATGAAGACCAGTTCATGAACATTTGCAACACCTGTAACAAACAAAAAAAATAAACAAATCTTCAAGAACTGAAAACAGATCCTCAAATGGTGGGCGCCAAGATCCCTCTGGGATCTCTTGTTATTATGTTGTTGTTGTATTTTTTGTAATAGTCTTGATTTTTGTGGCAGACTATACTTAAGGTCTTGCCAGTATCTGTTAGTCAGGTGTGTGTGTCTAAGGATGGGTGGTGATGGTGGGAGGGGGAGTTCTAGCCAAGCCACAGGGCCCTTGCTGACCTGTCAGTGTTTTATCCCTGTCTATATCTGTAATCATTGGTGAGGAATTGTATGAACTTTTCACATGATTCTTGTTTTTTTCACTTTCCCTTCAGACTAAACCTCACTGAGCTGGCAGCGATCTGTGAGGAATATTTACCACAGATTCCTACTGTATCAGACACAGCAGCTAGTAACCAGGACAGCCAGGGTGACCTTGATATGATTAATAACTGCCAATCAAATGTGGACAAAATTTTAAAGGATATTTGGGGAGATTCCTTTGATGATGATGATGATGATGATGATGATGATGATGATGATGATGATGATGATGATGATGATGATGATGATGATGATGATGACGCTGATGATGATGGTGATGAAAAAATTGGTGATGAAGTATTACTGGTGACAAGTTCTTCTGTACTTCATGATATAAAGCCACATTCAAATAAAACAGTAGAATCTATATCAGATGTAAAAATATCTGAACAAATTCAGTCCAGTAAGACACAAAGTCCTCTTATAAATGAGTTTGAAGACAAGGGAGATAATTTAGATAAGGAAGACGACACAATGCAGCAGGAAATCAACAGCTTTTTCGAGGATAAAAGTTTTGACATGACCGGTGATGTGCAAAATAAAGAGAGTGAAGAATATGGAACTGGAACTCCCAAGAATAGAAGTCTTATCTTTGAGGACAATGATGTGGAAATATTTAGTGCTAGTGATAGCTCTTCAAATAATAGTTTCGGGGACCATCAAGCTCCATCCCCAGATGAACTTTATATCTCGGGGAGGACAGGGAAAGATGACAATTGTATCCAACAAACCGAAGAAACAATACAAGAAGGAAAGACAGATGAGGCAGCTATCATCATCTGCAGTGATGAAAGTGACTATGAAAGTCTTATAGTTGAATCTGATGGAAAAGGTGAAAGTAAACAGTTCTCACCGCAGTTAGTGCAGAGTAACTCTAGGCTTCATTCTTTGAGTAAAACAAAAAATGACATGTATGTGTTTGACGATATGGATATTTCACAGAAGGAAAAATTGATGAAGTTTAAATCTTCTCCATCAAAATCATTTCAGCTACCTGAAGACAGTTCTCCTGGCAGATTCAGTCCAGATTCGGTTGAGGAAGAAACAGCAGGATGTAGATATTTATCCTTGTCCTCCTCCCCATCTAGGAAACGAAAGAGATCCACAGATCATAAAGTCAAATCACCAGTGGCTGTGTTTGTACCTTCAGAAACAAGGAAACTGTCCAATATGTCCTCTCCTAACACTTCTGGACTAGATTTGTTTGGGAGCCCATCACCTTTTACCAAGCAAAAAAGACCAGATTCTGCCCAAAAGGCAGAAGTTGATGGATACTATATAGAAGACATGATGACTTTTTCCAAGATTCCAAAATCTCGCCTTCACTCCACAAATTCAGTTTCTTCCAGAAAGTCTGTGTTGAATGAGGTAGAAATCAATTCACCAACGTTTTCTCTCACAAAGAAGTACAGCCCAAGGAAACTGTGTGAACAACTACCGGACGGGCCCTGTAAGTCGTCAATGGACACAAACATATTAAAAAAGGACAAAATATCCGGTAGTCAAGTGAACAACATTCTGCCCAGTGACTGTGACGTTGAATGTACTGGAGATAATTTTCAGGAAATGTCACAGGGCTCGCCCATATTCATAGCAAAGGCAAAAAGGAAATGGAAGTTTACAAAAACAAATAATCCCAGTACACAACCTTTGACCTGTTCCAATGAGCGGGATATGGAGATTGAGATGTCACCTGTCAAAACTGAAAATAACCCAGCAATACCAAACACTGACCATGGTAAATTATGTTATGAGGTTCATATGACCTCTCACCTTACTGTAAAGTCATTGAGATACTGCCACTCTTTGGTAACAGTAAATTTGTTGACATACTGCCACTCTGTGGTGACTCTGGTGTTCCTGAGATACTGTCACTCTCTGGTGACAGTAAATTTGTTGACATACTGCCACTCTAAGTAACAGTTAAGTTATCGACATACTGCCACTCTGTGGTGACTGTGGAGTCTCTGAGATACTGTCACTCTCTGATGACTGTAGAGTCCCTGAGATACTGTCACTCTCTGGTGACAGTAAATTTGTTGACATACTGCCACTCTAAGTAACAGTTAAGTTATCGACATACTGCCACTCTGTGGTGACTGTGGAGTCCCTGAGATACTGTCACTCTCTGGTGACTGTATAGTCCCTGAGATACTGTCACTCTCTGGTGACTGTAGAGTCCCTGAGATGCTGTCACTCTCTGGTGACTGTAGAGTCCCTGAGATGCTGTCACTCTCTGGTGACTGTAGAGTCCCTGAGATGCTGTCACTCTGTGGTGACTGTAGAGTCCCTGAGATACTGTCACTCTCTGGTGACTGTGGAGTCCCTGAGATACTGTCACTCTCTGGTGACTGTGGAGTCCCTGAGATACTGTCACTCTCTGGTAACTGTAGAGTCCCTGAGATACTGTCACTCTCTGGTGACTGTAGAGTCCCTGAGATACTGTCACTCTCTGGTAATTATAAAGTCATTGATATATTGCCACTCTCCGGTGATGGTGAAGTCATTTAGATGCTGCCACTTTGGTGTCTGAAGTTATTGAGATACACTCTGAACTGAGGGTGAAGTCACTGAGATACTGACATTCAGTTGATAGTGAAGTCGTGGAGAGACCACCACTGTCTTGTAACTGTGATGTCATAGAGAGACCACCACTGTCTTGTAACTGATGTCATAGAGAGACCACCACTGTCTTGTAACTGTGATGTCATAGAGAGACCACCACAATCTTGTAACTGTGATGTCATAAAGAGACCACTACTGTCTTGTAACTGTGATGTCATAGAGAGACCAGCACTGTCTTGTATCTGTGATGTCATAGAGAGACCAGCACTGTCTTGTAACTGTGATGTCATAGAAAGACCACCACTGTCTTGTAACTGTGATTTCATAGAGAGACCACCACTGTCAGCTGATAGTGAAATCATTGAAGAAGTACTTTTTGATTTTTCAGTTTTATTGATGCTTGTTTTTCAGATATGTCAATCCCTCAGGATGTTTGGGATGACTTTGATGACAGTGGAGCTGGGTTTAGGGGTGTGTGCGACATCTCCCCTGTGACACCAAAGGGACACCACTCTGATAAAGGTCAAGGCGACACTAAGGTAGATTTATAGTTCTAATCTCCAATATGTCATCAACATAATGCTTCCACAAACTGTACTTGCTTTCTACAGGGGTTGTTGTGGCTATAATCTCTCTCTGCAAGTGCTTCATGAATTAGTCAACCACAAACACTGACGCTTGGCTGCCCGTGACTGTTCCAAACTGTTGCTGATATCTCAAAAGGCAAAGTATATTGTTGTAAGCACAAATAATTCTAGTAAATCCATGATGTCTTGGAAAGGGAGATTGAGGTTCTTTTGCCATGACTGGTCTTGCTCTAGGTGGCTCCAAATGGTAACAAGTGCTTTATCAGTAGGTGTGTTGGTGAAAAGAAACACTTCAGTGTATGAAATGAATTTCTGATCATGTTGGATGAGTACTGCAGACATATTTTCATTTGTGTTTTTAGCCCGTCCATTTGTAAATAATTTTTGATGTCTTTATTTCTTGTGTAGTACTGGATGGCTCTTTCTCAAATATCATATGTAAGTTCCCCTTGGTCCCTTGTGCCCATTTGTTTTTGGGACTGGTCAGAAAAACAAAATGGCGAACAGACTTCCATCTTGAATTTTGACTTTTTATCTCTATTTCTTGAAAAGTACTGGATGGATCTGTCTCAAATTTCAAAATGGCAGTCAGACGGCCATCTTGGTTTTCACCAAGTTAAGATTATTATGACTATTTTTTGAGAAGCACTGGATGGATCTCTTTCATACATCATATGTAGGTTCCCATTGGTCCCTTGTTGTGCCCATTTTGTTTTTTGGACTAATCAGAAAAACACAATGGTGACAGACCTCCATCTTGAATTTCGATTGAAAGTTTATGGGTATTGCTTTAGAACTACCGCAATAATCTCTCTGAATATCTTATGTTGATTTCCCTTTGGTTCCTGGTTAGCCATTTGATTTTGGGACTGATCAGAAAAAAATGGCTTCCAGGAGGCTTTCATGGAGAAGAGAAAAAAGGGAAAAAATCCAACTTATAAAGAGCAAATGAAGATCAAACAATGGTGGTCACCAAGATTCCTCTTGGAAATCTTGTTGACCTGATGTTCTGATATTCCCACCAGGGGTCGTAGAATGTCTGCTATTGGCCTGGAAACATTGTAACAAATGGAACTGGTATAATCTGCTATAGGCCATAATGGATTCCCTTCTTTATGGATCTTGGGTGTGCAGTACGTTCTAGGTGTGTTCCCTGTAGTGGGATACAAGAGTCTATATCTCTGTAGTGGGATACAGGGTGTAGTACATTCTAGGTGTGTTCTCTGTAGTGGGATACAAGTGTCTATATCTCTGTAGTGGGATACAAGTGTCTATATCTCTGTAGTGGGATACAAGTGTGTATATCTCTGTAGTGGGACACAAGTGTCTATATCTCTGTAGTGGGACACAAGTGTCTATATATCTGTAGTGGGATACAAGTGTCTATATCTCTGTAGTGGGACACAAGTGTCTATATCTCTGTAGTGGGACACAAGGGTCTATATTTCTGTAGTGGGATACAAGTGTCTATATCTCTGCAGTGGGATACAAGCGTCTATATCTCTGTAGTGGGACACTAGTGTCTATATCTCTGTAGTGGGACACAAGTGTCTTTATCTCTGTAGTGGGACACAAGTGTCTATATCTCTGTAGTGGGACACAAGGGTCTATATTTCTGTAGTGGGATACAAGTGTCTATATCTCTGTAGTGGGATACAAGTGTCTATATCTCTGTAGTGGGATACAAGTGTCTATATCTCTGTAGTGGGACACAAGTGTCTATATCTCTGTAGTGGGACACAAGTGTCTATATCTCTGTAGTGGGACACAAGTGTCTATATCTCTGTAGTGGGACACAAGTGTCTATATTTCTGTAGTGGGATACAAGTGTCTATATCTCTGTAGTGGGACACAAGTGTCTATATCTCTGTAGTGGGACACAAGTGTCTATATCTCTGTAGTGGGACACAAGGGTCTATATTTCTGTAGTGGGACACAAGGGTCTATATTTCTGTAGTGGGATACAAGTGTCTATATCTCTGTAGTGGGATATATATTGTGATTTGATAATCTTATTTCCTTGCTTTTAGTTTTGATACGATGGCTACCAGTTGGTTGATTCCTTACCATCTTCTACTGGTTGTGTTGTAAGAACTAATATTCTTCTGACATTACCAGCCAAAAGGAAATGTTCCAAAATATCATTGTACATTTTCTAACCGAAATATAATTTCTATCATCATACATTTTGTGGCTAAAATTAAATATTGTAGATTCCTAACCATCAGGTATCTTCATAGATTTTCCAACCAACATTAAGCATCATTGTAGATTTTCTAGCTAAATTAAGCATCACCACATATATTATTTTTTACTGTGTTTTAAGACACTGACTGTGTCCATTTGATAGAAGTCTACTACATCCTGGGTACCACCATCTCCCTTCGCTCCAATACCGCAGTCATTGTAGGGTTGTTACAAAGTGTCTTTGTGTTAATGTGTTTTAAGACACTGTGTCCATTTGACAGAAGTCTACTACATCCTGGGTACCACCATCTCCCTTCGCTCCAATACCACAGTCATTGTAGGGTTGTTACAAAGTGTCTTTGTGTTAATGTGTTTTAAGACACTGTGTCCATTTGACAGAAGTCTACTAAATTCTGGGTACCGCGGTCTCCCTTCACTCCCATACTGCAGTCATTGTAGGGTTGTTACAAAGTGTCTAGTATATGTTACAGCGTTTTAAGACACCGACTGTGTCCAGTCATCAAAAGTCTTCTTCAGCCTGGGTACCACCATCTCCCTTCACTCCGATGCCTCAGTATGATGACATGAACACACCACAACTCAAGGTAAGTTTTCTGTACATCCTTGTGTAATAGATTTTTAGTCATTATTGGTAACTTGCTGAATACAAAAATATGTTTTAAGCAGATTTGAACTTTAATAAGTGTCATTAAAAGCTTACTCCAGTATAAATGATTGGATTTTGCCCAAATTTAGTCTGAAGCATTGTTGGGTGAAGAAGAATCAATTTTGAATAAACAGTGGTTTTGGCCCCCTAGGGCTGGAGGGACAGAGTCCGATTTTGGAAATAGTGCAAATTCTTTAAAATCCTACTCCTCCGGTAGCAATGATTTTGCCCAAATTTGGTCTGAACCATTGTTGGGTGAAGAGGAGCAATTTTTTATAAATAGTGGTAGGTCTCAGCCCACTTTGGCCTGAGGGGCGGGGCCCAATAGGAGAAATAGAGTAAATTCTTTCAAATCCTACTCCTCTTGGAGTAATGAATGGATATTTCCCAAATTTAGTCTGAAGTATTATTGGGTGAAGCCAAATCAGTTGTGTATAAACAGTGGATTCCGACCCCCTCAGAAAGGAGGGGCAGGGCCCATTTAAAATCCTACATCTCCCTAAAGAATGATTAGATACCACCCAATTTTGGTCAGAAGTATTTGTGAGTGAAGAGGAACAAAGTTTGTGCAAGGATTGGTTCTCAGTTCCCATGAGCCTTAAGGGCGGGCCCAAAAGCGGAAATTTTGCATGTTCTTTAAAATCTTGTCCTACTTTAAGAATAAATGGATATGGTCCAAATTTGGTCAAAATATTCTTTGATTAAAGCAACAGTATAAATGGTGTGTCCCAGCCCCTTAGGACAGGAGAGCGTAAGTTCTTAAATGTCCTTCTTTCGTACAATCATATTGTTTAAGTTGGTCTGAAGCAATTCTTATGAACAGTGAATCTGATCTCTGTTTGACCACAAGGGCAAGACCAAATAGGGAAATCATATCATAAATTGTTTGTCATATTTGATATTATTTATCAAATGACTGAATAGCTAAATTAGCCAGGTGAGCAATGCAGATTCCTTGGGCCTCTTGTTAGGTGCAAGTATGAGGGTTCTACTCTACAATTAAGGCATTGTTTCCAAATATATGTAAAAAAAAATGACAGAATAAGTCAAACAGATATAGATAGATAGGATATGTCAAATAAAGCCAAGGATAGATAGGATATGTCAAATAAAGCCAAGGACAGATAGGATATGTCAAATAAAGCCAAGGACAGATAGGATATGTCAAATAAAGCCAAGGATAGATAGGATATGTCAAATAAAGCCAAGGATAGATAGGATATGTCAAATAAAGCCAAGGATAGATAGGATATGTCAAATAAAGCCAAGGATAGATAGGATGTGTCAAAGACTCTAAGATAGATAGGATATGTCAAATAAAGCCAAGGATAGATAGGATGTGTCAAAGACTCTAAGATAGATAGGATATGTCAAATAAAGCCAAGGATAGATAGGATGTGTCAAAGACTCTAAGATAGATAGGATATGTCAAATAAAGCCAAGGATAGATAGGATGTGTCAAAGACTCTAAGATAGATATGATTTGTCAAACAATTATTATAGCTTTAGGATAGACAGGATATGACAAAAAAGAAATGTAGGATTTTTCAAACAAACCTTAGGTTAGATATAGATATGTAGAACAAAGGATAGATAGAACAAAGGATAGATAAGATATATCAAATAATCTCAAGGATAGAGAGGATATATCAAACAAACTCTCCAATAGATAGGATATGTCAAACAAACTCTCCGTTATATAGGATATGTCAAACTAACTCTCCAATAGATAGGATATATCAAACAAACTCTCCAATAGATAGGAAATGTCAAACTAACTCTCCAATAGATAGGATATGTCAAACTAACTCTCCGTTATATAGGATATGTCAAACTAACTCTCCGTTATATAGGATATGTCAAACAAACTCTCCGTTATATAGGATATGTCAAACTAACTCTCCAATAGATAGGATATGTCAAACAAACTCTCCGTTATATAGGATATGTCAAACAAACTCTCCAATAGATAGGATATGTCAAACTAACTCTCCGTTATATAGGATATGTCAAACTAACTCTCCAATAGATAGGATATATCAAACAAACTCTCCAATAGATAGGATATGTCAAACTAACTCTCCAATAGATAGGATATGTCAAACTAACTCTCCGTTATATAGGATATGTCAAACTAACTCTCCAATAGATAGGATATGTCAAACAAACTCTCCGTTATATAGGATATGTCAAACTAACTCTCCAATAGATAGGATATGTCAAACAAACTCTCCGTTATATAGGATATGTCAAACAAACTCTCCAATAGATAGGATATGTCAAACTAACTCTCCAATAGATAGGATATGTCAAACAAACTCTCCAATAGATAGGATATGTCAAACTAACTCTCCGTTATATAGGATATGTCAAACTAACTCTCCAATAGATAGGATATATCAAACAAACTCTCCAATAGATAGGATATGTCAAACTAACTCTCCAATAGATAGGATATGTCAAACTAACTCTCCGTTATATAGGATATGTCAAACTAACTCTCCAATAGATAGGATATGTCAAATACTCTCCGTTATATAGGATATGTCAAACTAACTCTCCAATAGATAGGATATGTCAAACTAACTCTCCAATAGATAGGATATGTCAAACAAACTCTCCAATAGATAGGATATGTCAAACTAACTCTCCAATAGATAGGATATGTCAAACAAACTCTCCAATAGATAGGATATGTCAAACTAACTCTCCGTTATATAGGATATGTCAAACTAACTCTCCAATAGATAGGATATGTCAAACTAACTCTCCGATAGATAGGATATGTCAAACAAATTATATGATAAGTAGCATATGCCGAAAACATATTGTAGGATAGATAAAATATGTAAAAAAAACACTATGATAGATAAGATTTGGCAAACAAACTCTAGGATTGATAAGATATAATGGTTTTATAAGAATTTAACACAAAACACATTTTCTTTGTAGAGAGAGGTACTGAAGATTGGTGTACGCCCCGTTGGTAAAAAGAGGATGGTAAACCTGTTGAAGGATGTCTACACTAAAACTCACCAATGTTAGTATCTCTTCTGATCAGCCTAACCAGTCAATCACCTACAGGTTATCTCCCTTAGTATCGTGATTAATCAGCCTACCCAGTCAATTACATACAGATTATCTCCCGTAGAGTCTGGACTGATCAGCCTACCCAGTCAATCACCTACAGATTATCTCCCTGAGTGTCAGGACTAATCAGTTTACCCAGTCAATCACCTACAGATTATCTCCTGTAGTGTCTGGACTGATCAGTCTACCCAGTCAATCACCTACAGATTATCTCCTGTAGTGTCTGGACTGATCAGCCTACCCAGTCAATCACCTACAGATTATCTCCTGTAGTGTCTGGACTGATCAGCCTACCCAGTCAATCACCTACAGATTATCTCCTGTAGTGTCTGGACTGATCAGTTTACCCAGTTAATTACCTACAGATTATCTCCCATAGTGTCTTGACTGATCAGTTTACCCAGTCAATCACCTACAGATTATATCCCTTAGTGTCTGTACTGATCAGTTTACCCAGTTAATTACCTACAGATTATCTCCCATAGTGTCTTGACTGATCAGTTTACCCAGTCAATCACCTACAGATTATATCCCTTAGTGTCTGTACAGATCAGTCTACCCTGTCATTATTATATTATGTTTCCTGCAAGTAATATACCTAAAAGTGGATGTGCTTTGTTTGAATTCCATCAGATAATAATGAAATAAAGGATATAAAATTTGATGTCATAATGAACAAACAAGACAATGGAAACAAAAAAGGAAGTTCTTTTCAGATAAAATATTTGAAAAGAATATTACTTAGTTTAAAAGTCTGCATAATCTTATGATTAAATTAACCAGGAGCCAACACCATCTGGAGCACCTAACTAAGAACAGTTAAGTCATGAACCTATTTGTATCTATAGTGTTTACAGAATTTTTAAATCCACCTCTGAATTCTTACTTACCTGAAAAGAACTGTTACGTTTCTGTTTCCATTGTCTTGTTTGTCCATTATGACATCAAATTTTGTAACTGCAAAATTATACTTAAGAGTTTGACCACTTATATGACCGTCCTGATGACGGCTACATAGTGATGGATCTCTAATGAATACCCGGTGGAATACGTCCAGGAACATAATTGCAATATTAGACCTAAAGAGTGTTGGCTCTCTAATATATTGTCTTTCAATTCCATTAGATGAAACAGATAGTAACTACGAGGATGATGAGGAGGAAGAGAACAAAGAGGGATCCTCTTCTAGCAAGGAACAAACCAAGGAATCTGATGAGTTAAACTCCAGTCAGGAATCAATCCAGAGGTACAGAATAATGTTAAACTTCACCATACTGTCATTGCTAAACTTCACTATACTGTCACTGTTTAACATCACTATACTGTCACTGTTAAACTTCACTTTACTGTCACTGTTAAACATCACTATACTGTCACTGTTAGACATCACTATACTGTCACTGTTAAAAATTACTATACTGTCACTGTTAAACTTCACTTTACTGTCACTGTTAAACCTCACATTACTGTCACTGTTAAACATCACTATACTGTCACTGTTAGACATCACTATACTGTCACTGTTAAAAATTACTATACTGTCACTGTTAAACTTCACTATTCTGTCACTGTTAAACATAACTATACTGTCACTTAAACATCCCTTTACTGTCACTGTTAAAAATCACTATACTGTTACTGTTAAACCTCATTATACTGTCTCTGTTAAACTTCACTTTAATGTCACTGTTAAACCTCATTACACTGTCACTGTTAAACCTCACTTTACTGTCACTGTTAAACATAACTATACTGTCACTGTTTAAAAATCACTATACTGTCACTGTTAAAAATCACTTTACTGTCACTTAAACATCACTTTACTGTCACTGTTAAACTTCACTATACTGTCACTGTTAAACATCACTATACTGTCACTGTTTAACATCACTATACTGTCACTATTAAAAATCACTATACTGTTACTGTTAAACCTCATTATACTGTCACTGTTAAACTTAACTTTAATGTCACTGTTAAACCTCATTATACTGTCACTGTTAAACCTCACTATACTGTCACTGTTAAACATAACTATACTTTCACTGTTAAACAGCATTATACTGTCACGATTAAACCTTACTATTCTGTCACTTTTGGAGATCAGGGGCATATGTTTCAATGCTTCTGTCTCTGACTCTGTTGATCCAGCTATTTGTTTATTGTAGGGTTTCCATTGAAAAACAGCTTGAGACTTTTTCATCAGATTAGAACTAAATATTGCTTTATATCAATAAGATCTTGGACGAGTTAGATGTTGGTCAAAATTCATCAACATTTGACAGAGTTTTTGGTTTTTAAAATCCTTTATGTCAATAAGGTACCAGAAAAGCTAAAAATCCACCAATATTTGCTTGAGCTGTTGGACTTCAATAATAAAAATAACAGTAAGAAACAGAGTAATAACAAGAAGATATCATTCTTTATTTGGCAGAATTAGATTTATGTTATAGTTGCATTATGTCCTATAGTCTCCATACCAATTAGCATCTTATACTCTATTAGATAATGCTTTGGTATCTGCCAATATTCTTTTCATATCTGTCACATGCATTCCAAATGACTTTCCAACAAATACCACATTTGTTCACCTGCACCTTTGATGTATTGAATTCATAACTGGCTTCTCTTCAGGGGCATAGTGTTTCTCAATCAAATCTTGTTTTGTTTTTATACAGTGACATGATGGAAGAAAGTTATATGCAAGGAACCACAGAAGACCTTGAGCTGAGTCAGGTACAAGGAATGGGCAATATTGCACAGGTGTCTCAACTAAATCGCACACGGGTTCCTACTAGATCACACACATGTACTTCAACCAAACCACACACAAGTGTTCCTTCTAGATCACACACATGTGCTTCAACTAAACTACTCACATAAATGTTGCTTCTATATCACACATGTGTCCCAACTAAATCACACACAGGTGTTCCTACTATATCACACATAGATGTTACTGCTATATCACACACAGGTGTTCCTACTAAATAATACACACTTTATTACAGACAGGTGTACAAACTAAATCACAAATAGGCTTTCCGACTAAATAATACACATGGGTGTTACTACTACATGTATATCCACACAGGTGTACATAATAAATAACACATAGGTGTTCCTACCAAATGATACACACAGGTCTTGCTACGGTACAGCACACAAGCGTTCCTACTGTATCACACACAGGTGTTCCTACTATATCACACACATGTGCTCCAACTAAACCACACACAGAATTTTCTGACTATGTCACACACAGGTGTACATACTCAATCACATGTAGGTGTTTCCACTAAATATTAATGTGTACTTACTAAATTATTCAAGTGTTCCTGCTCAAGTACACAAAAGTGTATCTACTGAATCACCAAACAGATGTACATACTGAATTACACAGGTATACATGCTAAATCACACACATTTTTCATCTAAATCTCGTCTTTTGTTACAGGTGTCACGAAAAGATGACTCAATGATTTCAGAAAAGTTAGAAAAGTTTGTGAAATCTCGCACTGATATTTATGTGAAAATCCTCATGTATGAGGTAAGTTTTTGATAGATGCACAATATTTTTATGTGTTAATGATATTTTAGATATTTTTTTTGATAAAGTATCTTGATGTATGCAGTATTGTGATGAATATAGTGTGCTGTAGTTTGATGTGTGTATTTTGCAGTATTTTGGTGTGTATCGTGTGCTGCATACTATACACATCAAAATACTGCACATAAGTAGTATCTTTAGGACATCCGACCCAAAGGGTTGAGATGACCTATAGTCATCGGGTTTCGTCCATCGTCTTGCTCCGTGTGTCATGCATCAACTTTTTCTATAAAACACTATCCCTCTTTCATACCTGGAAATATTTCAGCCAAATTTGGTCTGATGCATCATAAGGTAAAGCCTGATTACCAACAGGGAAAATAAGACCATATTTTGCTTCAAAACACTGCTCTTTTTTTAATGCTTTTTTTTTTTTTTTAATTTTGAATAAAATTGACATTTGGACAAAAGCACAAAAAAAATTATGCATTGTATTTGAGCATATTGTTGGTTATTTCCCACTGGAAGAATCATTAATTTAGGATGAAATTTTTGATAATATGCATGTGTTGACACTGCCTTACTATATTCAGTGTCACAATTTCATGACACTTGGTAACTATCCTTTATATTCAACATTGCTTATCTCAGGTGACCATCAAGGCCGCTAGGCCTCTTGTCTCTTTTTAAAGGTCACAGGGGTCAAATGTGTTAAAGTCTTCAAACTACATTTCAATAACAAAAAGATCCAGGCGGTTAATATTGGTTCTTTAACATAAGTGGATGAAGGACTACAAATTTATCCAAATAATTGACCTTCACCTATATTTAAGATCTCTTAGGTCAAATGGGTCTTCAAATTTCTTTTTACGTTTATGTCTTTATATTCAGATGACTGTTAAGACCTGTGGGCCCCTTGTTTATTATGAAAACAATTCCCAAACTATTTTCTTTCAAAGCAAAAGGTCTTGAAAAAAGTAAAATTTTGAACATTGCCAAATATAGGATTTATTAAGTAATTTTACAATATCTTTTTTTGAGGTTGCTATGGAGATTAGCGGCTGTCAAATCAAATTCAAAATTAGCATTTTGCTTATTATCCCTGCATCATTCTATTACAATAACAAGGAAGTCTGGAGGCATGATACCTAACTGGAATGTTTCAAGGATTAAGCCGGACAAAAATCGTGAAAAGAAATGACCTTCAATCATATTCAAGCTCACAGAGGTCAAATTTTTTTAAACTTTGAAATGACTTCTTTTTAACTGAAAGGCTGAAGATGCATGTTATTTGGCTGATAAGTTGCTAAGATGAAACCTGACAAAATTCACGAAAAGAGATGACCTTGACCCATATTCAAATTTGTCATAAACCTTTCATGACCTCTTTTGATTAACCAGACTGCCAAAGAAATAACTTTGAGTCATGTTCAAGCTCACTGGGTCATATTTGTTAAAACCTTTAAACAATTTCTTCTAAATAACGTAGACCTAGAAACATATTTGACTGGTAGGTTAATAGGACAAAGTCCAACAAAGTGTACAAAAGAAACTACATCGGCTAATATTCAAGGTCACATGGGTAACATTTTTTGAAAAACATTCAAATTACTTTTTCAATTTATGATAAATAATGATTTGAATGTTAATGTATTTGTAATGAACACTAGATACTAGGTGAACAAGAGTTTAGAATTCTTAAGTTTATTTTCCTGTTTAGACTTGGTATTTGTTTGTTTATATCTATCCAAAAGTGGCTGATACCTTTCTGAAACATTTGCCACCATAATTTACTGTGCAGGAACATATCAGAATTCCCATCGCAGTGGTCATGATAGAGGGTGGCATTTTTCTGTAAAACCTTTAGGCAGTTCCATTTAGTGCCAAACTAACTGAAAAAATGCTAACCTGTGGCCCATATCATACAGGTGACCAGGTTTAGGTTTTACTATGGCAAGATTCATGCTATTGATTCATCAGAACAAGTGGATTTATTTCATTATTGAAGAGTCTTGCCTTACATTTGTTTGGAATTAGCTCATCATGTTACTCATTTTAAATGCAAGGATCTTAAAAACATAATCTAACTATGTTGTTATGAAAACTTGTGCTGGTTTTTCAGCCATTGGAAGTGGATTGGCTGAAAAAGGAGATCACAGAAGCTGGCATCAAATGCTCCATGCAGAAATTATTGGGTTTTCTTGATGAAAAGGTAGTTATGATTCACAACACTTGACTTTTTAGGTCACATGAGATACAGTCTCAAGGACCTATTGCGATCACCTTTTGTCTGTCATCATGCATTGTTCCTCATAAACAATCTTCAATTTTTTACTTCTTATCAATAACTGGAAGGCCCAAATTTTGATATTGGGACTGTAACATGTTGGGATAAAGGGCTACCAAGTGCATTCAAATGAATGACCTTGACTGACTTTCAAGGTCAACAAGCCAAATATGTTTAAATCTTCAAACAATTTCTCTATAACTGAAAGACTCAGAGGTCTGATAGTTGGTCTGTAACATGGTGGGATGAGGGCCTACTGATAGTTGGTCTGTAACATGGTGGGATGAGGGCCTACTGATAGTTGGTCTGTAACATGGTGGGATGAGGGCCTACTGATAGTTGGTCTGTAACATGGTGGGATGAGGGCCTACCAAATTCATTCAAGTGAATGACTTTGACCCACCTTCAAGGTCTCAGGGGTCAAAGGTTTGAGTATTTGTAGGCATTTTCATCAGAGTTTTTATCCTGTATATAATAGTTTTGATCCAGTGTATAAGCTGTATGGCCCAGTGTATAAGCTGTATGGCCCTGTGTATAAGCTGTATGGCCCAGTGTATAAGGGTTATGGTCCTGTGTATAAGGGTTATGGTCCTGTGTATAAGGGTTATGGTCCTGTGTATAAGGGTTATGATCCTGTGTATAAGCTGTATGGCCCTGTGTATGAGAGTTTTGATCCTGTGTATGAGAGTTTTGATCCTGTGTATAAGAGTTTTGATCCTGTGTATAGGAGTTTTGATCCTGTGTATAAGGGTTATGGTCCTGTGTATAAGGGTTATGATCCTGTGTATTAGCTGTATGGTCCTGTGTATAAGAGTTATGGTCCTGTGTATAAGGGTTATGGTCCTGTGTATAAGGGTTATGGTCCTGTGTATAAGGGTTATGATCCTGTGTATAAGCTGTATGGCCCTGTGTATGAGAGTTTTGATCCTGTGTATAAGAGTTTTGATCCTGTGTATAAGGGTTAGGGTCCTGTGTATAAGGGTTATGGTCCTATGTATAAGGGTTATGATCCTGTGTATAATGGTTATGGTTCTGTGTATAAGGGTTATGGTCCTGTGTATAAGGGTTATGGTCCTATGTATAAGGGTTATGATCCTGTGTATAATGGTTATGGTTCTGTGTATAAGAGTTATGGTCCTGTGTATAAGGGTTATGGTCCTGTGTATAAGGGTTATGGTCCTGTGTATAAGAGTTATGGTCCAGTGGATAAGCTGTTTGGCCCTGTGTATAAACTGTATGGCCCTGTGTATAAGAGTTTTTATCCTGTGTATGAGAGTTTTGAACCTGTGTATAAGGGTTATGATCCTGTGTATAAAAGTTTTGATCCTGTGTATAAGAGTTATAGTTCTGTGTAAAAGAATTTGGATCCTGTGTATAAGGGTTGTGGTCCTGTGTATAAGCTGTATGGCCCTGTGTATATGCTGTATGGTCATCTGTATAAGAGTTTTGATCATGTGTATAAGAGTTTTGATCCTGTGTATAAGCTGTATGGCCCTGTATATGAGAGTTTTGATCCTGTGTATGAGCTGTATGGCCGTGTGTATAAGAGTTTTGATCCTGTGTATAAGCTGTATGGCCCTGTGTATGAGAGTTTTGATCCTGTGTATAAGAGTTTTGATCCTGTGTATAGGAGTTTTGATCCTGTGTATAAGGGTTATGGTCCTGTGTATAAGAGTTATGATCCTGTGTATTAGCTGTATGGCCCTGTGTATAAGAGTTAAAGTCCTGTGTATAAGGGTTATGGTCCTGTGTATAAGGGTTATGGTCCTGTGTATAAGGGTTATGATCCTGTGTATAAGGGTTATGATCCTGTGTATAAGCTGTATGGCCCTGTGTATGAGAGTTTTGATCCTGTGTATAAGAGTTTTGATCCTGTGTATAAGGGTTAGGGTCCTGTGTATAAGGGTTATGGTCCTGTGTATAAGGGTTATGATCCTGTGTATAAGGGTTATGGTTCTGTGTATAAGGGTTATGGCCCTGTGTATATGCTGTATGGTCATGTGTATAAGAGTTTTGATCATGTGTATAAGCTGTATGGCCCTGTGTATGAGAGTTTTGATCCTGTGTATAGGAGTTTTTATCCTGTGTATAAGGGTTATGATCCTGTGTATAAAAGTTTTGATCCTGTGTATAAGAGTTATAGTTCTAAGTAAAAGAATTTGGATCCTGTGTATAAGGGTTGTGGTCCTGTGTATAAACTGTATGGCCCTGTGTATATGCTGTATGGTCATGTGTATAAGGGTTATGGTCCTGTGTATAAGGGTTATGGTCCTGTATATAAGGGTTATGGTCCTGTGTATAAGGGTTATGGTCCTGTGTATAAGGGTTATTGTCCTGTGTATAAGGGTTATGATCCTGTGTATAAGCTGTATGGCCCTGTGTATGAGAGTTTTGATCCTGTGTATAAGAGTTTTGATCCTGTGTATAAGGGTTAGGGTCCTGTGTATAAGGGTTATGGTCCTGTGTATAAGGGTTATGATCCTGTGTATAAGGGTTATGGTTCTGTGTATAAGGGTTATGGCCCTGTGTATATGCTGTATGGTCATGTGTATAAGAGTTTTGATCATGTGTATAAGCTGTATGGCCCTGTGTATGAGAGTTTTGATCCTGTGTATAAGGGTTATGATCCTGTGTATAAAAGTTTTGATCCTGTGTATAAGAGTTATAGTTCTAAGTAAAAGAATTTGGATCCTGTGTATAAGGGTTGTGGTCCTGTGTATAAACTGTATGGCCCTGTGTATATGCTGTATGGTCATGTGTATAAGAGTTTTGATCCTGTGTATAGGAGTGTGTATGTTATGGTCCTGTGTATAAGGGTTATGATCCTGTGTATCAGGGTTATGGTCCTGTGTATAAGAGTTATGGTCCTGTGTGTAAGGGTTATGGTCCTGTGTATAAGGGTTATGGTCCTGTGTATAAGGGTTATGGTCCTGTGTATAAGAGTTTTGACCCTGTGTATAAGCTGTATGGCCCTGTGTATAAGTGTTATGATCCTGTGTATAAGCTGTATGGCCCTGTGTATAAGTGTTATGATCCTGTGTATAAGCTGTATGGCCCTGTGTATAAGAGTTTTGATCCTGTGTATAAGCTGTATGGCCCTGTGTATAAGAGTTTTGATCCTGTGTATAAGCTGTATAGCCCTGTGTATAAGTGTTATGATCCTCTGTATAAGCTGTATGGCCCTGTGTATAAGTGTTATGATCCTGTGTATAAGCTGTATGGCCCTGTTTATAAGAGTTTTGATCCTGTGTATAAGCTGTATGGCCCTGTGTATAAGAGTTTTGATCCTGTGTATAAGCTGTATGGCCCTGTGTATAAGAGTTTTGATCCTGTGTATAAGCTGTATGGCCCTGTGTATTAGCTGTATGGCCCTGTGTATAAGAGTTTTGATCCTGTGTATAAGGGTTGTAGTCCTGTGTATAAGAGTTTTGATCCTGTGTATAAGCTGTATGGCCCTGTGTATAAGAGTTTTGATCCTGTGTATAAGCTGTATGGCCCTGTGTATAAGAGTTTTGATCCTGTGTATAAGCTGTATGGCCCTGTGTATAAGAGTTTTGATCCTGTGTATTAGCTGTATGGCCCTGTGTATAAGAATTTTGATCCTGTGTATAAGCTGTATGGCCCTGTGTATAAGAGTTTTGATCCTGTGTGTAAGCTGTATGGCCCTGTGTATAAGAGTTTTGATCCTGTGTATAAGCTGTATGGCCCTCTGTATAAGAGTTTTGATCCTGTGTGTAAGCTGTATGGCCCTATGTGTAATTAGTAAATCTCATATGGTATTTTGTTCTGATTTCTAGTGTATCACATTCACAATGAAGAAAATACGTCAAGAAAGAAAGGCAAACAGAGGAAAAGGACGAAAATTGAAATCGTCACCACAGAAAGGAACAGATTTGTCACCAGCAAAAAAAAGTCCACAGAGAAAGAAACCAGTTTCATCACAAAAACAAGGGCCACAGCTAAAGTAACCAGCTACAACAAAACAAAGAAAAGGCTCTCCACACAGATGTAACTTGATGTGAGGAATCGGTAATAATTACAATATCTTGTTGATAGGACAACAGAAGAGGATGTATGGAGTTAAGACAGAAGTGTGATAAAGAGATGACTAGAAAAACATTTATTGCACCTCACCAGGTGAACATAGAGTGACGTCAGATTGATACATGCATTTTATTTCACTGCAATGAAAATAACTCTGTTTATTGTCATTTCCTGCCACTGAAATAAACATTTTGAAAAATTCAACCTATGACAGCAGAGAACATATTTCATTTTGTAAAACTGATTGATCAAACCCTTATATAACATTACAAAAAACTAAAATATAATAAACAGAATATCTTCAGTAAAAACAAACATATTTCAGTTAGCTTGTAATTTGGTACCTTTATGAGATATCTTCTGTTTATCTTTATCTTAAAGTAAAATTTTCAATTCTGAAGAAATCCATGATTTTTACAGAAAATTTTACATCAATCTTATCCTGATATGGTGTATAGATTTTTGTAATACAGTTTAATTTCTCAATGCCTTCCCTTGATATAACAGTACCTTTTTGAAAAATGATAGGACATGATTAGTTTAACAAATGTTGCAAAAATCCAATTTTGTGTGACATCAACAACTTGAGATATTGATGTCACTTTCACCAGATTTTATTAGTGTATGGTGTAGTTTAAATATAGTACAGTTTAAGATATATTGAAACTTTGATTCACTTTGCGAAATGAAATGTTTTACATTGATCAATTCACTGTAATTCATCATCAATTTTAGAGATAAAATGTTGGAATTAATTTGTGTATCACTTGTTTTTATAAAATCTGTTTTTACGTCACCTGAGGCAAACAAAGAAAACAGCATTCAAGTCTCATGTTTATTTGTGGAAAGAAAACTTTTCATGTCGTATGGATAGCAACAAATTTATAATTTCTTTGTCATGATTTCGTATATAAGGTTACTACTTGGCCCCATTTTGGCCCTTTTAAATAATACAAGTTCAAAGGATTTGACCTTTCATAGGTCTCTGATAGATACTGAACACATTATTATATTTCAATATGAAAACTCTTCATACTCTAAAAAACGAATGAAATTGAAATATGTGTTTGTTTAAACTTATATATTCCTCATAAGTCTTAGAAATGTTGCTTGGATTTGTCACATGATCAGCCATGTCATCTGTTTAGCTAGTTTTGTGGTAAGTTGAGAATACTGTGGTGTTTAAAACATCGGTCACTGTAAACAATGTTTCAATCTCCAAAATATATAATTAACCAGTCAAGCTGAGGACATATTTCAGGGAATCACTGAAGCATTATGGGGATAATTTGAAGGATGGTTTACTGTACGAGCAGTGATATCACTTGGATGGGTGATCACATAACCATGTTATATCATTTGGTGATACTGAACAAGCCTGTTATCCTGTGGGGTACCTTACTCAGACACCAAGAATTCTAGATTAACTTACTGAATCGAATGCCTTTTCAACAATCAAAAGCATACCTGGAATATAATATTCCTCCATAATGCATAATATCATATACTAATCTTGAGTTTTCCCCTATAAATCTACCAGAAATGAAACCTGACTGATCTGAATTTATTAACTTGTCTAAAACTGATTTTATTCTTTGAGCAATAGAACCAGACAACTGGTAGGTCTCCAATTAAAAAAAAAATTGCCTTGGCTTATCCCCTTTTGGTAAGCATGTAATAATTCTGTGTCTTTGTGTTACTGATAACTTTCTCAGGCTGTATCCATCTGTTTCCAAAAACGTTTTAAAAATTCTACAGTAAATCTGTCTGGTCCGGGGCTTTTATTATTTTTCACATGTTTTAACGTATGTGACACTTGAGCGTATGTAATATTTCCTTCTGAAGATAAGGATCCTGCGTTATCTAATTTTTGGAACATTATAACTGGATAAAATCAGGTTATGGTCTACATTTTCAATATTAAAGTCACTAGAATATAGTCTTTCATTAAATAATTTTATTTCTTTAAGAATGTCTTCTTGTTTTCTTATCACATCCTCATCTTCTTTTATTTCACTGGAATAATTTTTGAGATAAAATTTCTGTTCTCCAGATTTAAAAAATAATTAGTTGGTTTTTCCCCCTCTTCAATCCACTTTGCTTTTGACCTCATAATATAACCTTTAACTTTAGATAGTCCCCTTTTCTCTAACTCTTCTTTTTTCGCTTGTAATTCCATTGTGTTAATATTAACATTATTTTCAAGCTCAGCTATACATGCTATTAAAGTGTTTTCCCATCCAGCACATTGTTTTTAGTTCACTCGGCCCAAATGGCCAAGTGAGCTTATGCCGAGGCACGGCATTTGCCCTCCGTATGTCGTCCAACCAATATTCAAGGTCACAGGGGTCAAATTTGTTTAAACATTTAAATGCCTTCTTCTCATGAACAAAAAGGCCTACAGGCATGAAACTTGGCTGGTATGTTCTTTGATGAAGCTTGATAAAGTTTGCAAAATGAAATGACCTTGATCTATTTTCAAGATCACAATGGTCAAATTGATTCAAACCTCTAAACGACTTCTCATGGATTAAAAGGGGCATGATATTTGGCTGGTATGTTCCCAGGATGAAACCTGACAAAGTTTGTGAAAAGAAATGACCTTGACTAAAATGCAAGGTCACAGGGAACAAATTTTTAAAAACATTTAAACGACTTCTTGTCATGAACTAAAAGGCCTAGAGGCATGTTACTTGGCAGGTATGTACCTTTGATGATGCTTGGCAGTTTGCGAAAAGAAATTACCTTGACCTGTTTTCAAGATCACAATGGTCAAATTTGTTAAAACCTTTACACGACTTCTCATGAACTAAAAGGAAAGGCCTTCAGGAATGCTATTTGACTGGTATGTTCCTATTATGAATATCAATAAAGTTTGTGAAAAGAAATGACCTTGACTAAAATGCAAGGTCACAGGAGGCAAATTAAAACACCTAAACAACATTTTGTCATGAATTAAAAGGCCTAAAGGCATGATATTTGGTTGATTTATATATACCAGGTGAGTGCCTCTTTTTTCTTATGAGCTGAAAATGAAATTGTCTTTCCTCTTATTTTCGATAGCAAGGTCTCTAAAAAAGCTGATCATCAATCTGAAATTGAATTTCTTTATCTGCAATCGTATGAATAGAATGTGGATTGTAAATGAAATGGGCATATTGTTTTTTAATATCTAATATAAGTTTATTTATTGCTTTCAAATTATCTTCATCATGTAAAAGTTAATTATTTATTTTCCAAGGTCCCCCTCCCTCTCTTAAGTTCATTAAACTTTATTGAAATAGTTGGTATGGAGTGATCTGACCTATATCCTGGTGCAATACTTGTGTTATGTATATTTCTCAAAACATTCTCAGACACAAGAAAAAAGGAGTTTGCCTAATAGCATTATTCCTTTTCCATGTATATCATTTACTGTATGGATGTTGTTCTCTATATATCAACTAAATTTAAATCATCTGTTAGTTCTGTGACTTTGTCCCTAGTTTTAGGATTGTTTATATTTGCTGTTCATAATCAAGTTCAGTATCAAGCAATAAATTAAAGTCACCACATTGTATTCATTACCATATTCATAAACAATATCTACTACTTGCTGATAAAAACTTAATTCTAAATTTTGGCCATACAATGTTATTAATGTTACCTTTTTGTCACCTATCAACACGTCTAGCGCAATAAAATAACCCATTTTATCCTTATTTTCCCATATAATCTTATATTCAAAATTATTACTTAATAAAATTGCAACCCTTCTAGAATTTGATATGAAAAACTAAAGTAGCAGCTGTATCCCCATTCTGATATATAATATTTTTCCTTTTAGAAAAGTGTGTGTCTTGTATGCAGCAAATGTTATTTTTCTGATTTCTGTTTATGAGAAAACATCTTTTCACTTACCTTTGTCCTTCAAAGCCTGACTGTATCTAGTAGATGAAAGGAAGTTTACACTGTAACATCTTGAGCATTTAGTATTAGCATTAGCTAAAAGGTGGAAAATCTTACTGAGTCTACACACCAAAAACTAGTGTTTACGCATGGTCATGTTGTGAAGACATTCCTTATTGGAACTTGCTGAAATGTAAGTAGTTTGTTACCATGACAGTGTTGTTGATTTTAGGACAGGTGTTCAGAAGTAAATTTCTTCTTTAAAAAGTTGTAGTGGGAATTAGCAGTATTTTTGCATATTTAGCATTTTTTGAGTTGGTAACCATGGCAATCACATGTCAGAAATCAGAAGAAAATTTTTATTTACACAATTTTCATTTCTCTACTATTAATGTAATTGTTATGTAGTTTATGAATATACATAGATGTAATGATGTATTTTTCATAACCAAACTGCTATACCTGTATATCTCAAACATGACCAATAATTTCAGGGAAGATGCAAAGTAACTGTTTCTTGCTTTCTTATAGCTCATTAAAAAGTAGAATCAATGTAAAATGTGCTTTACTATGCTTTATTAAGTTTAATCCTATTCATAATTACTTTAAATAGATAAAAAAAGCACTGAAACTAATTTCATCTCGGGGTGCATTAAGGGAGGTAATTTGGGTACCTGGTATTCTTGTGGGCGATAATTTCAGCTGTTTTCAAAGGATTGGTATCATTTGGAAAACTGTTCTACAGTAAGCAGCAGGTATGAAATAGGTCAGAACAATCTCAAAATATATTTAGACTGGATTTCAGGGCAATTCTTATAGTTTAATATGTGATACTCATGGTAACTATGAAGGAAAGTGTTAATTTTTTAATTTTGGGTAAATAAATGTGTTGTATTTCTCATAGACTGAGCTTTCAATCATGTCAATATTGTCAATAGATAACATTTCTCTAGTTACAGCTGTAAACAATAGTATTTTCAAACAATATTGGAATCTCATAGAGTTTAATCAAAGTTGAAGGGCAGTAAGCACAGGTGTTAATGTGATGTCATTTACATGACATTCAAGAATATCTAATGTCATATCACTGTTGATTACTTTCAAGATATGTGTCAGATGCTAACCTGAAGTTTTCGTGGGATTTCTAGCCTTCACTGTGACATCACAGTGCATTGGTGATGTCACCATTAGCAATTGATAACGTCATAATATTGGTTACATCAGCAGTTACCATGACGTCATAATATAAGACTATATATATAGGTAGTATCACTCTACTTTTCAGTTATCTAAATTCACAGAAGCACAAACTACTCAATTCATTTTCAATTCCAACTTTATTTAAGAAAACTTATGGCTTATTTGAGATTTTAATTTTTGATATTATCTCCCTCCATTCCTAATTTGCGAGCAGAATTGGTCAAAATACACCATACAGGAAAATATATATTACTAAATAGCTATTGGAGATACACAATACTGATGTATTTTGATTTGTTCATCTTATCATTTTCTAGACACCCAAAGGGACTTCATAGAACTTTTGGTTATTGAGATGTCTTTTAAAGCTTTAAACATAATTTACCCCTGTGACCTTGAAAGCAACTCAAAGTAATTCATATTAACAAACTTGGTAGCCCCTCATCCTATCATGTTACAGGCAAAATATCAGCACCCTGGTCTATTTGATTATCGAGAAATTGTTAAAAATCTTTTAAATGTGTATGCTTTCCCTACACATCACATAGGTAGACACTGTTGTATTCCCATAATTCTTCAGTGAAGAGACAAAAAAATTCAGCATACATTATATGTGTTATGAAGTATGAACAGCTGTATGATGTACTTTATTATTTATTTATTGTTTAGTCATTATTTGACTCTGTATCTAACTCTGAATTCATTTTGAAAGGTGCTATTCACTTGTGTGTCTTTTTACTGTAAAAGTAAGGTGTCAATGAAATCGTGAAATAACAAATCAGTTGTTTATGAGCTGGTCCTTCATATCACTGTCAAGTCTACCCATTAAATATATCATGACACCACAAAGCTTTTGATTACAGTTCTTTCTTTAGCACATCATTATTTCCATGGATAAAACTTTCACTTACTTCACCATACCCAATACCCCATGAATTAACAAAATAGTATCAAATGAAGAACAACAAGGGACACTGAAGTAAAATGTATGACAAAGAATACCAAAGGTTTAAGCATAACACTATTTATCCTGCAACTAGTGCTGTCATTTCTGAATTCACTTAAATATTACATTTAACAATATAATAACTTTTGAAATTAACAGTTTTATATGTTGCAATAAACAAGTTCATAAAATCACTGTTATATCTGAGCAGAGAAATTATTTTGGTGTACATCATCAGGCAAAATTCAGTGTGATGTTAACATCAGGTAAACAAAGGTTGAACAAGGAAATTGTTGAATTTTTGATGGTCTGATTTTCAATCAGTGTTGCAGGATAAATAGAAAACATGGTTAACGTCTAAAAATATAATCTGCATTTTGGCTCGTGACAAAAAGGCTCGCTATTTGTGTCTTTCTTCACCCTCGCCAAAATAAAACTTATATTTATTGACACTGACCATATATTCTCTATATAATGAGTTAACACTCAGTATTCACAAAACTGGGCAGCATAATGAGCCAACATCCTGCTATATCAGTACTAACTAAAAATTGGGCAACATGATGTGGTTAACATCCTGCTATATCAGTACTGACTAAAAATTGGGCAACATAATGTGGTTAACATCCTGCTATATCAGTACTAAAAAAACTAGACAATATAATGTATTAACATCCAGCTATATCAGTATTCACTCAAATCTGGACAATACACTGCTCTATCAGTACTCACAACAACAGGCCCATAAGCCTTAAGGGTCATCGGACTCTAAAGACTTATATATGAAAAAGGCCACATAGGTCTAAAATAAACTGCTCAACTACAATATAGCTTACATAGAGGGCATTGGTTACTTCATAAAGACATTTTCTGCAAACTTGAAATCATATTCTTTATACATGCACTAGACGTATGCCTTTAATCTAAAAATATTGCATGCTAAAACAGCATGTTACAGGCCCAATATCAAGACCCTAGGTCTTTTGGTTATTGAGAAAGAAGTTGCTTATGCATTTCAACACATTTGACCCCTGTGACCTTGACAGTAAGTCATGGTGAATAAACTTGGTAGCCCTTCATCCCAGCACTCTACAGGACCAATATCAGGACCTTTTGAAAATTGAGAAGATGTTAAAAATATTTCAACACATTTTACTCCTGTGACCTTGAAAGTAGGTCCAGGTCATTTATATTAACAGATTTAGTAGCCCTTCATTCCTTTAATGTTACAGGCCCACTATCGGTACACTGAGCCTTCTGGTTATTGAGAATAAGTCATTTGAATGGAAAGTTTACACCCAGACAGCCCACAACAGACAAAACACAAAGGCAACAGGTCATTCTGACCTAAAAATCTGGCAAGTACACCAGAGTTAACACCACTATATCATGCTATATAAAAAATCTAACCATGGGCAATATACTGAATTCATCATCAGTACTCATAAAAATCTGGGCAATGTACTGAATTAAAACCCTGTAATATTAGTACTCAGAAAAATCAGGACAATATACTGAAATAAAACCCTGCTATATACGTGCTCACTAAAATCTGGGCAATATACTGAAATAAAACCCTGCTATATACGTGTTCACTAAAATCTGGGCAATATACTGAACTAAAACCCTGCTATATACGTGTTCACTAAAATCTGGGCAATATACTGAACTAAAACCCTGCTATACACATGCTCACTAAAATCTGGGCAATATAAGGAATTAAAACCCTGCTATATAAGTGCTCACTAAAATCTGGGCAATATAAGGAATTAAAACCCTCCTACATCACACAAAAATTAGGGCACTATACTGAATTAAAAACCCTGCTAATCAACAACATGCTGCAATGTAATTGTTCATGTAGCTACTGCTTCAAGATGATTTTAAATTCAAGAAATTGTTGGCTTCCACAAACAGGAAATATCTGATGTGATAGAAGCAGGGAAATTTCAAATTCTCCAATACATGTTTACAGAAATAATGAACGCTGTTCAAAAACAGGAATGAACATAAGGATGTGATACATATATTTATATAGATATGGCCACTGAAACATATGACATTATAAAATGCTGCAAAGTCATAGCTTGGCAAACCACACGTACAATATGAGATTCTGTCACAGCTACACAGGATAGAACAACATGTGGTTGGTGGTAACAGTAAGTATGACATTTAGTTACACTTCCATACGAGAAGGGGTCGTCTCCTTTTTGACAATGTGGAATCCGCCTTGTTTCTGTGAAATCAGAGCCCATGTCACTCCACATGTTTCCATCACAACACAAACAGGCATCAGTAAAATGGGACAGATACACAGGAAGAGAAACTTTGCCAGTCCAGTCCTGCGATAATTAAAGGATTTTACTGCTCCAAATATAAAAAGGAACATCATAACTCCACCCATAAAGCCACACAGGAAGTTAATGATGTTGGGCATGGGCAGGGGGCACAATGGCACAAGGACAAGGTTTGGCACAGTGACTGGCATCACCAGCCAACTGAGAACCATAACAGAGATACCAAACTTTTTCCTGGTGGGAATCTGACCACTAAGAAGAACCATTATGATGCCTTGTACCCAACGCTTCCGCTGACGAATGAAATCCATGCAAGAAAATGTACTTTTTTCCCACATTTCACCCTCAATGAATCCAAACTTGTATCCCTCTGCCCATGCACTCAATGCAAAGAAACAGTCCTCAGCGATGCTGCCTTCAGATCCAAAATCAAAGGTTATCTTTCTTTCTGCACCAACATTTGCTACCACATAACTTCCTTTCCAGCTAAATAAGGGTTTGTGTAAATATTTAAGAGTATATCGGAGGATTCCATAGTCAACACCAACACGGATTAAATCGGCAATAGTTGTTATCCAACAAACAATCTCTTCATTGGCATAGGTGATAACACCCTGACCAAAACTGTATTGTCCCTCATTTATGAAATTGATAATTCCTATAACACATGCCTCTGTCAGAAGTGTTTCCTCATCTAAATGAATGATCCAGTCATTGTCTGATAAAACATTGACATTGTCCTCAAGGCAATACTGGAGAGCACGGGCTTTGTACAAACATCCTTTCAAGGATTGATACTGCACAGGTACAACTATTTCACGAGTACGAGATGATTTAGCAAGGCTAATCGCAGTGTCAGTCACTACTTCAAAGATGAAGTTGTCAAGGCCAAGCTCTGAACATATGGCTATATTACGGCTCACATTCTTCCTGACAAGTTCAGGAAAAGTGCCACGTGTAACAACTCTAAAGCACAGAAATGGTCCAAAAAGTGTGGATGATTTCACTTTCGGTTTTTCTGGGAATGTGTTGAACATAACTATTCCGAGAAAGTTACATATAGACAGAGGCAGTGGTACTAATGTCAGAACTCTCATGATGTACATTATTATGGTTGGCCATTTTCCATATGATGCATATGGGTCAAAATTCTGCCATATACCTGGTCCAAAAGTTCCAGTCATCACAATGAATATGGCCAGAATTGTGAAGAGGAGGCATAACACAAAAAGATGAAGAAAACTAGAATAATGGATAAACTTCATCCTAATGATTCAATGATAGACTTCTGTGGACACCTTCAATGGAACGCTTCAGCATAACCTACAAAGTAAAGGTATAATGTTAACTACAAAATCTGTTAGTCTGACTGTCTGCAGAGTGACATTTATAAGATATGAGGCAGTTTAATTTGTTAAGCATGAATGCATACATCAATAAAATTTCCAATAATAGGCCTTTTTCATGAGCCCCTTATATAAATGTTATAAATATTCATAGCACATTTAGGTATTCATTTTTTTTCACAATTTAAATCATATCACATATCACTGACATTCATAATAGGTTTAAATCACATCTACTTAAACAAAAGTTGGAGCTAGTATGCTTACACTGACAGGTAAATATTATTTGTCTACAACTCTTAGATCCTTTTGTGGACCACTTATTACAATTGATGATAGATCGTAGATGTAGCCACTGATATGTCTGAATAAGTCACCTAATTAAACACTGCCACACTTAAGTTTGACCTAGGTGGCCTTAAATATGGTTATTTTTTTAAATTAAACACTGCCACACTTAATAATGGTAAAAGGTAATATTTATTTCCAAACTAATCAAACTTCATCATGTTAAATCACCAGCTAAATAAAGTAATTCTACATGTCTTGGAAAATAAAAAAGTTTGAGTAATGTAACAAATTAAACCTCTGTTACCTTAGGGTCAAGGTAATTCTTTTCGCAAACTTTGGCAGGTTTCATCCAAGGAAGCTACTAGTCAAACATCTTAATTCTAATACTTTTCAAAAACAGTTGCAGAAAGCTTGATAATTTTCAAGATGATAATGCCAACTTTTGTAACAAATGACTTTTGTCATTATTTTTTTATACTTGCTAAACAAAATGTATGTTTATGCCTTTAACAAGTGAAATGTCACGCTAGATTCTATACCACTTTCTGCCTGAAATACAGAGAAAATCATTTTTTAAAAACAAAAGTTGATCAACGAGAAGTCATCATTTGTCCTAGTTTCTTATACCTCTACATCACACGTCCCTGAACAGATAGGTATTCTGTAACGAACCCCAGCCTGTGGGCTTACTCTAATACGGTCTTATTTCGGTTTACTGTGGAGTCACGAGTAAGCCAATCGATTTCTTCATCATTATTTGCGTGACCGTTCCGGTTCATGCATGAAATGTTACATTAAATTGCAGGAGAATCGGTTTGTCCGCATGAATAAGCAGGCCTTTGTACGATCTGCTGTTACTATGATTCATCCGCACACACTCGACGGGGAAAACCGGCTGCGTATGTTCAATATTTCTTTATATTACGCTCACACTTCATGTAACAAAGTCCACACACACACATATATATATATAACACATGACGAAATTGAGAACTGGCCTTATACCTTCAAAAAATGATGAAATACACCAAAATCCTTCTCATCTTTCCATCACTCTATCCTTCGTCACCGACACCCGATTCAACGAATAACTTCGGCCGTGGACCTACAATGCGACAAAAACCGTCAGGAGACGATAAGTCAGGTCTTACATTCACAGTCCCGGACAAAAGAAATATCAAGTTACTGAAGTTTATAACCTGATTATGTATATCAAAAGCAATGAAACGTTCAGTGGTTAAATGGACTTAGTTCTTTTATGTGATTGGGTCGAACAGGAAGGTGAATATTCGGCACCATGCCATACGAGCAGCATGATTCATGAAGGGCATATAGTGAACAATGAGACAGAGGAAGGTAGAAATAAGAAAGACGAAAAGATTCCAAGAAGACTATCTCATTAGGACCAACAGACATATTTTAGTCTCTTCAATCACGCGGTAGATTATCGAGACACGAAAGAAAGCCCTGGATCGTCGGCAATTAAATACCATTGACAAAAGTATGATTTGTAACTACCGACGTTCATTTGTTTACATTAAAGCAGTGACGTTTTAACAGAGATGTATAAAACACTTCCATGATTTAAGGAAGATTTAATTATCATTCCATTAGATATTGTCAAAATGAAAGGTACATTAGAACCGAAATTCAATAAATTTCGTTATTTTTATATGTATATTATCATACCAGTTAAACATCAATCACATATTTATGTCTTATAGACATCGCCCATAGCATGCGTCTCCAACTGCGTGGTCAACTGTCGGATATAAAGATAGGCGGAACGAATTAACCAACAAACATACCAAAACACCGAATATTACTCTATGATATACCCAAAGAACACATATAAGACGAAAAACACATATGTAAACGTGTTTATATGGTAAGAAGAATACCCTTGAGAAGGGAGATAAATCCTACAAAATTACATTTATCATTTGATATTGTCTTTAAGATTAATAGAAAAAAATCCTTTTGCACCGCCACTTGGGTTTCCAAGTGTCTGATACGGGTTCATTTAAAGGGGTGGGTATGTTTGGAGAGTGGTATACATTATATTTGAGGTTTGATATTAAGATTTTTGGCTTGGGAGAGCAAAAAAAAAAGTCTCGCCAAAACGACAAACAGATAACACAAATAAAAGTAAGAGTACGGGTTGATACGGGTCAGTGCACACTAACTACAAACTTTCTGCATATTGCTGATATTCCTATATATTTGCTAACCTGGCTTGAGATCACATTCTGTAGAGTGAAAATAAAGTAAGGATATATAAATTCGACAAAAATAAACAACAAAAGTAACTGTTTTTCACATAACAATGATAGTTTTGTGCTTTGTAGGCGGATTTGGTGGAGGTGTTACGATATGACTTTTCATCAAATGTTTTGAGGAAGGTTTGTGGTTTTTTGGTGTTTTGGGTAGCTTTTGCGTGTTTTATGGGATTGATGCACAAACAGTAGATTGGATATTCTCGTTTTGGCCAACCATTCCCTGTCCGTCCTTCTTAGTGGTATAGTTCGGTGTAAACGCAACAAAAATAGTTGTTTTGAAGTACAAGTTGTTTTGATATTACACAAAGTCGTGAAAAAGCGAAGCTTACATTGTTCTATGTAAAGATGTATAGAAGACAAACCTAACATTCCCAATGCTACATCAGACCTAGTACGAAGGCGGAAATTTTGCATTAATTTTGCACATAAATGATGGACTGATTCTAGGCGACGCCAATCAGAGTTAGAGAGTTCCAGAGCTCACAACCAAACATACCTCTAGGGAGTACTACAGACAAATTTAGATGGACTCCAGTCAAGGGATTTATTCTGGGACCACATAGCGGGAAATACTTGTCCTTTGAGATATATACAGAGTTACTGTTCTTGGCGAGTGAACAGTTTCTTGTGCATGAAAGCCCGAGTTTGTTGAGTTTTCCGTCCGTTGTTCGCTATCGATGAAAAATTAACTCTATTACTTTCGGCGAATTATAGTTGAAGTATTCATGAAAATGTACAAATAAATTTCTAATTTAAAAGCAAACGGAATTTCACCGTCAAAAAGGTTATCGTGAAGTCAGGAGTACGCCTTGCAGGGGTTCCCCTGGTTTCGCGTTTATAACTTTTCTTTTTCTCAGCCAATCGCATATTACTTTTAAAATGACGTAGGACGATTATCCATCATCTTATTATACCAACTTATGAAATCGCTTGAATAAGGCAAATGTCGTCATTTCGATCTAATTTAGAGTCGGGAAATTCCAACAAAGGTAATTTCTTACCCCGGTATTTGTCACGACAAATCCAGAGCTTCGCATGTTTTGAATAATTTCTTGATATAAAAACAGTACACTTACTTCACAATGAACGAGAAAGAACTTACGAATAACATGAAACTGTGTCTCCGTCCGGGCGACGATTTCGGCTTGAGCGGGCTCCTATCATGCTTAGCGTTGTAGTCAAGAACGACAACTCAATACCGCTTCAAGTTCGCGGGAGTGTTAATATTTCACGATATGATAAATTACAATTTAGTAGAGCGAAACACTGACCTCGCAGTTTGTGGATAACATCGTCGACATCACGACGACCTGGTTTAAATTTATTCAAATTAATACACACGTGTTCAACAATTGTCATTAACGACACTGTCACCTAGATACCAAGTACAATACGATTGTGAACAAACACTACTACTTTCGTTGAAGACAATAACTACTGAGTTGGAGGCATTATATTTAAATCTCCATTTACAACTATACTTGTAGCAAATATCTATAAGCATATCTAAATTGTGTATGGTAAGTGTTAGAAGACAAATATCATCTGCTTGCGTAGGACACGTGACATTGACATCAGATATGGCTAGCGAGTATACAGAACTACTAAGATCATTCAACAGACCGTTGATATAAACAGAGTAGAGCCAAGGGGAGGTAATACTGCCCTGACGTGTTCCCTGGCTTATCTCGAACACTTTAGACACACAATTTTGATACATAACAACACTATACACATCCTTATGTAATGACATAATCATACTAACAATTTTTCTGTCAAAACCCAAACGCGATAGTTTAAAAAACAGACCGTCGAGTCAGACACAATCTGCCATCTCAGCTGTCTGATATTGTTGACTATTCTAGAATTCGTTTCAGATAACATAATAGACTCTGTTCAGATAAATCCAAACGAGCAAAGACTTCTACAAATTCTTGTTATATCCCTACAGATTCATTCAATGGAACTCTCCACCACAAATTATCATATCATCAGAAACCGTGACTCTTTCAAAACATTTTCAGCACCTTCTTCAACAATAAATATTCCTAAAATCCATGAGCATAGTTGTACTTAAAACTATAGTAAAAAATTATAGGACGTAACTTAACTAAATCACGAAAGTCATTATCCACTAAGAAGAAGAATACGCATGTTTTAGGTTGGTGTCGCATTTTGTAGCATGTTTTGACAGCAAACTCCGGATTTTAGTTATACCCATACTTTGAAACAGGAAGTAGTTAACAACTTGGAACAACATCCTGTATCATAGACGATGTCAGATTTATGCCGATTCAATATCTTAATATCTTTATAGATATACTGACGAAATAATTATCAAAGGTAAGATAAATATCTTTATACACCACACATATAATACAGTAGCCAATTTGATTAAGGAGGCCTATTATAGATCTCTGTTGCATTAAGAATTACACCTGCACACTGTTTGGCTTCTGAAATTTTGACATGTCATCAACCAGGATCTATCAACTACCGGGTCCAGTTTGATTGATCATATATGTACAATGATCCTTAATAGCTGTATAAACTGAATACTTTCGAATAGTAATAAAATAATTTTGATTATTAATTTAGTTCCTTAACTTCATGAAAAATATTACTAGTAAAAATCAAAAGAAAAAAAAAAAAAAGAAAAGAAAACAAATATCAAATTTCCATGTCCTAAATAATCACCTCTGGTTTTATGTCATTTTGTTGTAAGGTTATTGAATCTAAAATATTAAAAAATGTAGATATATTTGATTGGTTGATATATACATATTGCTTGATCGGGAGATTTTACTTGAATCTGAAGAAACGCCAATAACGTTAACACTTTACATGCATTTATTCAGTAATGCTGCACCAAAAGAGCCAGGGGTCCATACTTGGGATCCCCACTAAAGGTGCTCAACACCAGGGCACATTGATATACAGTCATATTCACGCAATATTGTTCAAAAATGGAATTAATATAATATTTACAAATCCTAATTCCAACAACTACTTAACAGCAGTGAAAACAAAAATTGAGAACTGATTAAGAATCACAGAAACATGTGATTGTAGAGCAATTACACATCCATATGTACTTAAAACAAACAGGTGTTAACCTATGTAACCCTGGTAAAATACTAGGTGCACTCAGGGTTTTCCATAAGAGCCGGTCGCCGGCCAATTTGACCGGCTACTTTGATCATTTGGCCGCCTACACCAATCCAGTTCCATAATAATGTTCCGTACACGACTATATGTACACGGCAGGCCAGCCTCCTACTTTCACTACACAGCCTACTACTAACAAAATTATGGAAAACCCTGGCACTATACCACTCGGCTAGAGAGAACAACGTCTCTTTAGCTCGAGTGGTTGAGTGTCAGACTAGTAAGCCAGGGGTCCTGGGTTATATTCCTAGCGGAGGCATTGAAATAAGTAATGATCTCTGTTACATTGAAATTATGACACATGTTACTATCTGGGACAAGACCTTAGAATTAATACAACTCTAAAACAAGAAGGTTACTAGCTATATCTATTATACATACACAATTTTATATCAGCATGGAAAAAAACAATCATAAACAAACACCTGTAACTGTAGCCACTTCTACATGCAGGCCTCTTGCAAAGGGAAAAAAATGTACTTCTTGGGAAATGTATTTTCATTGTCACCATGTCGGTATGACATGACTAGGTATGACTAGTGCCCACAACTGAGCATGTACACAGCCATAGAATACACATCTACAGTAACAATATGTAAAGTCTATTAATAATCAGGACTGAGGAAAAGCACTATCTTAGCTACATCTACAGTGTGATCAAGCAACGCCAGGGGTTAACTTTAGCTTTCTGTACCACTGGGACATGTCATGGCAAAATTGAAGGCACAAGTGAAGTAATTTGATTGATTCCAGGAGAAAAAAAACTGACCAATTACATGCTGATACACTCCTTTTGAAGAATACGAAGGAGCAACACCTATCTTTAAAGCCATTATAATATACTGTTATGTGACCTCGAGATTCGTTTGATGTGCATCAAAGGATCTAACTGGTCTTTTTGTCTTGTCCACAAGGTGTCACACATATGCATAGAACCTTCAATTTTGCAATATGTTCCAGGGGTGCAGAGAGTGAAAGTGATTGTAACCCCTGAAATATCAAGGATACAAATACAGTAACACTTCTTCACCTGAGAAAGGTGATGGTGTAGTCATTGAAATGGTATACATAAATTCTCTTACTGGTTCTGATATAACATAATCTTTTAAAATATTCAATATACATGAAATTGTCAATGACTGATATATTCCCAGGCATGTAACTCAGACCTATACTTTAAGATATACATTATATTGTTTGCACACTACACAGTACGGTCCTGAATTACCATTCTCATGAGATTGATGAAATGAGTCTGAACTTTTTTCATTTCAGAGGTAAAAAAAACCAATTTTTTTATGTTTTCCCACATAACTTATGGTAGATACTTTTTGACCTTAGGGTTTTAAAAAACTGATACAAAATTGTATTATCAATCTAAAAGTCTTTCTTTGGTGATGTCACAATATATATGACACCATGGAGTTATGTGGTCACAATGGAATCAGATAGGAATCTCCAGCCTATCACAGCTCCACTTGTTTATATGTAATAACAAATATTTATGTAACTATCACATTGATAACAGGGTGCATATTTTCTTATATAACATATATGTGATAAAAATATTTACATTGCTCATGCTGTTAAGGTACAATGTATACAGGTAAACAACACTATGAAGATATGTCATATCAAGAGTTTAAATTTGACACTTTGTTATGTACATGTAAGCAGCATTGAAAGAAACAGTATACCAATCATTATTGCTGTTCAGTTCAGTCAGATATAGAGGTAAGTAATTCTTGTTAAAATACGTAAGTATACCTAACAATTTCTTATATGGCTTCCCTAGCAGTTTTAGTACAACCTGATATTGACTTGTGACAATAGGATGCTGACTTATGACAACTGAATATTGACTTGTTACAATAGGATACTGATGTGTGACAACAGGAGAATGACTTGTGACAACATGACGTTAACTATTGACATTTTGATACTGACTTGGATCTGATCTAAACATTTTTCCTGCCCATATGTTTCTTATCAAGAATATCAGTGAGGATTTACAAACAGTAAAAATACTTTATAAATATCATCATACACATGGGTATATCTCTAGAAGTTACAATACTTTGTACTCATTACACCTGTCTCAAGACATCACAGGACACTGTACTCATTACACCTGTCTCAGGACATCACAGGACACTATATTCATTACACCTGTCTCAGGACATCACAGGACACTATACTCATTACACCTGTCTCAGGACATCACAGGGCACTATACTCATTACACCTGTCTCAGGACATCACAGGACATTGTACTGATTACACCTGTCTCGGGACATCACAGGACACAACTCTATACACCTGTCTCAGGACATCACAGGACACTGTACTCATTACACCTGTCTCAGGACATCACAGGACACTATACTCATTACACCTGTCTCAGGACATCACAGGACACTATACTCATTACACCTGTCTCAGGACATCACAGGACACTATACTCATTACACCTGTCTCAGGACATCACAGGACACTGTACTCATTACACCTGTCTCAGGACATCTGTCTCTGGACATCACAGGACACTGTACTCATTATGCCTGTCTCAGGACATCACAGGACACTGTACTCATTACACCTGTCTCAGGACATCACAGGACACTGTACTCATTAAACCTGTCTCAGGACATCACAGGACACTGTACTCATTACACCTGTCTCAGGTTATCACAGGACACTGTACTCATTACACCTGTCTCAGGACATCACAAGACGTTGTACTGATTACACCTGTCTCGTGACATCACAGGACACAACTCTATACACATGTCTCAGGACATCACAGGACACTGTACTCATTACACCTGTCTCAGGACATCACAGGACACTGTACTCATTACACCTGTCTCAGTACATCACAGGACACTGTACTCATTACACCTGTCTCAGTACATCACAGGACACTGTACTCATTACACCTGTCTCAGGACATCACAGGACACTATACTCATTACACCTGTCTCAGGACATCACAGGACATTGTACTGATTACACCTGTCTCGGGACATCACAGGTCACAACTCTATACACATTTCTCAGGACATCACAGGACACTGTACTCATTACACCTGTCTCAGGACATCACAGGACACTGTACTCATTACACCTGTCTCAGGACATCACAGGACACTATACTCATTACACCTGTCTCAGGACATCACAGGACACTATACTCATTACACCTGTCTCAGGACATCACAGGACACTGTACTTATTACACATCTCAGGACATCACAGGACACTGTACTCATTACACCTGTCTCAGTACATCACAGGACACTGTACTCATTACACCTGTCTCAGGACATCACAGGACACTATACTCATTACACCTGTCTCAGGACATCACAGGACACTGTACTCATTACACCTGTCTCAGGACATCACAAGACGTTGTACTGATTACACCTGTCTCGGGACATCACAGGACACAACTCTATACACATGTCTCAGGACATCACAGGACACTGTACTCATTACACCTGTCTCAGGACATCACAGGACACTGTACTCATTACACCTGTCTCAGTACATCACAGGACACTGTACTCATTACACCTGTCTCAGGACATCACAGGACACTGTACTCATTACACCTGTCTCATTACATCACAGGACACTGTACTCATTACACCTGTCTCAGGACATCACAGGACACTATACTCATTACACCTGTCTCAGGACATCACAGGACATTGTACTGATTACACCTGTCTCGGGACATCACAGGTCACAACTCTATACACATTTCTCAGGACATCACAGGACACTGTACTCATTACACCTGTCTCAGGACATCACAGGACACTGTACTCATTACACCTGTCTCAGGACATCACAGGACACTGTACTCATTACACCTGTCTCAGGACATCACAGGACACTGTACTCATTACACCTGTCTCAGGACATCACAGGACACTATACTCATTACACCTGTCTCAGGACATCACAGGACACTATACTCATTACACCTGTCTCAGGACATCACAGGACACTGTACTTATTACACATCTCAGGACATCACAGGACACTGTACTCATTACACCTGTCTCAGGACATCACAGGACACTGTACTCATTACACCTGTCTCAGGACATCACAGGACACTGTACTCATTACACCTGTCTCAGGACATCACAGGACACTATACTCATTACACCTGTCTCAGGACATCACAGGACACTGTACTCATCACACCTGTCTCAGGACATCACAGGACACTGTACTCATTACACCTGTCTCAGGACATCACAGGACACTGTACTCATTACACCTGTCTCAGGACATCACAGGACACTGTACTCATTACACCTGTCTCAGGACATCACAGGACACTGTACTCATTACACCTGTCTCAGGTTATCACAGGACACTGTACTCATTACACCTGTCTCAGGACATCACAAGACGTTGTACTGATTACACCTGTCTCGGGACATCACAGGACACAACTCTATACACATGTCTCAGGACATCACAGTACATTATACTCTATACAGTCAAGCCTTGTTAATCCAGCCAACTTTGTTTTCAACCAAAAGCGGCTGAATTACTAAAGCATACCAAAACAGGATCTGTTTGAGTTTTGTCCCAAGTCAGTAACAAGACTTATACAGTGTTACTATTGATTCTACTATAATACTTGAACATTGCATTTTCGTATATATATTTGTAATGAGACATGTTTGCAATAACCACTAATGATTAATAATTTGTAATATAAATATCCAGACACAACAAGGAAATAAATCCAGTGTTGACGAAAAAGTACTCAAACACAACACATGATAAATATCCATGTATAACTAAGTAATAAAGCAGCACTAAAAACTGGAATCCACATGAGGTTGTAAGATCACTATTGCATAAGCGATTATCAGGGAATGTTGGGAAATATTGCTGATACTGGAACATTATACGGCCACGACCAGGGCCTTCTCATTTAATCAGTTTTAATTTGTAACTATGATTAAAAGTTAAAATTGCTTGTTAAAAATTAAAACAATTCATGACTAGTGAATTGTGACTTAATTTGTTTACAATGGGTCTGTTTATACTTGTCTTCTCCGTAGTATTTTACTGTCACATTTTGACCTGCAGTACTGAAGTAGACAAACCTGACTAGTTAACAGTTAACAATGGGAACAATGTCCAAATACTTGATTTATATTTGGTTCTTTTTCTACAAAGCGACTGATAACTGTGGTATATGGAAACTTTTTCATGTGTCTGATAAGAAAAGCTCTCAAACAAAGCAGTGGTAATCTGAATTCAAGCAGACAAATCCTCCGCCAACCTTTCTGTACATGACAAGTGTCAAAATAAACATTGGTTCCTGAGTAGTTTGCACACTTTAATTTCTAGCCATCAAACTTCTTCTGTTGTTGTGCTACGTGCATTGTCGGTAATTTTCTTTTCTTCAAAACCCTATTCCTCTTTCATACCTGAATGAATTTCAACCGAATTCAGTCAGATGTGCATCATGGGAAAAGGGGAAGCATTACTTAAATTCAGAATTTTGATTCGATACTTAGGGGTCAATGGTCAGTGCCCCAGAGGGGAAGGTGTTGAAATTAGATTTAAAACCCTACTCCTCCTTTTTGCTTAAGTGGATTTCAACAAACTTTGGCCTGATTCATCATCAGTAAGGGTCGGCAAATATTTCTGAAATTCAGAAATTTGATTCTACCCCTAGGAACTGGGGGAGGGGAGCAAAACGGGGAAATTAGTCAATATTTTGCTTTGAAACGCTACTCGTGTCTAATGCTTGAATGGATTTCAACCAAATTTGGTCTGAAACATCATTGATAGTTGGGAATGTCACAAACCACTTAACTCAGTAAACCCATTGCAGGATCATGAACTAAGTACTCCCATCATAGAACGACACAATACATTGAACTCAGTACACCTATCACAGAATGTTACAAAACACTGATCGCAGTACACTTATCACAAGACATTGTAATACATTGCACTCAGTATACCCATCACAAAAATGTCACAAAACACTTAACTCAGTACACCCATCATAGAATGTCAGAAAACACTTAACCCAGTATACCCATCACAGAATGTCACAAAACACTTAACTCAGTATACCCATCATAGAATGTCACAAAACACTTAACTCAGTACACCCAGCATAGAAAGTCACAAAACACTTAACTCAGTACACCTATCATAGAATGTCATAAAACACTTAATTCAGTACACCCATCAAAGAATGTCACAAAACACTTAATTCAGTACACCCATCAAAGAATGTCACAAAACACTTAATTCAGTACACCTATCATAGAAAGTCACAATACATTGAACTCTCTACACCCAGCATAGGATGTCACAAAACACTTAACTCAGTACACCCATCATAGAAAGTCACAAAACACTTAACTCAGTACACCCATCATAAAAAGTCACAATACATTGAACTCTCTACACCCAACACAGGATGTCACAAAACACTTAACTCAGTACACCTATCATAGAAAGTCACAATACATTGAACTCTCTACACCCAGCATAGGATGTCACAAAACACTTAACTCAGTACACCCATCATAGAAAGTCACAAAACACTTAACTCAGTACACCCATAAAAAGTCACATAGAACTCTCTACACCCAACACAGGATGTCACAAAACACTTAACTCAGTACACCTATCATAGAAAGTCACAATACATTGCACTCAGTACACCCATCATAGAATGTCACAAAACACTTGACTCAGTACACCCATCATAGAATGTCACAAAACACTTAACTCAGTACACCCATCATAAAAAGTCACAATACATTGAACTCTCTACACCCAACACAGGATGTCACAAAACACTTAACTCAGTACACCTATCATAGAAAGTCACAATACATTGAACTCTCAGGATGTACACTTAACTCCACCCATCATAAAAAGTCACAATACATTGAACTCTCTCACAAAACACAAAACACTTAACTCAGTACACCCATCATAGAAAGTCACAATACATTGAACTGTCTACACCCAGCATAGGATGTCAAAAAACACTTAACTCAGTACACCTATCATAGAAAGTCACAATACATTGAACTCTCTACACCCAGCATAGGATGTCACAAAACACTTAACTCAGTACACCCATCATAGAAAGTCACAAAACACTTAACTCAGTACACCTATCATAGAAAGTCACAAAACACTTAACTCAGTACACCTATCATAGAAAGTCACAATACATTGAACTCTCTACACCCAGCATAGGATGTCACAAAACACTTAACTCAGTACACCCATCATAGAAAGTCACAAAACACTTAACTCAGTACACCCATCATAAAAAGTCACAATACATTGAACTCTCTACACCCAACACAGGATGTCACAAAACACTTAACTCAGTACACCTATCATAGAAAGTCACAAACATTGAACTCTCTACATTGTCACAAAACACACTCAGTACACCCATCATAGAATGTCACAAAACACTTAAATCAGTACACCCATAAAAAGTCACAATACATTGAACTCTCTACACCCAACACAGGATGTCACAAAACACTTAACTCAGTACACCTATCATAGAAAGTCACAATACATTGAACTCTCTACACCCAACACAGGATGTCACAAAACACTTAACTCAGTACACCCATCATAGAAAGTCACAATACATTGAACTCTCTACACCCAACACAGGATGTCACAAAACACTTAACTCAGTACACCCATCATAGAAAGTCACAATACATTGAACTCTCTACACCCAGCATAGGATGTCACAAAACACTTAACTCAGTACACCCATCATAGAAAGTCACAATACATTGAACTCTCTACACCCAGCATAGGATGTCACAAAACACTTAACTCAGTACACCCATCATAGAAAGTCACAATACATTGAACTCTCTACACCCAGCATAGGATGTCACAAAACACTTAACTCAGTACACCCATCATAGAAAGTCACAATACATTGAACTCTCTACACCCAGCATAGGATGTCACAAAACACTTAACTCAGTACACCCATCATAGAATGTCACAATACATTGAACTGTCTACACCCAGCACAGGATGTTAAATACTCTGAATCCAGAACACAATATGGCAATATCATAATGTACTGAACTCAGTTCATCCATCACGGGACTTTGTTATATACATTATTTAATGGGCAGGTGATTGTAGTTGTAAATCAATCTAAACATCACATGCAAAAGGTTATTATGGTGCATATCTAAATTTTAATTTTGAAAAAGAAAGTGCAAAATTGATATGATTAACAGTGAATCAATGAGTTTAAAGTTTTCAGATTTAGAATTGATGAAAATTTATTTTGATTTTCAGAAGAAGATTTAGCATAAGAAAATGCAGAAAACTACAGTGATAGAAGTGGAGGGAATGACATGTGGGTCATGTGTGAGGAACATTGAGGAGACATTAGGACGAGATATTGGTGTCTACAGTATCCAGGTAAAACTGACTTGCCTGTAGGCATTGTATACTGCAACAAAAAAAGAAATGCACAATTTAATTATGCAATTACTAACCATACAATATTTTTTGGAAATTTGTGCAAAATTTTATATCAATGTGAAGGGACAAGTTTATTCTTTACGATACTGTAGAAGAAAAGTCTGTGTGTGTGATGTCTCTGTCACTGTTGTCATCAGTAGTTACTCAAATGTGTAGGCACCTCTTGCACGAATCTTTGCAGGGTTTCTCCTTTGCATTGAATTCATGAGAACATCAATTTGCCTTAAGGGAATGTTGTTTCATTCTTGTGTTGATGCTGTGATCAACTGGGCGCGGTTAGTTTGGGGGTTTTGACATTTCCTAATATGCCTGTCCAGCTCATCCCAAAGATGATTAATAGGAGACATGTCAGGGCTATGTGGGGGCCATTCCAGAGGCTGAACATTGTTTGCCATGAGAAAATCACAACAGACTCTGGCAACATGCGGTCGAACATGGTCTTGCTGGAAAATCAGGTTATGATGTCTGAGAAGTGGAAGGACATGTGGTTGGAATGGCATTGAGGTTTTGATCCAGGACCACTCCAGGGCATTTAACTCTATGGGATTAGCCTCCCCAAACCATTACTGAAACCCGAATCTGTCACATTCAACTACGCATGCATGATATATATGAGTGATACAGACAGAATCAAGACTCGTCAGTGAACATCACATGTCTCCACTGATGCATCCCAAACCTATTCGGGCCATGTCTGCACATCCAGTCATGACACACTTGCTGCCTCCATGGTGTCAGGTGGGCACACAATGATTCTCTCGGCATGCAAGCAGTCTCCACAGCAGTTTTAAATCTGTTGTGCTAGTGTGACAATCGAATCATCCTGTCTTGTTGTGCAGTTATTACATGCAGACGACTGCTCCTGGGATGATTGAAAACTAATCAAGTAGCATTGAAATGTGTATCAAGACAGTTAATTATACACAGGGCAACGCCAAACTGCCGTGTGACAGTAGATTGTTCATATGGATGACCTAGACTCACTTTCTTGTTCACAAGGGTCAAATTTGTTTAAATAATTTCTCAATAGCTAAAAGGCCCAGGATGCTGATATTAGGTCTGTGGCATGCTTGGAGTTAGGGATACCAAGTTTGTCTCTCTCAATGACCGTGACCCGCTTTCAAAGTCACAGGGTCAAATTTATAAAATGTTTAACAATTCATATCAATAACCAAAAGGTTTAGGGTGCTGATATTAGAACTGTAGCATGCTTCAAATTTGTGCTACCAGATTTGTCGATAAGAATGACCTTGACTTGCTTTTAAGGTCACAGATGTCAAATATGAAAAGAAACTTTAAAAGCCTCCATCTCAATAATCGAAAGGCCCAGGGTGGTGATATTGGGCCTATAGCATGCTAGGATATAGAAATACCAAGTTTTTTTAATACGAATGAACTTGACCAACTTTCAAGATCACAGGGGTCAAATATCTTTCAACAACTTCTTCTGAATAACCAGGTGCTGATATTAGGACTGTAGTATGCTAGGATGAATTGCTAACATGTTTGTGAATATAAATATCTAAACATGCCTTCAAATTCGTAGGTATCAAATGTGTTAAAAATACAAAATGACCTTCTAAATAACTAAAAGACCCAGGGTGCTGATATTACGCCTGTTGCATGCTTGGAGTTTGGCTATTAAATTTGTCAATATGAATGACCTTGACTTGCTTTCCAAGTCACATGGGTCAAATTTGTCAAAATCTTTAAACAACAACTTCTCCATAACCAAAAGATCCATGATACTGATATTGGGACTTTAACATGCTGAGATGAAGGGGTACTAAGTTTGTTAGGTCATCTGACCTGAAGGGTCAAAGATATCAGATATGTTAAAGTCTTTAAACAATTTCTTCTCAATAACCAAAAGACCCAGTTTTGTGATATTTGGCCTTTAGCATGAAACTACCAAGTTTTTTTAATATGAATGACCTTGGCCCACTTTGAAGGTCTTAGGGGTCAAATATGTTTAAATCTTCTTATCAACTACCAAAAGGTCCATGGAACTGATATTGGGCTTGTAGCTTGCTGGGATGAAGGGCTGCCAGGTTTGTTCACCCTGACCTGTCAAGGTTACAAGGGTTAAACGTGATGAAATACACAACTTCTCCATAACCAATTTAACACTATTTGCATCTATACAAATGAATCAGTCATTTCACCCTGCTTCAGAGATTATTTAATTATGTTGAATTTTGTATTAAAATTCTGTCTTGTATTCTGAAACGTTTATGCACTTGTAAATATCTGGTTTTGTGTATGCAAATATCATCATAACATTTCCATATCACATAGGGCCAGTCAAAACAAGTATGTGACGTAGACATTCGTATTGAAAAAGTAAAGGAATCTCAATGCTCTCAAAATCCTTCAAGTCATCTAGTTTATAAGCTTTAACTGCTGAATTGACACTGGGATTTATATATATTAGCCCTCTGCCATCTCTTGTTAAATATATACTGGATATCCGAGTAATTCTCTTGTTTATGTAATGAGAATTGACACACTTACACGTGTAGAACGGAGTACACATGTCAGGTACATACATAAATAACTCTGTCACAAAACAATTTCTTACTTCCAAAACTAATGAGCCGTAATTATAAAATGTCTTTAACACTTGTCTAATCATATTCCATATACCGGTATGTTATACATTAAAATGTTGATTCATAACAGCAACAGCTGTTCTTACCACGATCATGTATTGAGAAATGTACATATAATGCTTAAATGATTATCGCTGACTCCTTTAATGTGGATTTTCTACTAATGTGATTTTATTTGAAAGTTTTGTTTGCTCTTTGTATATTGATATATAAGTTGTAAGTTAAAGTAATTTATCTTTCTATCAAGGGTATCGCACAAAAATAGGATCATATGGAAATGTCTGTTTTCTACACTACTGTTTACATATTAGACAAAGTCAGTCGAGGTAATACTTAAATGTCACATGTAACACATGACAGGTCACCTCATTAAATTTCTCACTCATGCATAACAAGTAATTTTCCCTAAAAACAGGTATCAGGATATATTTGGGCAACATGATCTATGATGTATCAGAATTTAACGAATATCGTGGCCAAAATGCTTAATTGGAATGTTTCCTTGGTCAGAGTATATATACACCCATAAGTGGAGTATTTCCCTTTGGTCAGGTCATACCTTATACCCTTAATTTGAATATTTCCCTGATCAGGTCATAACATACACCTTTACTTGGAATATTTGCCTTATCCGGTCACACTTACACCCTTAATTGGAGTATTTCCTTGGTCAGAGCCTACCAAATTCCTTAAACATGCCTAGAGTATTTAATTTCCTTGGTAAGGTCAACTTTATCAATGTGTACATCCAGCAGAGCCGATGTGACCTGAAATAGTTGTGTTGGTGGGCTGAACTTACAGATGTAACAGAGTCAATATCAAGTCATCACTGATTGTAACATTAGCAAATCTTCCCTTTTCCTTTAATATCTATAGATTACCATTGATAATTCCATTATGGAGTGACTTACCATGATGTTTCATTTCAATTTCCTTTTCAAAAGTTTAAAAGCAGTGTATACTTTGTTGCACTCTTAAAGAAGACTAGATCTCAGTCAACCACTTATAAATATCCTATTTATGCTGTCCAGTACACTTGTGTTTGAAGACAATTTTATTTGCCCATGTCTAGTGTACAGGCCTCCGGGCACAGATGTGACGAGCCTCCAGGATGTAATTACTTGATCTGTCAGCTATTTCATATCCTAGTTAACACTTGTTCAGGATTGTGATGTATAGGTCTACGTCACTACAGCCTTGTTTGTCTGCGTGTCGTTTTCACCGGATCTGTTGATATTACAGGAAAGCTTCTGTGTATTTATAACTTCTGATATTTTCTCTCGTGATCATGGACATTTAAATTCTTTACTTGTAGATACACACGACAGCAGTGCTTTAAGATTATTAAGAGATATTTAATGGTAGCTGAGAGCCAGAGTCTTACCTGGCTGTGGAAGTATTGGCTAGTAGTGATCATTTCTGTATGTGTGTGGATTGGGAGCCCCTAAGGGGCTAGTGATGTACATCATTTCCTTGTGTCTGTTGATTGCAGGGACTCCCTAAGGGGCTGTCTCTCCAGTGTAATATACCTGTACTTTTGGATTTTGATTTGTACATTATATTCAAAAGTGAAAATGTCATTCTTAAACCAGGGAAAGTACACTAAACTTGATGTAAGTATTCTGGTAAGGTACACTACATTTATAATGATTGTTAGTCATTTTTCTCTTACATACATATTAATGGATCATTTTCATGTGTAAGATTTTTTTTTTATCTGAAGACGCTCTTTCCAGTCATTACTTTAGTCACCAGAATGTTTGTGATTTTACTGAAATGGAAGGGTCGACTAGATATATCAATTAACTTTGTTGAATTTCATTGCACTCCACATTCCTAGTGTACTAAAAATGAGATTTTACTCACCTGCTCCCCAGTACTACAACTGTGTTGAAACATGATAGCTATTACTCAATCCCTCCACAGTCCTAGTGTACTGAAATGTGATTGTTCTCACCCCTCCACAGTAATAGTGTACTGAAATGTGATTGTTCTCACCCTCTCTACAGTCCTAGTGTACTGAAATGTGATTGTTCTCACCCTCTCTACAGTCCTAGAGTACTGAAATGTGATTGTTCTCACCCCTCCATTGTCCTAGTGTACTTAAATGTGATTGTTCTCACCCTCTCTACAGTCCTAGAGTACTGAAATGTGATTGTTCTCACCCCTCCATTGTCCTAGTGTACTGAAATGTGATTGTTCTCACCCCTCCATTGTCCTAGAGCACTGAAATGTGATTGTTCTCACCCCTCCATTGTCCTAGTGTACTTAAATGTGATTGTTCTCACCCTCTCTACAGTCCTACTGTACTGAAATGTGATTGTTCTCACCTCTCCATTGTCCTAGTGTACTGAAATGTGATTGTTCTCACCCCCTCCACAGTCCTAGAGTACTGAAATGTGATTGTTCTCACCCCTCCATTGTCCTAGTGTACTGAAATGTGATTGTTCTCACCCCCTCCACAGTCCTAGAGTACTGAAATGTGATTGTTCTCACCCCTCCATTGTCCTAGTGTACTGAAATGTAATTGTTCTCATTGTTCTCCCCTACAGTCCTAGTGTACAGTCCTAGAGTGTACTGAAATGTGATTGTTCTCACCCCTCCATTGTCCTAGTGTACTGAAATGTGATTGTTCTCACCCCCTCCACAGTCCTAGTGTACTGAAATGTGATTGTTCTCACCCCTCCACAGTCCTAGTGTACTGAAATGTGATTGTTCTCACCTCTCCATTGTCCTAGTGTACTGAAATATGATTGTTCTCACCCCCTCCACAGTCCTAGTGTACTGAAATGTGATTGTTCTCACCCCTTCCACAGTCCTAGTGTACTGAAATGTGATTGTTCTCACCCCCTCCACAGTCCTAGTGTACTGAAATGTGATTGTTCTTACCCCTTCCACAGTCCTAGTGTACTGAAATGAGATTGTTCTCACCCTCTCTACAGTTCTGAAGTACTGAAATGTGATTATTCTCACCCCCTCCATGGTCCTGGTGTACTGAAATGTGATTCTCACCCCCTCCACAGTTCTACTGTACTGAAATGTGATTGTTCTCACCCCCTCCATGGTCCTGGTGTACTGAAATGTGATTCTCACCCCCTCCACAGTCCTACTGTACTGAAATGTGATTGTTCCCACCCCCTCCATGGTCCTGGTGTACTGAAATATGATTGTACTTGTCCCTTCAATAGTCCATGTCTACTGAAATGTGATAGTACTCCCCCTTCTCCAAAGTCCTAGTGTACGAAAATGTGAACGGGCTAGTCCTCTCCAAAATCCTAGTAAGATAAATCATTACTGTGGATAGATTTAGTGTCATCACCCTGACATCTTAAAGGATCCCATTTAGATTAATCATTAATGTAGATATATGTAGTGTCACCCCCTACCCTAAAAATATGGTCTGGGTTCAGCTCTAAAGTTGATAGTGAGTGATGATTATTGTCTGATATTTGTGTTGTTACAGGTGATCCTGGAGAACAAAGAGGCTACCATTAAGTACAGCCCAACAGAAACCTCTCCTCCTATCCTTGCTGAAAACATTGAAAATATGGGTTTCCCTTCAAAAGTCAAATCCGTGCATCCAGCCAGCACTGACCAAGCCACCAGGGAAGAAGCACTTATAAGCATCAAAGGAATGACTTGTATGTCCTGTGTTAGGAATATTGAAGGTCGTGTGAAGGATATTGATGGAGTTGAGTCCATATCAGTACTGTTAGACAAGAATCAGGGAAAGGTTTGTTTTGACCCAACGATGATATCTGGGGAGAAGATCGCAGCCATCATAGATGATATGGGGTTTGAGGCATGCTTGGATACTGCTGGCAATTTGGCTGCCAAGATACAAGTGGAGGGAATGACATGCCAGTCGTGTGTGAAGAACATTGAAACCAACCTCTCAAAGCAAGCTGGCATCAAGGAAATCAAAGTCTCGCTGGCTGACAAGGAAGCTTTCATCATTTATGATCCCAAAGTTACCAATCCTCTCACTCTTGCAAGCCACATAGATAATCTGGGGTTTGAGGCATCACTGCCAAGAGGAAAAGAATCATCATTGGAGGCTGAATTTGATAGGCTTGCTAACAGAGGTAGATCTGGGGGACCAAGCAGATGCACTATCTCAATTAAGGGGATGACCTGTAACTCATGTGTAAAAAACATTGAAGGCAACATCTCTGATAAACTGGGCATATTGAAAATAAATGTGGTGTTAGAGAAAGAAATCGGCCTCATAGAATTTGACCCAGGGGTGACCAGTGCTGATAAGATAGCTGACATGATTGATGACATGGGGTTTGAAGCAAAGGTAGTAGATGGGGATGATGGAGGCTCAAGACCAGAGACTGCCTCTACAGTCATCAGCATTCATGGCATGACATGTAACTCGTGCGTAAAGACCATTGAGGATACACTTGGGAAGAATTCTGGTGTTAAGATGATCAGTGTGTCTTTATCTGACCAGACTGGGAAGATAGACTACTACCCAAACAGAATCACTCCACAGATGTTATGTGATGTTATTGAGGACATGGGTTTTGATGCCTTTCTCCCAGGTACGCAAATGTTTTTGTTTTTTTCAACCAAAAAACACTCACTAAGCTTAGTATATTCATTTATATTTAGTACTACACTGTTGACCAATGAAAGGTTTAGTATTATACTGTGTTGACCAATCAAAGGTTTGGTATGATTCTGTGTTGACCAATCAAAGGCTTGGCATTATACTGTGTTGACCAATCAAAGGTTTGGTATGATACTGTGCTGACCAATGAAAGGTTTGGTATTATACTGTGTTGACCAATGAAAGGTTTGGTATCAGACTATGTTGACCAGTGAATGGTTTGGTCAGGTTAACAGCGTAATGCCAAACCCTTCACTGGTCAACACCGTGTAATATAAAAAATTTTCACTAGTCAACAAAATGGTTATGAAAGTTTGAGACACAAAGTATTATACTACATACTTAACAGACTAAGTGTTTATAATAGTATTCGGATTGAGATTTGCTTCAATCACGAACTAGCATTGTCCTGGTTTGTAGAGGATTCTTTGAGGCATAACAAAATAGTGAAAATAAAATCAGACAAATGTCCATTGTGTGGAGTGCACTAGCACTGATGTACATACCGGGTAGTGTACGCGATGATACGGAATCAACCAACGTTTTCGGCTGCACTATTAATGCTTTGTACACTGATGTCGAGAATAGTGTGACGAGATGGTAAACAGATTATAGACCAAAAACATAATCCTAATGGTAATTCTGCCCCGCCCCGCCCCTCCCCTCACCTTTAAACAATTTTTTCTCATGAACGAAAAGGCTGACAGGCATGGGATTTGGCTAGTAGATATATACCAGGTGAGAGTTACAAGTCCATTGTGCGACTTGTATGACTGTATATATAACATCATCATCTCAGGATTAATATTTCTTGTCACACAATGTATGCTCAAACCTGGTAATCATGATATAATTGAATAAACTGTTTTTTCATGTCCTGCTGTCACATTGTGCATGTGCCAGCTGACATTACAATGTGTTGCAAGTGACCGGCATGTGGAGCACAAAATGTAGGCAAATGATATAGTCAAAAGGTAATAGTCTTTCACTACACCTTTTGATAAGATAAATGTACAAAGACTATCATTATTGTGATGAGAAAGGAACTATATAAAAATATGACTTACAGACATGCTTCATAAATACCAATGAGGCCAATTTTATACAACAAATCTGTAGTCAGACTCTGCATACCACTATGTCAAAGCTAACTTCTGCTAATACACAATGTTTCACCCAGGCCACTGCCTTTACCATTTGATAAATTCCCGTCTTGTTACTTACCATAACGTTTTTAAACACTTTGTCCTGATTTGGTACATCAGCTCTGTTTGTTTGCATTAATATCTATAGTAATAATTTCATTTATTTTTGTTGTTCACAAGTAAATGGTTGAATCCTGTGTTAGTTTTGGGTACCAGATTTATATTCCAGACAATCAATAGCCTCACTGAATGTTTGATCTTCCAACAGGGGAAAAATAATGAAAAATCCTATAGCTACCTAATGTGCGTACTTTGGACCTTTTCATTTTTTAAGAAAAAAAAAAATGTGCACTTTATGCTTAGGTTTTTAGGGAAGCAAAACAAAACATATCAAGATCCCTCTGGAATCTCATGTTCTCTTGTAGATGTATTTACTTGAAGATGATGGCTGCATGAAGAGGTTATCCTAAAATCTTCAATGCTATAAATTGGGAAACAGCAAGTTTTCTTTTTAAGACATTGATTGTGTCCATGTTAATTAAGTTGGAATTCAACCAAAATAGTTTGTATGATTTTAGTTTCATTTTAAGAGATTTTCTAAATATTATTAGGAAGTTCCAGGGACCCTAACAAGTTACCCGAGGTAGCGGTGACCAAGTCATCAAGTGCTGTATCTGAAGCGAGTCGCAATGTTTGTGAATCTGTGAAGATTGGCACAAATGCTGTTCATTACAAGCGTGGACAGGAAGATGAGGATGGCGAGTATGAAAAATGTTTTCTACGAGTGACTGGGATGACTTGTGCCTCCTGTGTTAACACTATAGAGAAAAATCTTGGAAAGAAGGAAGGTAAGGATCTAACTTTTAAAAGAAAAAGATTCCAGTCAAAAGTTTTCTTTAAATTACATACAGTGCTGTAATGATATCTGTCTGTCTTGTCTAGGGATCGGTTCCGTATTGGTAGCCCTGATGGCCCAGAAAGCTGAAGTGAAATATGACCCTGCCTACATTCTCCCATCACAAATCGAAAATGCCATTAACAATATGGGCTTCCACGCCACTGTACTGGAGAACGAGACAGCAGGACAGGGTGTCGTGGAATTGCTGGTGAGTGGTGTGTCTCTTTAAGTGTTTTGTCCATGATTCTGGTTTTTGTTCAGTTCCCCTATATCATTATCTAAATGACACTACCATCAAGACTCTGCCGCTCAAATATTTCCAGATTCCTGTTTTAAGGCAGTCGAAAGTACTTCTTACGCATGACTGAAATATTTAATGAGGTAACCAGTCAGGTTGTACATGTGACTTCAAAGTAGTACTTTGACTGTTTGTTATGTAAACAGTAGTGTAGATGGCAGACACTTATCATGTGATCTCATTTTTAGGTCATCTTATCCAAAGGTTCATGATGACCAATAGCCATCAAGCTTTGTTCGTCATTGTGTGGCGTCTTTGTCTGGCAGTTGTAAACTTTTTTCTTTAAAACCCAATTTCTCTTTCATACCTGGATAGATTTCAATCAAATTTGGTCAGATGCATCATTGGGTTAGGGTAATCATTTGTTAAAATCAAAATTTTGATTCGACCCTTAGGGATGGAGGGACGGGACCCCAAAGGGGGAGGTGCTGAAATTAGATTGTAGATTTAAAACCCTATTCTTCCTTTCCGCCTGGGTGGATTTCAACAAACAGTCTATATAGACCAGACCTATCTATATAGATCAGACCTATACCTAGATCACACAGTTTATATAGACAGTCCAATAGTATTGTTTACCTTGTTATGTAATGCTATGATTGATGTTTTTTCTACTGTGGATTAGTTTGCTATATCATGTATAAACATGATAAACATTAGGTTTCAATGTTTCAATAAAGACTGAGTTTTAGGAGGGAGAAATGGTGGTGAAATGGTGATTTGTTTCTCTAGATCAATGGGATGACCTGCTCCTCATGTGTTCACCTTATTGAGTCCTCACTGATGAAGAAGCCAGGAATTCAGGCCGCCTCCGTAGCTCTGGCTACATGTAAAGGACGATTTGAATACGAGCCTGAAGTGACTGGAGCACGACAGATTATTGACATTATTAGGGTAAGTCTGGCATAAAATCATTTTACTAGTCCCAGGCATTTGGTTTAACTGACTGGTTTACAAGTTTAGGCAGTATAAAGAGATTTCAAAAGTACATAAGGTTAACAAAACCTTTTAATGCAAATTTAGAATTAGATACAAGAGGTCTTACTAAGTGTGTTATATGTTTTGGATAGTATAAAGACATGTCACCAAGTTTGTTATATGTTTGGAGAGTATGAAGTCGTAGTGAGAGTGTTGTATGTTTGGAGAGTATATTGAAGTCTTATTGAGTGTGTTATATGTTTAGAGAGTATAAAGACATGTCACCAAGTTTGTTATATGTTTGGAGAGTATATTGAAGTCGTAATGAGTGTGTTATATGTTTGGAGAGTATATTGAAGTCGTAGTGAGTGTGTTATGTGTTTGGATAGTATATTGAAGTCTTAGTGAGTGTGTTATATGTTTTGGATAGTATAAAGACATGTCACCAAGTTTGTTATATGTTTGGAGAGTATATTGAAGTCGTAGTGAGTGTGTTATATGTTTGGAGAGTATATTGAAGTCTTAGTGAGTGTGTTATATGTTTAGAGAGTATAAAGACATGTCACCAAGTTTGTTATATGTTTGGAGAGTATATTGAAGTCTTATTGAGTGTGTTATATGTTTAGAGAGTATATTGAAGTCTTAGTGAGAGTGTTGTATGTTTAGAGAGTATAAAGACATGTCACCAAGTGTGTTATATGTTTGGAGAGTATATTGAAGTCTTAGTGAGAGTGTTGTATGTTTAGAGAGTATAAAGACATGTCACCAAGTGTGTTATATGTTTGGAGAGTATATTGATGTCTTACTGAGTGTGATACATGTTTAGAGAGTATATATTGATGTCTTACTGAGTGTGATACATGTTTAGAGAGTATAAAGATATGTTACTAAGTATGTTATATGTTCGGAGAGTATAAAATATCTTACTAAATGTGATAAGCATGGACAACACAAGGAAAAAGTTTCATACCATGAAATAGAAAATCTTTAATGAATTTTTTTATTCAATTTAAGTTGATGAATCAAGTAGCTCCTTTTGTCAGTGGCCCTAAGTCCATTTGTGGACCAATCATCCGATTCTTGTTTTTTCTTAATCTTCTGGAGATTCATGAAGTAAAAAACATGCTATCTCCAAAATATGTCTTCATCACGAAAGTTATTACTTACTATTGTGTCACTAGGAGCTAGGTTTCTGTTCTGACTTGTACACAGACAGTGATTAAGTTTTGACTTACTACTGTGTCACTAGGAGCTAGGTTTCTGTTCTGACTTGTACACAGACAGTGATTAAGTTATGACTTACTACTGTGTCACTAGGAGCTGGGCTTTGAGGCTGACTTGTACACAGATGATGATAAAAGTGCATCAAGATATGATCACAGAAATGAAATCAAGAGGTAAGTAATAACAGATGTTGTGAGAAGAACTGAAATTTCTTGGTTTAAATCAACTTTATTTATATTTTATTACAATTGCAAAACAAGTTATTTAACTGTAATTATATCAATCGCCCTTGTTGGCACGGGTGGAAGCATATGAGGGGTCTTACTGTGGGAGGAAACCAGAGTATGCTGGGATAATCGACGTGATGAACCAGGTGACCCCATTACATTTCATGTCTGTTTGGGCATATAAGTGATAGGCAAGTGCATAAGCACTGTGCCACCCACCAAGTCAAAAAGTTGCCTCATGCAAATGACTGACATAGTTTCAAGGTTATGATGGTCAAATATATTAAAAACCTTCAATACCTTCAAGGTTAGGTTTTGCTAGCATCTTGCTGTGATTGATTTCTAAGAAGTCTTTTTAAAGAAATAGATATCAAATATTTTAAGAAAATTTTTTTAAATCTGATTATTTATTTTTACAGAAATCCAGTTTTTAAGGTCACAGGGGTCAAATATGTTTAAATCATTTGAATGCCTTCTCATTAATCAAAAGGCCAAGGTTGCTGATATAGGGCCTTTGGCATGATTGAATGAAGGGCTACTGAGTTTGTTAATATAAATGACCATGTCATGCTTTCAAGGTCACAGGTGTCAAATTTGTCAAAACATTTAAACAGCTTCCCCTCATGAACTAAAAGGCCTAGAGGCATGATATTTAGCGGGTATGTTCCTAAGATGAAGCCCAACAAAGTTATCAAATATGTTTAAATCTTGAAAAAGTTTCTTATCAATAACCTAAAGGTCTAGGGTGCTAATATTAGGCCTGTAGCATGCTTGGAACTAGTGTTACCAAGTTTGTTAATAGAAATTACCTTGACCCAATAAGAAGGTCACAGCGGTGTAAAATATGTTGAAATATTTAAATAATGTCTTCTTAATTACCAAAAGGTCGATGGTCCTGATTTTGGCCTTTAAGATCTACCAAGTTTGTTAACCTTGACCTACTTACAAGGTCACAGGGGTCAAATGTATCGAAATGCATGAGCAACTTCTTCTCAAAAACCAAAATGCCAAGGGTCTTGATATTTAGCCTGCAGCATGCTTTTTCAACAAGGAATTTGTCTGGAGTAATGGCATTTATATAGTACATGTATAAAGAATATTATTTCAAGTTTGCAGGAAATGTCTTTATGAACCAACCAATGTCTTCTGTATTGGCTGTAGTGTAGATGAGCAATTTATCTTATATATTTTCATATATATGTCTTTATAGTCAGATGACCCTTCAGGCCCATGGACCTCTTGTTTATATCATGGTTTCAGTATTGATATTTCTTGTTGTATACTGTTATACTGTTGTCCTAAAACTAAGACAGCTGTGTGACCTCATACAGATTCACACACTGGTTTGTAAAGAAATGTCAAACTTTTGTTTGTGATAGATTGCTAACATACCTTTGGAAGGTTTCCAAATTCTTGTTATTCTAGATGGTTGATATGGTTAACTGTAGGAAAATGTCCTTTTTCTTACAGATGGCGGACATCATTTTTCTGGTCCCTGATATTTGGAGTACCGTCTATGGTGATTATGATGTACTTCATGTTTGCCAAGCCAGCCTCTACAGAAGACAATGACATTGTAAACATTACAGACAATATGACAACCACACCCATGCCCCACTCCGCCATGAAAGGTAACCATATCATGCTGACCGCTGGTCTCTCACTGGACAACCTCCTTATGTTTATTTTGGCCACACCGGTTCAGTTTTTTGGAGGCCGGATATTTTACATACAGGCGTTCAAGGCTGTCAAACATCGCGCAGCCAACATGGATGTGTTGGTTGTCCTGGCAACCACTATATCCTATGTGTACTCCATCGCTGTAGTAGTGGCTGCAATGATTTTACAAGAGGAAGTGTCACCTGTGACCTTTTTTGAGACTACTCCGATGTTGATGGTCTTCATCTCTCTAGGAAGATGGTTGGAGCATGTTGCCAAGGTATACAATAGAAAAATCAGCATGTTAATATTTCAGCCCCATACCACACCCCAAACTTCCATTCACACCTTGCCGGGGATCAAATATGGTTTATTCCAGAAGGATTCAACTTGAATAGATTTCTAAAAATCTTCTGAAAAGATCCAGATATTTATAATCCAAAATTGATTTTCAACCTTCTTGATTTTAACACTTTAAGTGCTTTTAGCATCACTGAGATAATCCTAGAGGTAAGTGCTTTTAGCATCACTGAGATAATCCTCGAGGTACAGCTACATGGTGCAGGTTAATTCACTAATTTGGTGTAATATATAGTTTAAATGTTATAAAGTAACATGGATCCTAACATATGGTTAAAGATGAGTAAGAGCTTTGTTTTACTGTGTAGGGTAAAACATCAGAGGCCTTAGCGAAGCTGATGTCCCTTCAGGCAGTGGAGGCATGTCTGGTGGAGACAGACAAAGAAGGAAACATCATCAATGAGAAGACAATTAGTGTGGACCTGGTGCAGAGAGGGGACATCCTAAAGGTAAAATATCTGTGGATCAGAATAGATAGAGAGAGGACATTCTAAAGGTAAAATATCTGTGGATCAGAATAGATAGAGAGGGGACATTCTAAAGGTAAAATATCTGTGGATCAGAATAGATAGAGAGAGGACATTCTAAAGGTAAAATATCTGTGGATCAGAATAGATAGAGAGGGGACATTCTAAAGGTAAAATATATCAGAATAGATAGAGAGGGGACATTCTAAAGGTAAAATATCTGTGGATCAGAGATAGAGAGAGGACATTCTAAAGGTAAAATATCTGTGGATCAGAATAGATAGAGAGGGGACATTCTAAAGGTAAAATATCTGTGGATCAGAATAGATAGAGAGGGGACATTCTAAAGGTAAAATATCTGTGGATCAGAATAGATAGAGAGGGGACATTCTAACGGTAAAATATCTGTGGATCAGAATAGATAGAGAGGGGACATTCTAAAGGTAAAATATCTGTGGATCAGAATAGATAGAGAGAGGACATTCTAAAGGTAAAATATCTGTGGATCAGAATAGATAGAGAGAGGACATTCTAAAAGTAAAATATCTATGTATCAGAGTAAACAGAGGGGATGTCCTTAAAGTAAAATATCTGTGGATCAGAATAAACAGAAAGTTGACATCCTAAAGGTAAAGTACATATGGATCAGAATAGTATAGATGTATTAGATAAAGACGGAAATTACACATGTATTTAGAAAGGGGTCTGAAATGTTCAGATTTTTGTTTGAAGGTTTTGCCTGGAGAGAAAATCCCAGTTGATGGTAAAGTTCTGGAAGGAACTTCAACCTGCGATGAGTCACTAATAACAGGAGAATCAATGCCTGTCATCAAAACAGCAGGTATGGAAATTCATTTACACAAGAAATGCTCAAATCATCTATGTATCAAAGTCTCATGGTGACATATTCTAATACCCTTCTTCCTGCATCATGTGTCTGTAAATAATTTAACTCTTTTGACTTCTCAAAAACCCCTGATCCAATTACAATGAAATTTTACAGAAACCTTCCTTTGTCAGAGATGAACCAAAATTGTGAATTATACAGTCCCCAACCCCCAGGGGCCTGAGGGATGGGCCAAAAGGGGCCAAATTGGCTCATGAATGGCAGTATCTTATGGTGCTTTACCAAAATGTTTGGGGGGTGGGGGTAAATTTTACTATAGTTAATATAGGAAAACTAGATTTTTGAGCAAAATTTTAATTTCCATTGGAAATATTTCAAACTTGGTTAGAGTTATGTGTGAAGGATGACGGCTTGATGGTATGCCCATGCTGACTGACCCCCAGTGGCTGATGGCTGGGACCAAAAGGGGTCAAATTGACTTAAATTTCAAAAATCTTCTTCTCAACACCCAGATATGGTATAATCAAATGCTCTGTATGAATGGAAGCATCTTAAAAATGATTCTCACATTTCTTCCTGGGGAGGAATTTTTTTTTAGACTTAACTGTAATTTTCCTAGAAAAATTGTATTTTTGAGCATAAGGTCTGAGAATTATCAGTATAGGATGACAATTTTGATGGAATGCACATATTGACACTGTCAATATCCAGTGTCACAATTTATTGACACTGTCAATATCCAGTGTCACAATTTATTGACACTGTCAATATCCAGTGTCACAATTTCTGTTTCATGACACTTGATAACTATTCTTTAACTTTATATTCAAGATTGCTTATCTAAGGTGACCATCAAGGCTGCTAGGCCTGTTGTTATTTCGTATGATCTCAAGCCTCATGTGACCTAGAGTTAAAGGTTCATTCCATCACCCATAGTCAATAGTCTTTTTATGGCCAATTTGATGAAATTTTCTGTAAATGATGTATTCAAGGTACTGAAAAATTCATGTGATGTTTCAAAATGAAAATAAAAAATTAAAGATGGCCACTGTTATGATCACCTGAAGAATTTTGAACTAATTACTCATACTATTTAGTTTGGCCTCAGTAGATGTCATAACATCTGTTGCTGTGTTCTGATCAAACGGTAAAAAGTACAGTCAATTACATCACCAGTAAATCAGTGCAGACAATCACATTCACCAGTAAAACAGTAGTCAATCACATTCACCAGTAAAACAGTACAGACAATCACATTCACCAGTAAATCAGTGCGGACAATCACATTCACCAGTAAATCAGTACAGACAATCACATTCACCAGTAAATCAGTGAGGACAATCACATTCACCAGTAAAACAGTACAGACAATCACATTCACCAGTAAATCAGTGCGGGCAATCACATTCACCAGTAAATCAGTGAGGACAATCACATTCACCAGTAAATCAGTGAGGACAATCACATTCACCAGTAAATCAGTACAGACAATCACATTCACCAGTAAATCAGTGCGGACAATCACATTCACCAGTTAAACAGTGCGGACAATCACATTCACTACTAAAACAGTGCGGACAATCACATTCACCAGTAAATCAGTGCGGACAATCACATTCACCACTAAAACAGTTTGACCACCATATCTTATTTGTCAGTAAACCAGTCTGCCTTCATAATCACCAGTAAAACAGTACTGCTACAATATTCACCAGTAATACAGGTCAACCGTCATATTCACTAGTAAAGCATTCAACCATTATATTTACCAGTTAAACAGTATGCCAGTCATATTTGTCAGTAAAGCAGTACTGCCGCCATATTCACCAGTAAAACAGTACAGATGGATTTTAGTACTTCTGGTCAAAGATCAGAAGAGTTATACTGCAGACCCTTTCCACTTTAAAAACAATCATCATAGCTGCCATCTTTAAAATCTTGTTACCAGTACTCCTGAATGGAATTTGTATTGAGATATGTGTTTAATACAGTGTCACTCCATTTATGAACTTTGTATCATTTCAACTTTAGTTCACTTAAATCTGTGAAATATTCCATTTTCTATTGATTTAACTGTAATGTGTATATAATATTGAGATGTTTTATTTACTTGTTAATATGCTTGATAGACACACAAACATGCACAACATATCACAACTATAACTTACAGCATATATAGGGCCTAATTATTGTCTCAGTTACAGAAAATCACACACATATTCCACCTGGTAAGCAATCCTAGAGCAGGAGAGATTATTTCGTGTAAGTGAAGGTTCTGCATTCTATGTTATTTTTATATTTTAAGAAAAGTAGGCCATCTGTGATTGATTTTACCATCTCTGTCTGTTGTAGGGTCTTCTGTGATTGGTGGCGCTATCAATCAAAATGGAATGCTGTTGGTCAATGCAACACATGTTGGCTCTGATACGACACTCTCTCAGATAGTCAGACTTGTGGAGGAAGCACAGACTTCTAAGGTAGCTATTGAGATAAAGACAAGCTAACATAAGATCACTGTTTGAGTGTATTGATAATTTAAGCATCAGGTATGCTTCATACTCTCTTAGATTCATCAACAAAAATGTTTTTTCTGCGAAGGGGGTGTTGCAGTGTATACATTGATGGGGTGTTGCAGTGTATACATTGATGGGGTGTTGCAGTGTATACATTGATGGGGTGTTGCAGTGTATACATTGATGGGGTGTTGCAGTGTATACATTGATGGGGTGTTGCAGTGTATACATTGATGGGGTGTTGCAGTGTATACATTGATGGGGTGTTTCAGTGTATACATTGATGGGGTGTTGCAGTGTATACATTGATGGGGTGTTGCAGTGTATACATTGATGGGGTGTTGCAGTGTATACATTGATGGGGTGTTTCAGTGTATACATTGATGGGGTGTTGCAGTGTATACATTGATCCAGAACCTGTATAATACAGATAATCTTTATGGAAAGTGACACTGTATACATGGATCATCAATATTCTTCAGAACCTGCTACTACAGAAAATGTTTATGAGAAGATACACTGAATACATCGATCATCATTATCCTCCTGAATTTGTATAATATAGATAAACTTTCTACTCTTTTAATGTAATAGTATCATTTTTTATCCTTTATTTTTGACTTGTTTTAGGCGCCAATACAACAGTTGGCAGACACCATCGCTGGTTACTTTGTCCCTGTAGTGTGTTCTCTCTCAACCCTCACCCTCATCAGCTGGATTATCATCGGCTATACCAATATCTATCTGGTGGACCCATACTTTGAGGTGAGTAACCTGACACTCTCATACTTTGAGGTGAGTAACCTGACACTCTCATACTTTGAAACGAGTTACCCTTTTTGTGTGTCATACTTTGAGGGGAGTTACCTTTTTCTGTCATACTCTGGGGTGAGTTACCTGACTGTGTTATACTTTTAGGTGAGTTAGTTTTTTATGTCATACTTTAAGGGGAGTTAGTTTTTTATGTCATACTTTGAGGGGAGTTACCTTTTTGTGTCATACTTTGAGGGGAGTTACCTTTTTGTGTCATACTTTGAGGGGAGTTACCTTTTTGTGTCATACTTTGAGGGGAGTTACCTTCTTTTGTCATACTTTGAGGGGAGTTACCTTTTTGTGTCATTCTTTGAGGGGAATTACCTTTTTGTGTCATACTTTGAGGGGAGTTACCTTCTTTTGTCATACTTAGAGGTGAGTTACCTTTTTGTGTCATACTTTGAGGGTAGTTACCTTCTTTTGTCATACTTTGAGGTGAGTTACCTGATTGTGTTATACATTGAGGTAAGTTACTTTTTTGTGTCATACTTTGAGCTAAGTTACCTAACTGTGTTATACTTTGAAGTGAGTTACGTTCCTATTTCATACTTTGAGGTGTTTACCTGACTATGTTATACTTTGAGGTGTTTACCAGACTATGTTATACTTTGAGGTGTTTACCAGACTATGTTATACTTTGAGTTGTTTACCAGACTATGTTATACTTTGAGGTGTTTACCAGACTATGTTATACTTTGAGGTGTTTACCTGACTATGTTATACTTTGAGGTGTTTACCAGACTATGTTATACTTTGAGGTGTTTACCAGACTATGTTATACTTTGAGGTGTTTACCTGACTATGTTATACTTTGAGGTGTTTACCAGACTATGTTATACTTTGAGGTGTTTACCAGACTATGTTATACTTTGAGGTGTCTACCAGACTATGTTATACTTTGAGGTGTCTACCAGACTATGTTATACTTTGAGGGGAGTTGCATGGCTGATAAGATCTGTACAAGAAAAGTGATTGTAGAGCTAGATAATCATAGATTTTATTTTCATGGGATTGGGGATTAGCTTATAACTCTGTTAGCAGTTTCTGAATGACTGTTTTTCTCTGATTTTGTTTACATAAAAACCATAAACAGCATTATTTAGCACATCTGCTTTCTGATATTCCCACAGGAGAATGGACCAGTATCTATTAAGGAAGTGGTGTTTCAGAAGGCCTTCCAGTATGCCATTACAGTGCTAAGTATAGCATGTCCCTGTGCCCTTGGCCTAGCCACACCCACTGCTGTTATGGTGGGCACAGGAGTCGGAGCAACTAATGGCATCCTGATCAAGGGGGGAGAACCCCTGGAAATGGCTCACAAGGTAAATAATCACGTATTGTGATCTGATTCTATACTGAATCACTAGATTTCTACTGTCTAGTTTTGTATTGGGCCTGTCTCTGGTTCTAGTCAGTTGATAGATTTCTTCTGTAAAAATTTCATGTTGAGACCTTAGATTTTTCTTGTGCAAATTTAAGATTTTGTATGGATGCATATACAAAGGCTAATGATAAAGTCTTTACCCTTTGAGTGTTACTAAGAAATCTCTTGAATGTCCAATCTATGGCTTCCCCTCATTCATCCATGAAACTTACAAGATCATCAACATGTGCATGTGCATTTCTTGGTATTTTAGTAAAGTTGCTTTTTGATTTTAAAATATCCTTTGTCATTATTTACAAACTTCCCTTTGTTGACAGATAAAATGTGTGGTATTTGACAAGACTGGCACAGTTACCCACGGAGTTGCTCGAGTGGCTCGGATTGCTACATTTGTTGAGGAAGAAACCTGTTCTTTCCTGAAACTCCTTGTGGTTATTGGTACAGCAGAAGCAAGTAGTGAACATCCTATTGCCTCTGCCATCGTCAAGTACACAAAAGAGGTAAAAACCCAGTACGCTATGTTCAAACTAAAATCTGTTACAAACATCAGTAAGTTTCCCTCCACTTTAATGACACATTAGCAACAATCTTATCTTCAAATGATAAGAGTTCTAACGAAGGGAAGAAAATAAGGAAGAATTAATAACTGTAAAAATTACCTCCCTTTTTCTGTTATACTGGATTAACACATTAAATAGGTCTGTAAATGAGTATATATAAATGACGGCAGTTTTAAAAAACATAATGTTTTCGTTGCATGATTTACAAAGTGTAGTGTTATTTGATGGTTGGTTTTTACTAAAATCTTTTTAGATATAAGATGTTCATATGTTATGAGTAAATCCTTCTGTCATATCCTAACAACTCCAACTGTAATCTATCTCATAATACTCTCAATAACAGGAAGTCATTGTTAATGTGGACATTTATATAAAGTCTTTGACCAAGTTAGTAACACCACTCAAGTGATTTCATTTATCAAGCGAAATTCATCACACAGATGTCAAAACGTCGCAGTTTATGTTACAAGTTTCCAAAGTCAAAGAAAACAATTTGTTGTAGACCTTGTCTGTGGAGTCCCTTGGTAAGACCATTGACTTCCAGGCAGTCCCTGGTTGTGGTCTGAAGTGTAGTGTTAGCCATGTTGAGGGTCTTCTCACACATGTTGACCTTGTTGCTGTGAACAACAAAAAAAACCAGAGTGGAAGTTTGAGGGTGAAGACTGATAATGTGATGTTCCATGGGGAGGACAATAGCACTATACAGATAGAAGGTAAGCAATGCTCGTTACGACACAATACTAATGATAGCAATATGTGACAAAACACTAATAATGATAGCAATATGTTACTCAACACTGCTAATGATAGCAATATGTTACTCAATGCCACTAATGATAGCAATATGTTACTCAGCACTACTAATGGTAGCAATATGTTACTCAACATTGCTAATGATAGCAATATGTAACTAAACACTACTAATGATAGCAATATGTTACTCAATGCCACTAATGATAGCAATATGTTACTCAGCACTACTAATGGTAGCAATATGTTTCTCAACACTGCTAATGATAGCAATATATAACTCAACACTACTAATGATAGCAATATGGAACTCAATGCCACTAATGATAGCAATATGTAAGTAAATGCAACTAATGATAGCAATATGTAAATCAACACTACTAATGATAGCAATATGTTACTCAACACTACTAATGATAGCAATATGTAACTAAATGCCACTAATAATAGCAATATGTAACACAATGCCACTAATGATAGCAATATGTAACTCAACACTACTAATGATAGCAATATGTAACTCAACACTACTAATGACAGCAGTATGTAACTCAATGCCACTAATGATAGCAATATGTAACTCCACACTACTAATGATAGCAATATGGAACTCAACACTACTAATGATAGCAATATGTAACTCAACACTACTAATGATAGCAATATGGAACTCAATGCCACTAATGATAGCAATATGTAAGTAAATGCAACTAATGATAGCAATATGTAACTCAACACTACTAATGGTAATAATATGTAACTCAACACTACTAATGATAGCAATATGTAACTAAATGCCACTAATGATAGCAATATGTTACTCAATACTGCTAATGATAGCAATATGTTACTCAACACTACTAATGATAGCAATATGTAACACAATGCCACTAATGATAGCAATATGTAACACAATGCCACTAATGATAGCAATATGTAACTCAACACTACTAATGATAGCAATATGTAACTCAACACTACTAATGATAGCAATATGTAACTCAATGCCACTAATGATGGCAATATGTAACTGAACAGACTGATGATAGCAATATCTAGCTGAACAGTACTGATGATGACAATATGTTGCTAAGCTGTTTAAAATCTCTTCAGATGTAGAGTTGGAGTCATTAGGAGCTGTTGCATCCAGACAATACAGTGTGCTTATTGGTAACCGTGAATGGATGCATAGAAACGGCCTTCAGGTAACCCCAGCTATGGACCAGACAATGTCCGAGCATGAAGAGCAAGGTCACACCGCTGTTCTGTGTGCTATAGATGGTAGGTTCCTCAAAACTCTATAAATATTGACCCTTGTTATTATTCTATGCGAAACGTGTTTCCAAGGGATATTAATTTGGGCTCTGTCTGTATGAGCGGCCGTCAGTCCTAGTGCTTTTCCGGGCCATAACTTCAAAGCCGTTCAATTCAACTTCACAAAACTTCCTGTATATATTAAGTTAGTACACTAGTTGTGCCTTTTACTATTTATGATATTTCATTTTACTCTTTCTGTTACCATGGAAACCAAGTAAAAAAACACTAAATTAGTGTTAAGTTCTCGTTCCAGGCTACAACTTTGAAACCATTCTACTCAACTCCACAAAAACTTTCTATGTAAATTAGGTTTGTTCCCTAGTTGTGCCTTTTGCAATTGACGACATTTCATTTTTTATATTCTTTCTGTTACCATGGAAATATATTAAAAAAACACCTAATTAGTGTTAACTTTCCTTTCCGGGCTACAACTTTGAAACTATTCCACCAAACTCCACAAAAACTTTCCGTGTATAATAGGTTTGTGCCTTAATTGTGCCTTTTGCTACTGATGTCCATGGTCTGTCACCCATCCGTCTATCACCTGTCTGTCCGTGGTTCAAACATCTATCCATCCATCTGTCCATAAACAATATTTTGTTATAGCTATTTCTTGAGAGATACTGGATGGATCATTCTCAAATTGCATATGTAGGTTCCCCTTGATCCCTGATTGTGCATATTCGATTTTGGGACTGATCAAATTAACATAATAGTTGACAGGCGGCCATCTCTGATTCTTTCAATGAAGTTTGTTATCGCATTTTATTGAAAATTACATGATGTATCTCTCTTAAATTTCATATGTTGGTTCTTTTTGACCCTAGTTTTCGGTCTGATAAGAACAACAAAACGGCCAACAAATGGCCATCTTGGATTTTGACTTGTTATAGCTGTTGCTTTAGAAGTGCTGAATAGATCTTTCTCAAATTTCATATATAGGTTCCTTTTGGTCCCGAGTTGTGCACCTCTGATTTTGGGACTGATCAGGAAAACAAAAAGGCCGACAGGTGGCCATCTTGGAATTTGACTTTGAAAGTTTGGTATCGCTATTTCTTGAGAAATACTCTATGGTTATCTCTCAAATTTCATTCATATGTTACCTTTGGTCTCTCCTTGTGCCCTTTGAATTTTGGGTCTGATCAGAAGAAACAAAATGGCTTCAGATGGCCATTTTGGATTTGGCAGGTAAAGATTATCATCACAATTTTTGCAAGGGAATATTAAAATGTCTTATCATTAAGAGAAAAGAAGGGAACAGATTCAACTTTCAAAGTGCAAATAAAGATCAAACAATGGTGGCACCAAGATCCCTCTGGGATCTCTTGTTATTTATTCTTGTTTTGGTTCCATTAAACTTTTCAATTCCTTGTGACTTCTTGTATTACTCCATAGCTTACAGAGTGTTGCAAAAATTTGTTCCTGGACAATACCAAACTCTATTTAAATATGAACAGTCAAACACACTGGATCTACATCAAGATATCAGCTCTTACCATAAGGTTGATATATATATATATAGATGTTGAAGTCGAGGAGATGCAAGGAAATTTAATTGATAATTTTCGAGTGCTTTCACTGTATTAGACCTTCAGGTGATAGTAGCAGTACATAATTGAGTGATGTCACAAATTGTTTTACTAGTATGTATTTATCATATTTGGGTTTTACACTACAGCTGGGTGCAGAGGATAATGCCGATCTTTGTTCCAGATTGAATCAAGCATTTTCTTAATTTTGGAGATGAAAGAATTGTTGTCTGAAGTGTACATTAAAGCAACTTTAAAGTGGAAATAAAAGGCAGTTAAAAAGTTGAGAAATCATAATAATATTTAAAATAAAATGTGATGAAGACCATAAATATAATTGAATGATATCATGAAATTCATAGATTCACACACAGTTATGAGGAAAAAAAGTTCTAGTTGAAAAAAGCTTGAAACATAGAGATTTGTGAATTCTATAGACCTCTGACCTTACTTTCAGGGGTCCTCGTTGCTATGGTAGCGGTAGCTGACACAGTAAAATCGGAGGCTCACCTTGCAGTCAACACACTCAAGGAAATGGGACTTCAAGTGTTCTTATTGACTGGTGATAACCAGAAGACAGCAAAAGCCATTGCTAGACAGGTAAAATACCTCAAACTCACACTAACACAGGTAAAAACAGAAATCTACACACACAAATCTCACAAAGTCTTAACATGTAAATAGTTAAAACAGATGCGGGTAACAAGAACAGTATGCCATCCCTAAAACAAAAATCTTTGAAATGTTTATGAATGTGATACAATATTTGTATACTGTGTTTAATTGATGTAAACAGGTGGGTATACAGAAGGTTTTTGCCGAAGTACTGCCATCCCACAAGGTCAAGAAGATCAAACAGCTTCAGACTCAGGGTCTAAAGGTTGCTATGGTTGGAGACGGTGTTAATGACTCACCTGCCCTTGCTCAAGCAGATGTTGGTATTGCCATAGGAACTGGTACTGATGTGGCTGTAGAGGCTGCAGACATTGTTCTTATACAGGTAAATGTTATGCTTGATTGCTTTTTCTTCACATAGTCAACATTAGCCTATAGAAGTGATGCATCAATAGAATGTTTGTGTACATTTATTTTTCTACTTTTACTGTTCAGGATCCAACATTTCCCTCTACAAAAATAAGCCAACATTTCCCTCTACAAAAATAAGCCAACATTTCCCTCTACAAAAATAAGCCAACATTTCCCTCTACCGAATTTATCTGAAGAACACAGTCCAAACTTTCCATCAAAAATGTAACCCAGCTTTTCCCTCTAGATATCAACCCAACCTTTCCCTCTACAGATTTCAGCACAGATTTCCTTCTACAGTATACTGCCCAACCTTACTCTCTAATGGTATACAGCCAAACCTTCCCCTCTACAGCATACAACACAACCTTCTCTACAGTATACAGCACAACCTTCTCTACAGCATACAACACAACCTTCTCTACAGCATACAACACAACCTTCTCTACAGCATACAGCACAACCTTCTCTACAGCATACAGCACAACCTTCTCTACAGCATACAGCACAACCTTCTCTACAGCATACAACACAACCTTCTCTACAGCATACAGCACAACCTTCTCTACAGCATACAGCACAACCTTCTCTACAGCATACAGCACAACCTTCTCTACAGCATACAACACAACCTTCTCTACAGCATACAACACAACCTTCTCTACAGCATACAGCACAACCTTCTCTACAGCATACAGCACAACCTTCTCTACAGTATACAGCACAACCTTCTCTACAGCATACAGCACAACCTTCTCTACAGCATACAGCACAACCTTTCCTCTACAGCATACAGCACAACCTTCTCTACAGCATACAACACAACCTTCTCTACAGCATACAGCACAACCTTCTCTACAGCATACAGCACAACCTTCTCTACAGTATACAGCACAACCGTCTCTACAGTATACAGCTCAACCTTCTCTCTACAGCATACAGCACAACCTTCTCTACAGCATACAGCACAACCTTCTCAACAGTATACAGCACAACCTTCTCTACAGTATACAGCACAACCTTCTCTCTACAGCATACAGCACAACCTTCTCTCTACAGCATACAGCACAACCTTTCCTCTACAGCATACAGCACAACCTTTCCTCTACAGCATACAGCACAACCTTCTCAACAGTATACAGCACAACCTTCTCTACAGTATACAACACAACCTTCTCTCTACAGCATACAGCACAACCTTCTCTCTACAGCATACAGCACAACCTTCTCTCTACAGCATACAGCACAACCTTCTCTACAGCATACAGCACAACCTTCTCTACAGCATACAGCACAACCTTCTCTACAGCATACAACACAACCTTCTCTACAGCATACAGCACAACCTTTCCTCTACAGCATACAGCACAACCTTTCCTCTACAGCATACAGCACAACCTTTCCTCTACAGCATACAGCACAACCTTCTCTACAGCATACAGCACAACCTTCTCTACAGCATACAGCACAACCTTCTCTACAGCATACAACACAACCTTCTCTACAGCATACAGCACAACCTTTCCTCTACAGCATACAGCACAACCTTTCCTCTACAGCATACAGCACAACCTTTCCTCTACAGCATACAGCACAACCTTCTCTACAGCATACAACACAACCTTCTCTACAGCATACAGCACAACCTTTCCTCTACAGCATACAGCACAACCTTCTCTCTACAGCATACAGCACAACCTTCTCTCTACAGCATACAGCACAACCTTCCCCTCTACAGCATACAACACAACCTTCTCTACAGTATACAGCACAACCTTCTCTACAGCATACAGCACAACCTTCTCTACAGCATACAACACAACCTTCTCTACAGCATACAGCACAACCTTCTCTACAGCATACAGCACAACCTTCTCTCTCTACAGCACAACCTTCTCTCTACAGCACAACCTTCTCTCTACAGCATACAGCACAACCTTCTCTACAGCATACAGCACAACCTTCTCTACAGCATACAACACAACCTTCTCTACAGCATACAGCACAACCTTTCCTCTACAGCATACAGCACAACCTTTCCTCTACAGCATACAGCACAACCTTCTCTACAGCATACAGCACAACCTTCTCTACAGCATACAGCACAACCTTCTCTACAGCATACAACACAACCTTCTCTACAGCATACAGCACAACCTTTCCTCTACAGCATACAGCACAACCTTTCCTCTACAGCATACAGCACAACCTTTCCTCTACAGCATACAGCACAACCTTCTCTACAGCATACAGCACAACCTTTCCTCTACAGCATACAGCACAACCTTTCCTCTACAGCATACAGCACAACCTTCTCTCTACAGCATACAGCACAACCTTCTCTCTACAGCATACAGCACAACCTTCCCCTCTACAGCATACAACACAACCTTCTCTACAGTATACAGCACAACCTTCTCTACAGCATACAGCACAACCTTCTCTACAGCATACAGCACAACCTTCTCTACAGCATACAGCACAACCTTCTCTACAGCATACAGCACAACCTTCTCTACAGCATACAGCACAACCTTCTCTACAGCATACAACACAACCTTCTCTACAGCATACAACACAACCTTCTCTACAGCATACAATACAACCTTCTCTACAGCATACAGCACACCTTCCTTCTCTACAGCATACAACACAACCTTCTCTACAGCATACAACACAACCTTCTCTACAGCATACAACACAACCTTCTCTACAGCATACAGCACAACCTTCTCTACAGCATACAGCACAACCTTCTCTACAGCATACAGCACAACCTTCTCTACAGCATACAGCACAACCTTCTCTACAGCATACAACACAACCTTCTCTACAGCATACAACACAACCTTCTCTACAGCATACAGCACAACCTTCTCTACAGCATACAGCACAACCTTCTCTACAGCATACAACACAACCTTCTCTACAGCATACAGCACAACCTTCTCTACAGCATACAGCACAACCTTCTCTACAGCATACAGCACAACCTTCTCTACAGCATACAGCACAACCTTCTCTACAGCATACAACACAACCTTTCCTCTACAGCATACAGCACAACCTTCTCTACAGCATACAACACAACCTTCTCTACAGCATACAGCACAACCTTCTCTACAGCATACAACACAACCTTCTCTACAGCATACAGCACAACCTTCTCCCTACAGCATACAGCACAACCTTTCCTCTACAGCATACAGCACAACCTTTCCTCTACAGATTTCAGCACAACCTTCTCTCTACAGCATACAGCACAACCTTCCCCTCTACAGCATACAACACAACCTTCTCTACAGCATACAGCACAACCTTCTCTACAGCATACAGCACAACCTTCTCTACAGCATACAACACAACCTTCTCTACAGCATACAGCACAACCTTCTCTACAGCATACAGCACAACCTTCTCTACAGCATACAACACAACCTTCTCTACAGCATACAACACAACCTTCTCTACAGCATACAATACAACCTTCTCTACAGCATACAGCACAACCTTCTCTACAGCATACAGCACAACCTTCTCTACAGCATACAACACAACCTTCTCTACAGCATACAACACAACCTTCTCTACAGCATACAACACAACCTTCTCTACAGCATACAGCACAACCTTCTCTACAGCATACAGCACAACCTTCTCTACAGCATACAGCACAACCTTCTCTACAGCATACAGCACAACCTTCTCTACAGCATACAGCACAACCTTCTCTACAGCATACAACACAACCTTCTCTACAGCATACAGCACAACCTTCTCTACAGCATACAGCACAACCTTCTCTACAGCATACAGCACAACCTTCTCTACAGCATACAGCACAACCTTCTCTCTACAGCATACAGCACAACCTTCTCTACAGCATACAGCACAACCTTCTCTACAGCATACAGCACAACCTTCTCTACAGCATACAGCACAACCTTCTCTACAGCATACAGCACAACCTTCTCTACAGCATACAGCACAACCTTCTCTACAGCATACAGCACAACCTTCTCTACAGCATACAACACAACCTTCTCTACATCATACAGCACAACCTTCTCTACAGCATACAACACAACCTTCTCTACAGCATACAGCACAACCTTCTCTACAGCATACAACACAACCTTCTCTACAGCATACAGCACAACCTTCTCCCTACAGCATACAGCACAACCTTTCCTCTACAGCATACAGCACAAACTTTCCTCTACAGATTTCAGCACAACCTTCTCTACAGCATACAGCACAACCTTCTCTACAGCATACAACACAACCTTTCCTCTACAGCATACAGCACAACCTTCTCCCTACAGCATACAGCACAACCTTTCCTCTACAGCATACAGCACAACCTTTCCTCTACAGCATACAGCACAACCTTCTCTACAGCATACAACACAACCTTTCCTCTACAGCATACAGCACAACCTTCTCCCTACAGCATACAGCACAACCTTTCCTCTACAGCATACAGCACAACCTTTCCTCTACAGCATACAGCACAACCTTCTCTACAGATTTCAGCACAACCTTCTCTACAGCATACAGCACAACCTTCTCTACAGCATACAACACAACCTTCTCTACAGCATACAACACAACCTTCTCTACAGCATACAGCACAACCTTCTCTACAGATTTCAGCACAACACTTTCCTCTGCAGCATACAACACAACCTTCTCTACAGATTTCAGCACAACCTTTCCTCTACAGCATACAACACAACCTTCTCTACAGATTTCAGCACAACCTTATCTACAGATTTCAGCACAACCTTTCCTCTACAGTATACAGCACAACCTTCCCTCTACAGTATGCAGCATAACCTTCCCTCTACAGTATGCAGCACAACCTTCCCTCTACAGTATGCAGCACAACCTTATCTACATATTTCAGCACAACCTTCCCCTTAACAGGATTTTGACTTAATTTTCCATCATGTCCATTATGCTATGTTGTCCTGTTGTATATCACACTAGTATGTTTGGAGAAACAGTGCAGTTTTAGGGTATTGTTAATATCTTAACTAATTTTTTTACCTGCAGAATGACCTTATGGATGTGGCAGCTGCCATCAAGTTATCAAAAATGACTGTGCGAAGAATTCGCATCAACTTTGTGGCTGCCTCAGTCTACAATCTAATAGGGATTCCGATTGCTGCAGGTAGGCAGATGTGTATCTCTGTTGTGTCCCTCAAGTCGTGGATGTGTATATGTGTGACTGTAAAATACTGATTTCTGTGTTTACCGGGATCTTTATGGCAGTCATTGTGTCCCACAAGTCATGGATTTGTGACCATAATATAATGATTTATAAGTTTATGGAGATCTTTAGACTGGTCAATGTGTCCCTGAAATCGTGAAAGTGTAAATGTGTGACTGTAATATACTGATTTATGTGTTTACAGGGATCTTTATGCCAGTGGGTGTGTCCCTCAAGCCATGGATGGCATCGGCAGCTATGGCCATGTCCTCCGTATCCGTTGTCATGTCCTCACTCTTCATCAAAACGTAAGTAATTTTTTCTTTACTCATCTTATACCCTTCATAAAGTAAGGAGGGTTGAGGGGAGGGTCTGGAATCATTTTGTGTGTCTGAAGACAAATCATTTCCATATATTCGTGAAATTCATTATTATATTTAACTATAAATCCAAGTCATAAGAGCTGATCAGTATACCTGAATCCCTTAACACTCACCAACATTTCACTCAGCAGATGGAAATTTTGTACATTCTTCGGATTAGAACTGGAGTTCAATGTTACAGTATACCAAACCAGGCTTAACTCACTGAAAGAATGCAGAAGACATGAATACTTAAGTCTTTTTGTTTTGTTTATTGATAGATTTAAGAAAACAAGCAGACAGAAGTATCTGACATCCAACTACCTGAAACAGTTTAAGGAAGACCAGGAGCTAGATAATATCTCCATTCACCGTGGGATTGAAGAGGGGCGCATGAGTCGTGAAGGTAGCAAACAGGGTAGCATTTTGTCTCGACTGAGCGGGAAGAAAAAGCCAGTGACAACAGACCATGTGAGTCTCCTGGACACAGCTGAACAGTCCGACTCGGAAGGGGAAGTAGAATTCATGTAATGAAGACTGTGTGAGGAGTTTTCCATCTTATTTGTATATATACTGATACATGTGTATAATGATGTAATCAAACTCCATTATGACATTGTGTATTACCCAGTTACAACATGATAGTATATCACATATGCAAGAGAAACCTAGACTATTGTTGATATTTTTACGTTGGGTAGTATAGGTCAGGCATTGCTTCATTATATATTCTTGTAGAATAATGTTAAATGGATTGTAGTATGATTTCTTACAATACAAAGTGTGGTGACTTATAGTAAATGGTATGATGTCTTACAATACAAAGTGTGGTGACTTATAGTAAATGGTATGATGTCTTACAATACAAAGTGTGGTGACTTATAGTAAATGGTATGATGTCTTACAATACAAAGTGTGGTGACTTATAGTAAATGGTATGATGTCTTACAATACAAAGTGAGGTGACTTATGGTTAATAGTGTAATGACTTACGGTACATGTTGTAATGACATACTGTACATGGTGTAATGACTTATGGTACATGGTGTAATGACATACTGTACATGGTGTAATGACTTATGGTACATGGTGTAATGACATACTGTACATGGTGTAATGACTTATGGTACATGTTGTAATGACATGCTGTACCAGGTGTAATGACTTACCGTACATGTTGTAATGACATACTGTACCTGGTGTAATGACTTATGGTACATGTTGTAATGACATACTGTACCAGGTGTAATGACTTATGGTACATGTTGTAATGACATGCTGTACCTGGTGTAACAACTTACGGTACATGTTGTAATGACATACTGTACCTGGTGTAACAACTTATGGTACATGTTGTAATGACATACTGTACCTGGTGTAACGACTTATGGTACCTGGTGTAACAACTTATGGTACATGTTGTAATGACATGCTGTACCTGGTGTAACAACTTATGGTACATGTTGTAATGACATACTGTACCTGGTGTTATGACTTATGGTACCTGGTGTAACAACTTATGGTACATGTTGTAATGACATGCTGTACCTGGTGTAACAACTTATGGTACATGTTGTAATGACATGCTGTACCTGGTGTAACAACTTATGGTACATGTTGTAATGACATACTGTACCTGGTGTTATGACTTGTGGTACCTGGTGTAACAACTTACGGTACATGGTAATCAATCACAGAAAATTTAATGGTTTAAATTTATTTTTGTAAAAATTTAGTGGTTGTTGGTTACTTGGCCAACATTAAAGCACAAAACACAATGAATTATTATGGTGCCTCAATTACAATACTATATGTATATCATGTTGTCTTTATAAAGATATGATTTGTAAAATTTAATATGATAATTCCATTTCCTTATGATAGTGATTAGCGACTGACCTTCCTACCATTACAGTAAACATGTTTCACCGGTTGACATGTTTTTTAGGACAGTACTCAGACATTGTTATACTGGAAATTTTTTGTGTGTACTGGTACTGATTACTAAGTACTGTAGGTCAACGTTTTTGATTAATGGAATTTTTCTTGTATGCAGATTTTATTTTCAACATGCTGTACAATAATGTAATGGTTTTTAGTGATATATTTTAACCTTTTAATTTGTAAAAAGTACAGATGATTTGTGAACCCATTGTGTGCTCCTGGATCTTTCTTTGTTTGATAAGTTTTAGGACTAATGATCCAGATTCATGGCTATAATTTAAAGGTCACAGGTATTGACTTTGTGAAAAACTGTAACAAGATTATGCAAAAACAGTTTAGTTTGTGACAGTTTTTTTCACCAAGTGTGTGATTTTACAAGTCATCTTTACTTGATGTAGCATACCAATTTTGTGCTTATTAAAGTCAATTTTAAATGTAAAATCATGTCTTATAAGAAAACCATTTTTTAATACCTGCCGCAGATTAGATGCTTAAGATTAGTAAACCAATCTACTTGTAGTGAAATTGCCTCCTTATTTTTATTCTGGAAACCTCAAATAGACTTTTTGATTTAGAAATATGGAGAAGCATGTCTGACAAACAACTAGAAATCTATTTGTGACGTATGTATTTTTTTTTGTTTAAAAGACCACATTATGTATTTCAAGACAAGGAGACCAACACAATAACCTGTTACTAAAAGAAATGGCTTATTACCGGTTAATAAGCCAAGTACCTACGCAATAACCTCTTACACAAGAAAATAGATGGGCTTATTACAGGACAAGCTGAGGGGGCTAGTAAGACAACCTCTTACTTCAAGTAGGTAGATGGGCTTTTTCCATTGTCCTTGGGCTGAACACAGTAAACCCTCAATCATAGTGGGAAGGTGGGCTTATGACAGAACTAACAGAGGGGGCCAACAAAATAACCTTTCACTCGATCAAGGAGACACATCAAGGGGTTAAGCTTGGGGTTTATCTACACAAACAAAAAGACTCCATGTGACACATCGTAGGGATAAGTTTGGGGTTTATCTACACAAACAAAAAGACTCAATGGGACACATCGTAGGGTTAAGTTTGGGGTTTATCTACACAAACAAAAAGACTCAATGGGACACATCGTAGGGTTAAGTTTGGTTTTCATTTATATGAATAAAAAAGACCTAAGGGGAAGTTTTGGGGGCTAAGTTTGTGGTTTATCTATATTAAAAAAAATACTCAAGGGGACATGTCGAGGGGCTAAGTTTGTGGTTTATCTGCGCCAACTAAAAGACTCAAGGGGACTCATCGAAGGATAAAATTTGGGGCTTATCACTACTTACAGACACAAGGCGATACAATGAGAGGTTAAGTTTGGGGTTTATCTCTACTAGCAAACACAAGGAGACATGTTGAGGTTTTTTTTATATATTTTTGATGGTTGGAGGATAAAGATGACTGATTTGATTTCAGTGAGGGATGAGTTGGGTGGTGTTTTCATCATAATTTATTTTTAAGAAGTTTCTGTTGATCAGATATACAAGAGATATGTACTGTCTCTGAAATGATGTGATATGTATTGATGAACTCCATGGTTATGTTGTCCTGCTGGGAAGCCAGGTGAGGTTAATGATGATCCTCTGTGATGAAATATGTCCGACACAAACTTGTTATTATATTCAGTGATGATGTATTGATCCATGTATAATACAATAAAAACACTCAGAAATGATACAGTGGTATTTGTTATCATAAAATCAGGTCTGTTTGGTCGTCCATACATTTCCCTGTCTGGCATACTTCCTACACATTTTGGTTTGATCAATTTGTAGTTTCCACTACCCCAACATATTGTCACATGTGTCGCCACTGATATCAAGTATTGTATCTCCCCAAAAATTAGTTCCCTGTTGATTCTGGTGAACACATCATCCTTGCAACAATGGTGTCCTCTGTATCAACCATATTGGGCACTCTGAGCATCTCCTACAACGGACAACATCTCCGTTTGCTCAGTGGATCCTCTAAGATGAATGATGCTGCAACACTTGTCTTTGATCCCCTATGTATCAGGTGATGATATACAGCCCATTAGCAAACAACCACACAAGCAGTCTGCATGACAACCCTTGAAGTGGCCACCTCCTTCGGGGCATCTCACACTTTGTTAAGATTTATGAAACAGTGCTACGTAAATTACATCAACAAGGTAGTAACTTAATAGATAAAAATTACTATGGAGAATTCAATCATTGAAAGACAGTCATTTTGATAATGGGTTTGTAGAAGCTAACTCACTGTCATCATCTGTTTAGGAGTTATCTAAACACAAGGATCATTCTGCAATGAGGAAAAGAAGACAAAAGATCTAAAATATAAGATAATTTATTTAATATCAGGTAATCTAGACATCTTCAAACAAACATTCTGTCATTTGAAGTATAATCAGATTGAATGAGACCTTATAGACAATCTAGACCACATTTTAAATTGCTGCTTGGTAAGAGAGTGATGTGAATGAAGGAATGTACACTGCCTCAAGCACTCCAATATAACATTGACCCCTTAACATTTCTCATGACCTTTGATCTTGATTACAATGACTCTGATTACTCCCTATGGGACTGATTGAATCCAGAAGGATTATGCGTAATCATACATCTTGCCTTTCCTGCTTTGTCAGTATCGTCGATTTTCAACAAATATACATTTGAGCAATATATCTAAACACAAAACTTCAAAGCAAATTGACAACACTGTTTTCACTCCTGTCACCTGTAGAAAAGTAACACCAACGTCTCGCTGCTGTCACCTCTATAAAAGTCACACCAACGTCTCGCTGCTGTCACCTGTAGAAAAGTAACACCAATGTCTCGCTGCTGTCACTGCCAGAAAATTAATACCAAAATCTGTTTTGTCCCAGGTGAGACAAAAACGCTTCTTGAGAAGGAGCAATATGTTGGGTCAACTTGGTTCCAAGTTACACATGTATAATTTAAGGAATATTTGAAAAAAAAAATGACCAATAAGTGGCCATCTTGGATTCCAAGTGGTTCAAGTTTCAGTGCTCTTCTTGAGAAGTGCTGGATGGATCATTCTCAAACTTCATATAAAGTTTTTGGCAGTTCATTGTAATAATAGGTTATTTCCTCTGAGGTCTAGGATTTCTTGTTTCGAAAATTGAATTGTGCAGATTTTTTCTGGTGCATAACAGTGGCACTCACAGTCTCTAGTGCATCACAATGGCACTGATAGTCTCATTTAACAAGGTGTTTACATCTATTGATGAAGTTGTAATAAATTACACATTACTTATCATAATAGTTTGTACATAGTATGTAATCAAATATAAGAAATCTCCATTTCAAATATTACCAGACATGATTCTAAAACGGAATGTAGGTATCTGTACATTTGAAAATAACAGGGTTTTTTTCCCCGAGTATAGATTTCTTTAGCCCTTTAACAGTTGTGTACAGTATGTGTCTTACATATCGACAAAAATGTATTATATAACATAAGAGAGATATATATCTGTACCATTATAGACATTGTTACACTTTTGGGAATTCATAGCTTTCACATCATGTTACCACAAACCATTAACACTGATGAATAACTCACACTTTTATGATGTCATTTAATGAAACATTTTCCTACTTTTTTCTTAAAATTTGGTACGCCAATGATCTTTATTTTAGTATTTCAATGATCTTTATTTCCAATTTTCTTTATCTTCATTTCTGAATTCCATTATCTTTATTCCTGAATACCAATGCCTGACTGTCAAATCTCATCTAAAATTTTGACAATCTTTTTAAAATGAACAATGAGGTAAAACTTGATGCTTGTCTCAAAGTTACTATAGTAATCTCCCTTCAATGATCTTTTCATGATGACTTAAGACAGAACAAATCACAGAAAATCTGATTTAAACAAAGACCATTCCAATTCTCATCATATCAAACTTGGGCACAATGAAAATAAAGAGAATGTTCAGAAACCCTGGACAGGGATGTTGTACAGTGCTGATTTGTCCACTTGGTTCACCTGTATCTCCTTGAATTGTACACTAGGTTCTCTGGAATATGCTGGTAATTCTGAAAAGAAAATTGATTACTTTAGTATACTGTTCCAGTGTATTGTGCTTAGACTGAGAGAGTGATATAAAACATTTCACTTTGTCAAAAAAGACAACTATTTTATATATATACATAAAAAAAGCTTCGTGATTACCATTAACATACTAATTATTGTACATAATTTATTATTTATTATACCACTTCACATCAACTCATTTAATTTTTTTTAATAAGGTGAAACTCTGACTCTGTTACTATTCTGATGGGGACTACTGTATATATATTCTGTTACTATTCTTATGGGGCTATATTTGGTCTGTTACTATTCTGATGGGGATTACTGTATATATATTCTGTTACTATTCTGATGGGGATTACTGTATATATATTCTGTTACTATTCTGATGGGGATTACTGTATATATATATTCTGTTACTATTCTGATGGGGACTACTGTATATATATTCTGTTACTATTCTTATGGGCCATATTTGGTCTGTTACTATTCTGATGGGGATTACTGTATATATATTCTGTTACTATTCTGACGGGGATTACTGTATATATATTCTGTTACTATTCTGATGGGGATTACTGTATATATATTCTGTTACTATTCTGATGGGGATTACTGTATATATATTCTGTAACTATTCTGATGGGGATTACTGTATATATATTCTGTTACTATTCTGATGGGGATTACTGTATATATATTCTGTTACTATTCTGATGGGGATTACTGTATAGATATTCTGTTACTATTCTGATGGGGATTACTGTATATATATTCTGTTACTATTCTGACGGGGATTACTGTATATATATTCTGTTACTATTCTGACGGGGATTACTGTATATATATTCTGTTACTATTCTGATGGGGATTACTGTATATATATTCTGTTACTATTCTGATGGGGATTACTGTATATATATATTCTGTTACTATTCTGATGGGGATTACTGTATATATATATTCTGTTACTATTCTGATGGGGATTACTGTATATATATTCTGTTACTATTCTGATGGGGTATATATTACTGTATATATATATTCTGTTACTATTCTGATGGGGATTACTGTATATATATATTCTGATTACTGTATATATATATTCTGTTACTATTCTGATGGGGACTACTGTATATATATTCTGTTACTATTCTTATGGGGCTATATTTGTTCTGTTTCTATTCTGATGGGGATTACTGTATATATATTCTGTAACTATTCTGATGGGGATTACTGTATATATATTCTGTAACTATTCTGATGCTGATTACTGTATATATATATATATTTTCTGTTACTATTCTTATGGGGCTATATTTGTTCTGTTTCTATTCTGATGGGGATTACTGTATATATATTCTGTTACTATTCTGACGGGGATTACTGTATATATATATTTTCTGTTTGGGGTTATATTTTCTGTTTCTATTCTGATGGGGATTACTGTATATATATTCTGTTACTATTCTGACGGGGATTACTGTATATATATTCTGTTACTATTCTGATGGGGATTACTGTATATATATTCTGTTACTATTCTGACGGGGATTACTGTATATATATATTTTCTGTTACTATTCTTATGGGGCTATATTTGTTCTGTTACTATTCTGACGGGGATTACTGTATATATATTCTGTTACTATTCTGATGGGGATTACTGTATATATATTCTGTTACTATTCTGACGGGGATTACTGTATATATTTTCTGTTACTATTCTGACGGGGATTACTGTATATATATATTTTCTGTTACTATTCTTATGGGGCTATATTTGTTCTGTTTCTATACTGATGGGGATTACTGTATATATATTCTGTTACTATTCTGATGGGGATTACTGTATATATATTCTGTTACTATTCTGACGGGGATTACTGTATATATATATTTTCTGTTACTATTCTTATGGGGCTATATTTGTTCTGTTTCTATACTGATGGGGATTACTGTATATATTATTCTGTTACTATTCTGACGGGGATTACTGTATATATATATTTTCTGTTACTATTCTTATGGGGCTATATTTGTTCTGTTTCTATACTGATGGGGACTACAAATATCAGTTTACCAAAACTGGAAAACAAATTCCTTGCAGATAATCTATCAAGGGATACACAGAAATTCATTCTGAATTTACTATTGTGTACCTGGGTGGGGTCCATCTTGACCGATAGAGTCCAGTGTTTTGTCTGTTTCATATGTTGGTTGTTTTGGTTGGACAGGAGGCCTTCGTAAGCTCCTTTCTCCCAACGTGGGCTTTACGTTGAATCGGACAGGGTTCTCATATCGCTCCTGACGGCGATGCTCTATGTGATCATTGATAATTTTTTGTGACTACAACAGAAATAGGTTTTAAGTTCAGATATTAAATTCTATCTTTTTTTTTTAAAAATTTAACAAATATTTATTGTCAGATTTAAAAAAGAAAACAAATATATCATTTTAACACCCTTCTTTACCTATTTACTATAACAAGTACTTCATGTCAGATAGTCACTGCAATTTACGCCCCTTGTCACCTAGTCACTGTAATAAATACTGTTCATCGCCTAAATACTGTAATTAATACCCCTTATCATCTAGTCACTGTAACAAGAACTGCCCATCACCTACATATCATAATTAATAACCCTCAAATTTTAATAGAAAATACTACCTTTTGAGCGCTAAGGATGAGATTTTGGTCTGCCATTGTTTCTGTGATTCTGAGATTATTTTTGACAGCTTTAGAAGCTGTTGAGCGTGCATGCATGGGCAATCTGTTCTGGTAAGCTCGGTCAGTAAAGTCAATTTCATCATCTTTAGTTTGTTTCCGTACTCTGAAGTTCAAAAGTATAAAAAATGTTACCTGTAAACCCTGTTACCTTGAGCTCCTAAGCTCAGATAAAGAACAAGGAATAAATGAAAACAGTGCAAGTCAGAGTCTAAAAATGATAACAGAACATGAAAAAATACACTGAAAATTGATATCATTAAACTAGATTGAAATGGAAAAATTACTATAATAAATTACCAATATTTATGGGATGAAATCTAAAGGACTTATTCACCACCTTCTTATCACTACTTATGTCTACAATGACATGATAATTATACACTGACAAAGTGGCTCTTTCATACAAAAGACCATGTTGTCAGTAAGGAAAAATTATTTCAGTTTAAACTGAGTTATAAACTACATCAGAAAGTCAAATGTTTAGGATATTAAATCAACGACCTGCTATTACTATTGTCAATTAAAATATGACAAAAGGTAAACATGATTAGTTGTGAACTATTAATGTCAATTAACTACAAAATATAAAGGACATACTTCCTATTTGTTAAGATTTCATAGATACGTTCTGTGAGCAGTGTTGCGGCTCCTTCCTTGCAATGAATCGTTCCATCGAGCAGTTCCTCTGCTATATCTAGGTTATGTCTTTTTATAAACTGATGGATAAAAATGAAAGAATAAATTGTACATTCTTAAAGCATTTAGTTTAAAACAAGAGGCCCATAGGGTCTGCATCATTTATTTGGTTATTTCAGCACCATGACAAACTACATTTGTTCACATTAGTATAACATTGAGTTTACAATAAAACATTGAGAAGATACCAACATGTCAACATAATCATAATCCAAACTCAAATTCAATAAAACAAGAGCAAAATATAAACAAAAGAAAGATTTTACACACAGACTCTTGACTCTTGAAAAAGTTCAAGGAGAATAAGACAAAGGGTTTCTAAAGAGTAAGCATCTTAACTGTTAATGATTCACAGCCTATTCAATAGAAATAATGAAATGTATTCCCCCATTGTTTTTGATAAATGGAACAATAAAATGTCTCTTCACCAAGAGATGATCCTGTCCAATCAAACTTCTATCAGTCCTCTATCAACCCTACTGGGCTGTCCTACTCTGCCCCAAGAATCAGATACTGAAATTTCTACAAAACTGAATTCCCTTTATGTAAGATAATATTTGGTGATGAATTCATTGTAGGTGTTAGTGACTATAGTGGCGTTTTAAAGGAAACGTTGATAGGTGCATGGATGATAAATGGATCATGCCAAATATCTTTGGGTTAATTGTTAGGTCACCTGAGACAAAGCCTCATTGTGGCAGTTTGTGATACACTTTTGTACATCATCATCCATCATCTGTCATCCGTCTATAAACTTTTTACATTTTTTACTTCCCTTGGAAAATCCCTGTACTAATTTCAATGAAACTTGACAGAAACCTTTCTAGGCCAAAGGTTAAGCAAAATTATACATTATATGGTCCTAGGGGCCTGAGGGGCAGGGCCAAAATTAGTCAAATTGATTGAAATCTCAAAAATCTTCTCAATACCAAAATAGGCTTGAATCTAATACTCTTCATGGATGAAAGGGTCTTAGGGTGCTTTACCGAAATTGTAAATTTCATGACCCAAGGGTTTCACATTTCTCCCTTGGGAATAGGTAAATTTTACTACAGTTTATATAAGAAATTACATTTTTGAGTATAATTTGTGCATTTTCTATTGGAAATACACGTAGATCAACTTGGTTAGAATTGTTAGTATAAGGTGACAGTTCAATGTTATGCACATTGACCCTGGCTGACCACAGGGGCTGATGGCCATGGCCAAAAAGGGTCACATTCAATGATATTTCAAAACTTCTCAATAACCAGATATTGTTCAATGAAATATTCTTCATGGGTTAATAGGCCTGGAAGTAAAACTTTTCTGTCCCTGTACAAAGCATTTCTTTTCCCTTCTCTATACTAAATTCATTCAAATTGTTTCAGTTTGTGAGTTCACTCAAGTGAACACATGAAAATTAAAAATATAATTATCTATCAGTTTTATTACAGGTCCACACATAACCTTATATCTTACATCCATGTAAAGCAAAAAGTTTTTTCATCTTTTATTTTTTTATTTTTTCTGAAACATGTTATTTGATGAGGAGGTCAGTAAGATTGCTTGATTTCTGGATAAAGATGTTGACAGTTTCTTGATTTTGTTGGATTTCTTACCAATTTTAGTAAACTCCAGTTTCTTAACTTTGAATCTAATGATGTTCCGTTGTTATAAGAGTGCATCTGAATTTCTTGTGGAAAATACCATGAAAATATTTCTGCGACCAAGTACCCATTTGTCAAGTCCCTGTGGAAAAAAATAAAAATTATTACAGAAGATGAGGTAAAAATGGCTGATATTAATATTGATTTAAGCAGCTGGTCTGTCAGCAATCAGTCTGTACATGTAATTGGGTATCATGCCAGTATATCTCAGCTTTATATTTTGAAAAACATAACAGCCTACGAGCTGAAAATTACTTCAGTATGGCTTTACAACTGTTATTGTAATCATACAAAACACATATTGATAAATTTATCATTTTGTTTGTCAAATTATAAAACAAAATCAAGATGAGCTAAAAAGGAATTTTACATACACTATCCTCAAATAATCTACTCATGAATATTTTGAGATTTATCTACATTCTTCTCCAAAATTAGGTAAGACATGAAATACCCAAACACTGGTTATTTAATGACATTAGCAAAAGTTTTTCGTATTTTTTTTGTATACGTTGATAGACAAAAGAAACAGCAGTAAAATCGAAGAATTGAATTACAATTAAATCACTTCTATTCTGCTTTGGATGCAACCATCAAGAGTTGTATTGTGTGACATTTTAAAATGAGTTTTTCATTCCTTTAGTCTTAAGGTATCATACCACCATCAATAATGATCTGATTACCGTAAATTTGCGGGTATAGTGCGCACTCGGGTATAATGCACAGGTACTTTTTTGGGGTCAGATAAAAAAAAATTAAAAAAAAAAAGATTTTCTACAGAAAGATTAACTGATTTTGTTACACACTATTCTTTCAGTTTTCAAATCATGATAACTGGTTTTTTTTCCCATGATGTCATCAGATGCCGTAAATCAGTGGTTGCAATATCTATTGATATTTTGAGTCAGAATTGACATACAAATGTTTCTTATACTTGTTCATAGAATAAATATTTACATTATTATCATCAAATTTTGATGTTATCACTTTTTCTTTGCTCATATTTTACAAAAATAAATAAAAACAATGAAAATTGCATAATAACTGGTGGCAATTTAGTATGTACTATATACTGTACATGTTTATGCCTATCTCCGATATAAGAAAACTGTATTTGTAAACCTGGTTATGATTTCATTCAGTGCTTGATTAAAAAAAAAATCAAGATTTAAATTGAAGAAAAGTCAAAGGTTAATGATAATTTCGATCTTGAGGTAATTTCTTGTAGCCTGGGTACAATTTATATTGGGTCCAGATTCAAGACCGAGTGTGGTGAACAAGATTTCATTCAAAGTTGGGACAGTTGTTTGTGTCATAAAGCTTTAGAATGTAACAATGACAGATTTTATAACACGATATACATCTAACTTTGCGAATGCAGTGATGAATACAGTGATTTGACTGATCAAAGTTGAGAATTTCTATGAATGAAATTTTATGAATAGATGTCGCAACTCCAAATCTTAACAAAAGTTGTAGCAATGGCTCAAATAACCTAGATACAGTAAAGATAACGACACAGGAATCAAACGAAGTCAAAAGAATACAATGAGAACAGAAGGTTTTATTTTGTCGAGAAAATGATCATTATCCAATCACTAGCATGTAAGAAAGGAAATCAATGCACGAAAATTGCCGAAAACGTATGTGAAAGTGTCAAAGGGAGTCATGTTCTCAAAACTATATAATTAAATTATTTATCCAAATGGGACAAATCAAGATGTCATTTTAGTCGACTATGGATGTTTATGTGTTTTTCTCTTATGTGTATTGACGACTAATCTCGCTATTTCTTTCTGTTTCTCCAGTACTGTAAACGAAATAATTACTTACCATTTAGGTGTCTTAATTTGCCAAGTGAGGTCCAGACTCTGGGTCCACTTAAGGACTTCACGCGGTAAACCTGACATTTTTACCCACCGATTTCTTTTGTTGTCATGAGCAACAGAATACGGAAGCAGTCTAGGTTAATTCTGTGTTTGATACACATATGCAGTTGGGTTAAGCGTCAGCTTCACAGAGATGACGACGTAGGCGTTTCTAAAATAGTGAAAATAAAATGGCTAAGCGGGACGAAATACCCAGGTGCCGTAAATATGCACTTAAGTCTAACTTATTGATATATATTTTTGCAGTTTCACTGTTTTCCAAAATTGCCCAGATAATTTTTCTCTTTAGATTGAGACTGACCTTACAATTTGGATTTACTTTTTGTTACTTTTACATTGACAATGAAAAGTTATGGCACCAAAATATTGAAATATGACCAGTAATGGAACATTTAATATTTTTGAAGCAGCATTGTTGTAATACAAAATTTTGATAACCATTTAAGTCCAAAGGTCCTGTTTTTGTGAAGAAATGACCAACTTTCATGTTTCCCGCTTTAATGTGAAAAACATAAATAAAATGAAATGTGAACAGTACATCTTCAGGCTAATGGCACATTACTTAGAACTGCAACAACATACATATTAAAAAAAAAATTTAAATATACACAAAATGCATCTATTCGTCATTTGCACAAAATGAGTTGTTAATCCCCTAAAGAATAGCTTCCACAATTCTGCCATTTTTGTCAATTAAACTATCTGTTTATATCAATTTGTCCCTTATAAAATTCTTTTCTCTCCTTTGCTCCTTTTTTTTTAAATATTGTTTTTTATTTTTCCAAGTTATTTCATACATTACATGAAGACCAGACAGTATACATACCCAAAATAATACACATACATAAGGATGTGTAACAAGTATATTGCCTAGTATCAGGATGATGTTCCCTTTTTTGCTCTTGTTTTAGCACAGACTGATAAATTGCTGTGACCATACAATAGCATAACTAGAAAAGGGCTGTCATAAGGAATTTGAAAATGATTTTAAAATTGACATGTCAAAATCTAAGATGGCAACCTTCAGTCATAATAAAAACCAAAGGAAACCTACATACCAGATTTGAGAAAGAAACCTCTTGCACTCTATAAGAAATAGTGATAAACATAAGCAGGGTCTTGGTAACCATCATCATATGACAAATCTTTACTTGATCTTTGGTGACGTCTGTTGTGTGTCAGAACTTTACTAGGTCTATGGTGACAACTGTTGAATGTCAGATCTTTACAAGATCTTTGGTGACAACTGTTGTATGTCAGATCTTTTCTAGGTCTTTGGTGACGTCTGTTGTATGTCAGATATTTACTAAAACTTTAGTGACAACTGTTGTATGTCAGATCTTTACTAGATCTTTAGTGACAACTGTTGTAAGATCTTTTGTAGATCTTTGGTGGCAACTGTTGTATGTCAGATATTTACTAGATCTTTGGTGACAACTGTTGTATGTCAGATCTTTACAAGGTCTTTGGTGACAACTGTTGTATGTCAGATCTTTACAAGGTCTTTGGTGACAACTGTTGTATGTCAGATCTTTACTAGGTCTTTGGTGACAACTGTTGTAAGATCTTTTGTAGATCTTTGGTGGCAACTGTTGTAAGATCTTTTGTAGGTCTTTGGTGACAACTGTTGTATGTCAGATCTTTACTAGATCTTTAGTGACAACTGTTGTATGTCAGATCTTTACTAGGTATTTGGTGACAACTGCTGTATGTCAGATCTTTACAAGGTCTAAAGTGACAACAGTTGTATGTCAGATCTTAACAAGGTCTTTGGTGACAGCTGTTGTAAGATCTTTTGAAGATCTTTGGTGACAACTGCTGTAAGATCTTTTGTAGATCTTTGGTGACAACTGCTGTATGTCATATCTTTACAAGGTCTAAAGTGACAACAGTTGTATGTCAGATCTTAACAAGGTCTTTGGTGACAGCTGTTGTAAGATCTTTTGTAGATCTTTGGTGACAACTGTTGTAAGATCTTTTGTAGATCTTTGGTGACAACTGCTGTATGTCAGATCTTTACAAGGTCTAAAGTGACAACAGTTGTATGTCAGATCTTTACTAGGTTTTTGGTGACAACTGTTGTATGTCAGATCTTTATTAGGTCTTTAATGACAACTGTTGTATGTCAGATCTTTACTTGGTCTTTGTTGACAACTGTTTTATGTCAGATCTTTACTAGGTCTATGGTGACAACTGTTGTATGTCAGATCTTTACAAGGTCTTTTGTGACAACTGTTGTATGTTAGATCTTTACAAGGTCTTTGGTGACAACTGTTGTATGTCATATCTTTACTAGGTCTTTGGTGACAACTGTTGTATGTCATATCTTTACAAGGTCTTTGGTGACAACTGTTGTATGTCAGATCTTTACTAGGTCTTTGGTGACAACTGTTGTATGTCAGATCTTTGGTGACAACTGTTGTGTGTCAGATCTTTACAAGGTCTTTGGTGACCATCGTTGTGTCATATCTTTACTAGGTCTTTGGTGACGTCTGTTGTTATTCACCATCCATATCTAAGAAAGTTGCCATTGTGATTGTTTGATCAGTTCTAAAATTAATAATGCACAACTAGGGCCAAAGGGGAAATTCAATGTGAAATGTAAGAAATATACCTGTCCTCATTTTGTTTTTCTGATCAGGTTCAAAATAGACAATGCAAAACTAGGGACCAAGGAAAATCTTTGTACGAGATCTGAAAATGATCCATCCATTTTCAAGAACAAGAGTATCTGTCAAACTGATGAATGCTCCCTGAAAACAACCTTATTGGAAGCAAAATTTTAACAAAAGGAAATTATTCTGTAATAAAGGGGTTTTGGGCCCTGAATTTAGTATACTGAACAACCATGTACAACTTTCATTATCCTCGTATAAATGAAAGTTGTGCTCCAGACATGAATGACACAAAGTTTTGAGTAGTTATCTTGAAGCTGATTTCATGCTTTGGCACAAGGATGCAAAGATGCACAGTCAGAGCTTAATCTTATATCCCTTTAAAAACATGTTTTGAAGGGAAAAAATAATCCAAGTCAAGAATTGTTTTTACATTAATTGTCAATTCAAGTACAGTAATATTGTGACAATTTCAGAAGAGTCCTATTCATTCAGCAACTGCATACACTGTATAACTGGAACATATAGATAATAGATAATCCAGCACCCATAAATATCATCAACACAATAAAATTGAACACTGACTGCCATATCATTCTGTTTCGTACTGTCTATATCACATACATTGTAAGTTATTCTTAAATTATCCTGGTAGTACTGTCTACATCACATACGTTGAAGGGTGTTCTTAAATTATCCTGGTAGTACTGTCTATATCACATACATTGAAGGGTGTTCTTAAATTATCCTGGTAGTACTGTCTATATCAGGAAACGTTCTGTGTGAAAACCTGTCTTTCCTGACACTTTGAGACCAGGAAAGGCCTTTCTTCACAGAAAAATTTCTGTGTAAGACTGTCTCCCCGGAGAGACACTCGTCATAATTTTGAGGCCTGAACAGACAACTTTCTGCATAAAATCCTGTCTCAGTCTGCATATTGTCTCATTAGAAATAAATCAACACTGCTTTAATCTCATGCAATATTTATTTTCCTACATACACAGTTCATATTCAGAATGATCTTAATTTATTCACACATTCTGCTTTATTTTAAGTAAAACAAACATCCAGGATTTTCTGGAGAGCAGGGCCTACTTAAGCCAACGACAACAAAAGTCTGTTGAATTCAATTTGATGGCAAAATTCCCCTATTGTTGATTCATTAACCTCATTTTTTAGTTTCAGAATATTTTATTGATATAAACAATCAATAGGATTAGACAGCAGGCCTGAGCCTGTAAGTCTTCTCCCAAATGACCTCCACTGATTCTTAAACATATCTTTGGAAACATATTAAAGCAAAATAACATACTTTTGTGTGAATATCAGTTAAAGACAGTAGTATATGTTGGCTAAATGGTAAATCATTTTTCCAATACAGTCTCATTTAATAAGTTAAAATCTCTGAACACACTGATCCTACGTCATCTTCTCCAACTCCGACTTTATTTCACTTATCATTTGGTCCCTCGGTACATTTTTCTGAAATAAAAGTTTGAAATTATTTTTTAAATTTATGGAAAAATGAATCCTCACAAGTTTAAATTGATGTAACAAGGTAGATAGATCAACAATATTTATACATAAATCACACTGTAAAATGTTTCTGTCGATTATTAGTTAAAACAATTGTGACAATTCCACAACATGATTTTTCTTATAAAAACCAAACCATTAGTGGATATCTGTCAACAAAATGATGATGATACACTTCAGTTATTTTACTACCAGACATTTACTATCAAAATAAGCATTAAATTGAAGCTAATGTGAAAAAGATATCATTTCATTTGGGCAAAAAAATATCTTTTGTCCAAGATTTTTTTTTGTATTGGTTTGAGAGTATTTGTGGGGTAGGTATAGGCTGAGTAGCCAGAATCTGTGGCAGTGAGAGGATGTGTTGAGGATACCAACCTCCTCCCTTGTGACAGTGTTTCGCAGCTTTACAAATTGGTTTTCTATCTCTGACTGGCCTATGATAACTGCTAGGGGTATACCAGCTGTCTCACAGTACTGGAACTGTGTCAGGGGCTTAGGATTGGCCTTATAAGCTTGCTCCGTCTACAAGAGAAAATCATACCTTAACAGTTATCAAGAGCTTCAACTTTTAAACATTTTTAGATGCTGGAAACCAGTATCTGTAGGGAAGACTCCGACAATTTGACCTGGCTTTTCCCCACAAAAAAATCTCCAAAACACACATCTTCTTATGCCTGTGTTAATACCGTACGTGTAATTTACCATTATTCCATGATATGTTTCAAGTTGTCATATGATTGGTAACATTATAATGAAATAGATGAATAAAAGGAAAAGTGAATAATCAGCCATAACAATGTTTTTTATCAACAAGTATTTCAGACTTTATCAACAAGTATTTCAGACTTTTATCAACAAGTATTTCAGACTTTATCAACAAGTATTTCAGACTTTATCAACAAGTATTTCAGACTTTTATCAACAAGTATTTCAGACTTTATCAACAAGTATTTCAGACTTTATCAACATGTATTTCAGACTTTATCAACAAAAATTTCAGACTTTATCAACAAGTATTTCAGACTTTTATCAACAAAAATTTAAGACTTTATCAACATGTATTTCAGACATTTATCAACATATGTTTCAGACTATTTTCAGTACATATATTTGATACTATTTTCAGTACATATGCTTCTTGACCTATATTTCCCATGGTGTAAGAAACTCAAGTTTTTACATAATTATGAACAAGGGGAGACTACTTATATTAAAATCAAATCAATCGTTAAAATCAGTAAATTGAAATTTAAAAACAACAGGCAGTAGGACCAAGAGGGAAAATACATATGAAAATTAAGACTGATCCAATAAGAATATTATACATGTACACATCCAAGATTGCTGCAGCTGATGGGGATATCATATCCTCATCCCCCCTCCCCTCCTAACACAAACCCTGTCACATGTTACCTTGATATTTGCATCCCACAACTCTCGACAGAGTTTTAAGCGTTCCTCCAGCAGACCTTTCTGGGCAGACACCACATATACTTCTGTTTCTGTTGTTCTAATCTTCGCCTTTGCAGCCTAATGATACACAAGAGTTTTCATCTACATCATATATGCTTTACATTCAACTTTTACAACATATCAATATAAATAGCTAAAGTAACAGTGTCCCATTTACAGTGCAATGAACAATTCCTCTTAGTGACATATATAAGTTTCAACACTTCACACTTATTCAAAATTTGATAAAAATATCTTTAATGATTTTGCAGATTCAACAGTTACAGTAAAGACAAGAATTCACTCAAAAGTTTACATTATTTGACCTCTGACTGCCGACATTGATGGCCACACCATTTTTTTGACAATGATATCAACAATGAGAGGCACCAGTACTAGGTAGTACAATGTGTTTCTCTTATTGGAAGGGGAGACATAATCATCTCGACCAAACAGGAGACATTTCTGAACTTCTAAGAGTGACTACTTACAATTGCTCGAGCCTCCATGATAGCAAACACTCTCTCTATGCCAATACTAACACCGACACATGGGACTTTGCGACCTTTTGGGTCAAACATGCCAACAAGACCATCGTATCTTCCTCCTCCTGCCACACTACCAACAGAGACAGTCTCTTCTCCTTTCTTTGCACTTGGGTCATGGGTAAAACCTAAATGGGTTAACAAGACACAAAATAATGGCCATCCAACTAAGGACTGATTATCATACATCAGGAAGTCAAGGAAACAGTGATAAATTGCTGGCATACTCCCTAGTTAATGTAGAACAAGTATATTGCACGGCTTCATACCCTGCCCTTCAGGATTCCCTAGTAGAACTAAGGGTATTACGAAACTTTAGAACCCATCCTTAAGGACTCCCTTGCAGACCTAAATATATTAAGTAACTTTAGAACCCACCTTTAAGGACTCCCTAGTAGAACTAAGTGTATTAAGTAACTTTAGAACCCACCTTTGAGGATTCCCCAGTAGAACTAAGTGTATTAAGTAACTTTAGAACCCACCTTTAAGGACTCCCTAGTAGAACTAAGTGTATTAAGTAACTTTAGAACCCACCTTTGAGGACTCCCTAGTAGAACTAAGTGTATTAAGTAACTTTAGAACCCACCTCTGAGGACTCCCTAGTAGAACTAAGTGTATTAAGTAACTTTAAAACACACCTTTGAGGACTTCCTAGCAGAACTAAGTGTATTAAGTAACTTTAGAACCCACCTTTGAGGACTCCCTCGTAAATGACGCCCGTGTAGTAGTCTAAACCACGAGCTAGACTTAGGTCGAAACTGACATGATCTGCTATACCAAACAGTTCACAGTACTTAAGCAGAAGGCTGATATCCTGCAGGCCTTCCACCGCTGACTTCTGTGATTTTATGGCATCATCTTGCATCAACTTGTCTATCAGATCTTGGCTACCTGTAATAGGGTTCATTGTAAAAGCACCTCAGTCTGTGATTTGTATACATGATAACACTATACACAAACAATAACAGCATTTCAGTATGTGATTTGTATACATGATAACACTAAACACAAACACTTACAGCCTCTCAGTCTGTGTTATTGTATACATGATAACACTATACACAAACAATAACAGCATTTCAGTATGTGATTTGTATACATGATAACACTAAACACAAACACTTACAGCCTCTCAGTCTGTGTTATTGTATACATGATAACACTATACACAAACAATAACAGCATTTCAGTCTGTTGAATTTGGTACAAATGAGTTTTTGGTGGTTACTCTTGTGAAAAAAGAATTATTACCTTGAAGCTTCACATACATCCCTATTTTATCAGCTGCTGCTGGATCTAATTTCTTCTCTTCAATCATCTCAGTCCGTACATCATCCCAAAATGTCTACAACATCAAGTCAAAACGTTCAAACAATTCTTTACTGATATAGAGTCTACATTCCAACTAAGATCTAACATTTCTCTACAGACTTGGAGTTTGTACATACCAACTCATACCTAACATTTCTCTTGTACATACAAACTCATACCTAACATTTCTCTACTGACCTAGAGTCTATACATACAAACTCATACCTAACATTTCTCTACTGACCTAGAGTCTATACATACAAACTCACATCTAACAATTCTCCACTGACCTAGAGTCTATACATACAAACTCATACCTTACATTTCTCTACAGACTTGGAGTTTATACATACAAACTCATACCTAACATTTCTTTACTGACCTAGGGTCTATACATACAAACTCATACCTAACATTTCACTACTGACCTAGAGTCTATACATACAAACTCACATCTAACAATTCTCGACTGACCTAGGGTCTATACATACAAACTCATACCTAACATTTCTCTACTGACCTAGAGTCTATACATACAAACTCATACCTAACATTTCTCTACTGACCTAGAGTCTATACATACAAACTCATACCTAACATTTCTCTACTGACCTAGAGTCTATACATACAAACTCATACCTAACAACATTTCTCTACAGACTTGGAGTCTATACATACATCATACCTAACATTTCTCTACGGACCTAACATTTCTCTACTGACCTAGAGTCTGAACATTCCATCTCAGATTTAACAATTCTCCATTGACCCTACTTCACCACACAAATATCTATTTAGATTCATCAAACTTAATGAAGCCTTACATTCAATTGATTTTCCTGTGTCAACGAATAGATCTTACCTTGTCCAGTTTGTCAACAGAGGAACATATCGTTCTAAATTTATCATCTGGAACACCACATGCAGCAAACATACCGTCTAATAATTTTCTATGGTTGACCTGCAAAAGAAAAAATTTGAATTGAAAGAAAACTTTACTTTTGATTACTCTTGAACAGTTTTTTTCAAGTCTCCTTTGTCTTTTATGTTATTGTCTTTTAATGTGTACATCTGTCTTTTCAGGCAGTGTGAGGATCTGGTAGACCAAAGTTGAGAAATAGCTGACTTGGTTCACACATAACTGTAAGAAAATGATGTTAAACCAAGTTTTTAAAATTTTCAAAATCCAAAGACAACAACTCCGAAATAGACAAGGTGACCATGTCAAAATAGTACATTACTTTAACTATATATTCTTGTAATACAACTACATGTCACATCCAGCCCCAAGAAAATGAGAGGACAAAATTACTACCTACCTTTATAACGAAGTCCCCAAGTTCTAATTTAGATAAAATTTCTGTGACAATCTTTATACATTCAGCATCTGGTATCATCGCATCATACTGACCGGCAATATCAAAATCCTGGAACAAAGATAAATAAAAGCATATCAAAGTATAATATCTATCACAATGAAAGATTAAATGCTGATATCAAAATGAAATGAAACCTAGCTGAGATCTCTAGTAAGCCTGTAAACAAGCATTCTTAGAAATAGTAAGTCAACTTAATATTTGGGTCAATCTATTTTATCATCATCCCAAACAGTTTAAAAAAAATCATACATATTTAACAACACAGTTGATCACTGCAGCATAAGAATCTTTATGAATTATTCCAACTGTCGAAGGTCATAATATTCAATGTTTGAATATAGTAGAATAAATATATATATATATAAAGAATCTTTATCAAGGGAAAACCAGTTTGTATTTATCATAGTTTGTTATAGGTGTGTTTATTTAGACACTATCCATTATTGAGAATGTATTACACAATTAATATCAAATATACTGGTACTTTCAAAATTTGAAGAAATTTTAAACATGAAGAACACATCTCATTGACAACCATGTTCATTTGGGACCACAGCAGGATTTCAATAGATCATTCACATTACTATAAACTGTCCATCAGTAGATCTGCATGAATGCCTTTGTATAAAATGCAGAAAATATTGAAAAAAATGCAATGGAATGTTCATGAAAGTTTGTCTTCTAAGATCAATAGCTGTATACTATTTGATATGAAAACCTCACTCATATTTGGCAAGGTGTTTAAAGTTTCTTAAAGTATATAATGTACAATGAAGTGTTGCATTCAACTTTTAATAATTCCTGGATGGATTGAAAATTAACAGACTAAAAAGTTCCTTAATCAATACTCACACACTGATAAAACTCACGGAACCGCCCTCGTGTCATGGCTGGGTTGTCACGGCGATACACCTTAGCTATGTGGTAACGCTTGATATTCATGACTTTATTCATGGCCAGGTAACGTGCAAATGGTACCTGTACCCCGAGTTAAGGAACTAGACAATCAATATTATACTCAAGGTAAAGTTACACTTCATTGTTCCACAGCACAATACGAAAGAATATGATGTTTGTGCATACTTTACTCTAGACATGTTTAAAATGAAAATTCTTTGGTGTAAATAACTGTTTGCTTTAAGGTCATGCACAAATAGTATTTGCTTGGTTTGGCTTACAATGCTTTAGGTCCTTTCAACAGCCAGGGCCATTCAAGGACAACCTCCAAATGTATGCAAGGTAAAGTGCAGTGTTGAATATGTGCATTTTTTGGAGGCTATAATATGTTCATGTAAGCCTCTTGTGATAGTGTGGAATTCAAGCTGACTTAATAGTGCTATCACACTGACAACCAGCCAGCTAATCAGTCACAGCACTTACATAATGATGATGGAGTAACTACCATTTATATAGATTCTAGCATGTCTACATGCCAGGGGGCAAAACACAAATCCTTCTCATGGGGCAAACATTAACTAAAATCCAAAACTAAGGCAGTGTCAAGGGAGACATTAGGAAGATTAAAAATCTTTAAAAATGGGAGAAAACAAAGATCTGAAGTTAGGCCACCACTTACAATTATGCAATGAGGACAGTAGATACAATCCTTACACCTGTAGGGCATGCCCGTCAAGTTTCCTGTACAGAAAAGTGAATGGAAAAGTGCACCATGTGACGAATGGTAAGCTAAAACAAGACATGTAGCAAGGATACAGTCAGATCATATCGAAGTGACAGGAGCTCTCCTCCTTGATCTTTCAAATCATAAATCAACTTGGAATCTTCACCATACTTCCCGGTCAATGTTTCCTGGAATAACAGAATGACAAAAGCACTGATCAGTAACTTCATGGAATTGTTGTCCCCAGCTGTAACAGGTTTCCTATTTATAACAATTAAATGCCAATATCCTCAATACACACTCCTCTTGGCTTTAAACTTTGTCAGCACAACCAGTAACTGATTCCTTTTAAAACTACAAGTGATTGTAATCAGATCTGAGGCTCCTAAAAATACGTTCCTCTCTAGTAAAGTAGCTTACCTTGAGTTCAAACACAGGTGTGTCAATGGTTTCTGCTCCATGGCGTTTGAAGCAAGTGATTATGGTGTTGAAGACGCTTTCCCTGATGGCCATCTGTTGGGGCGTGTAGTCCTTGGTACCCTAAAGATTCACATCAATAGATCACAAAAGATTCATTCAAGGAACATTTAATTTAATTTTTATCTGTCAAAAGTTTGACTTTCAGTTAATTTTCCAAAAAATTACTGTAGAAATTGCATATTAGAAATGTTATTCTGATTCGATGACTTAGAACTTCTCTGTCAAAAAAACCAAGTCATTTCATATATTCATTGAGTGAGGGATATCTGTTATATCTATTTTTTATTGCACTTTTATCCTCCTCACTGTGTACTGTAAAATCATTGATTTTTGTGCAGATTTATTTTCCTGGAATTTGTGGGTACCCTTAATCTACAAATTTATAGGTCTATGAAATAAATGGTGAAGGTTGACGTGGATTGTATTGCTAGCAAATTTTGTAAGCAAGATTTGACCAAGAAATGAAGTGGCAGCAAAAAATGTTTGGAAAAATATGAAATTCAAGCCTCTCAAAAATACATGATATTATAGTATATTTTGCAACCTGATCATCTGCTAACCATAAGCATATTTCTTTACATAAAAGAATTCACTCCCTGAGGGATCTTGTAGCCCGTCATTGTTTGATCTTTATATGCTCTTTGAACGTTGGATCATTTCCCTTCTTTTCTCTGTTTTTGCTCTTAATTTTGTTTCTTCTGATGAATCCCACAATTAAACCAGCACAAGGAGAGACCAAAGGGAACATACGTAAGAAATTTGAGAGATATCCATTCAGTATTTTTCAAGAAATAGCAATAACAATCTTTATCAGGCAAAATCCAAGATTGCTGCCTGTCGGCCATGCTTTTCTGATCTGTCCAAAACTCAATCAGGTTTAACAAGGGACCTTAAGGAACCTATACAAGAAATTTGAGAAATATCTATTGAATATCAATACTGATGATGGTGGGCTAAAAATAAGCAACATGTCATAAAATTTCCCAATGTCTTGTTCCATTCAGTGTATTAAAATATCAACTGTCACCATACCTTTGGACATTTCAGAACAAAGTTCTTTGATGAAGGAGCATCCCCTTTTATTTGGCATTTCAAAGCTAACAGTTTGTCCACCTCTTCTTTAATCTACAAAAAATCAATACAAGTAAATGTTTCCCTATCCCAGCTCTTGATTTCTACAACACAACACATTACAATATCTGATTCCCTAATTATAACTGTTTCCCTATCCCAGCTCTTGATTTCTACAACACATTACAATATCTGATTCCCTAACTATAAATATTTCCCTATCCCAGCTCTTGATTTCTACAACACATTACAATATCTGATTCCCTAATTATAACTGTTTCTATCCCAGCTCTTGATTTCTACAACACATTACAATATCTGATTCCCTAACTATAACTGTTTCCCTATCCCAGCTCTTGATTTCTACAACACAACACATTACAATATCTGATTCCCTAACTATAACTGTTTCCCTATCCCAGCTCTTGATTTCTACAACACAACACATTACAATATCTGATTCCCTAACTATAACTGTTTCCCTATCCCAGCTCTTGATTTCTACAACACATTACAATATCTGATTCCCTAACTATAAATATTTCCCTATCCCAGCTCTTGATTTCTACAACACATTACAATATCTGATTCCCTAATTATAACTGTTTCCCTATCCCAGCTCTTGATTTCTACAACACATTACAATATCTGATTCCCTAACTATAACTGTTTCCCTATCCCAGCTCTTGATTTCTACAACACAACACATTACAATATCTGATTCCCTAACTATAACTGTTTCCCTATCCCAGCTCTTGATTTCTACAACACAACACATTACAATATCTGATTCCCTAACTATAACTGTTTCCCTATCCCAGCTCTTGATTTCTACAACACAACACATTACAATATCTGATTCCCTAACTATAACTGTTTCCCTATCCCAGCTCTTGATTTCTACAACACAACACATTACAATATCTGATTCCCTAACTATAACTGTTTCCCTATCCCAGCTCTTGATTTCTACAACACAACACATTACAATATCTGATTCCCTAACTATAACTGTTTCCCTATCCCAGCTCTTGATTTCTACAACACAACACATTACAATATCTGATTCCCTAATTATAACAATTTCACAATCAATAATACAAATACAATTGAAACTGTCAAGTTCAGATGACTAAAGTTATTGTGTCAAAATTAATTTTCTATCGATAGTAACATTACCTTGATCTTAAATGACCTCTTAACTTGAAAAACAATCCAAAAATAATAAGCACCATTATTTAAGAAAGCAGTGAGTGAAGTTTGATTGGTCAAAGGCAACTCAAGTTATTGAGTAGAAATGAAGTTTCTATTTATAGTACCAGTGACATTTCAAAAAGAAATACAAAGTAAATCATATCAGTAGGGGAGTACTTTGTTATGTTTATTCAATCAACAGGAACTGGCAGAGAGCAATTTTCCTTTTACAGTCAGTGACCTTTGAAAAAGCAATACCATGTAAGCACTTTCAATAAGAAAGCAGTTTGTGAACTTTGAGATTTTAGTTATTGTATGGAAATGATGATCTAAAAATCTAGTACGGCCAGTTACTCCGTCTCATATGGCCAGTAACTCCACAACTCTTATGGCCAGTAATTCCCACTCATATGGTCAGTAACTATCACTCATATGGTCAGTAACTACCACTCATATGGTCAGTAATTCCCACTCATATGGCCAGTAATTCCCACTCATATGGTCAGTAACTACCACTCATATGGCCACTAATTCCCACTCATATGGTCAGTAACTTCCACTCATATGGTCAGTAACTTCCACTCATATGGTCAGCAATACAGATGGCCAGTAACTTGTGTGACCTCAGAATTTCAAGATGTTCTTGGGTAACTAAGAATGGAAAAGCTACTTTCCTATATTTGTCACAAAACATCAGGAACCTCTTTAGCTCCTGAATACACAAGGAAAATCAACTGATGTATAAAAAGTATTAGCAGTCCTCTATATATATAACCTTGGTTTACCTGATCCTTTCTCACTTTAGACTGTTGCATCATCCTAATACTCTTGTGAATATCTCCACTACCTGCTACCTCCTCTATTACAGTTTTTTCATTCTCAACAGACAAATTCCGACAGAGTTTCTCCTTGGCCATTTCCATGTTGCTTAACCTTTCCTTATTGAACACACTACTGGCAAAATTGTCCCACCAAGTCTCCAATATGGAACAAGATTCTTTCCCTAACACCACCTTACAAGCATATTTCCTCCAACTTGAATTCATTCATATACAACAGGTGTTATCTATGTGGTGGAAGATACAACTCTATCTGCCTTGGCCCACTAAGATAAGGCTGCACAATGAACTTCACAAAGCAAGCATACACATGTTTCTTAATTATACCATCACATCGGCTATCTAAAATAAATCTCCTGATATCTAAAATACAACTCCTCTGACCTTGACAGACACCAGGTGTCACTGTACAGTGATAGCTGAAGCCATAGCACTAGATGGAACACCCTCAGATCATTGTAAGTAAAGCAAGATTTCAGGACGATTCTGACTTGACAAACATTTGGTGAAGGTGAGAGGCATTTCATTTTCTGGTCTACTACTATGATGTATTTATCAAAAATGATCAAACCAGGGAAACCAGTTGTAAATATTTCCCATGTAACTGGTTAAAGTGTCCCATATTTTTTATATGTTTGATTGATGTACAGTGAAGAAATTCTCTCTGATTTGATCCCTTCTTTGATGTATAGTAAATAAAGTTTTCAAAATTATTATTATATTAACTGATACACATTTTTGTTGGTCAAAACCAAGGACTTTTGTAATGGTTTAGTCAAGTTTAAATTGATTTCTACTACTACAAGTTATTCAACTCCCTCTGCATCAACTAATCATTCCAACAGTTATAAAACGTAAATGTTATACCATATGCAGCATATCATTTTCGCATATTTTGATTGGCTATCAGGATGAACTTTGACCGAAAGGGCACTTCATGCACTCACAGAAATTAAAACCCACAATAAGTAGTTCACTATTGCTTTTGTAATAGATTGACTTCTATTTGGGTTTTTACCTTGTTTTTGCTTTGAAGATAACAAACCACTTTAATTCTGGTTATAATATGTAATGAGTTACAATGTCTCCATGTATTTCTGATATTGTCAGTTTTGCACATTAATTAACCTTGTTTCACTAAAGATCATATTGTTCTGCCCCAGCCGGTGATGTTAACAAAATAGGTGATTACAGAACAGGTCAATTCAACTTCAGAATGGCTTTTTCAATTGTGGTGGAAACAGGACACATAAACTTGGGGTCAAGGTATATGATATTCTTGTTAAGAGACAAAGGAATGGCTGAGAAAAAAAAATAACATGTGGGGAAAATATTTCATGGAGATTTGAAGTATTTTCTTTTCATATTGGTAAAGTGGGGTAGTATTCTATTTGGATTAAAAAAGCTGAACTTAACACAAGTTCGACAGACAAACTTTGAAGGTTCGTGAATTTTCATAGATGAAAGAAAATCTGTAATCAAACAAACATTTAATGTTGCAAGCAATAGATGTCCCTTGCCTTGCCACAATTAGCATTTTTGAAGCAACTTTGTGGTTGACCTTTTGGCCCCAAATACAATCCCACACTAGGTCACCCCTAACATAAGTTATCTGGAAACTGTCGGGACAGACGGATGGACAGACAGATGATAGCTTACACTTTGTTCCCCTCCTGTTCCTGATGGGGATCTGAACTATCTTAAAGAGACTAAATGATGAGATTTACATTTGACTACTGATAAAAAGCATTATAACATTTAAATATCTTTAAACATTGTATGCTTTCCGTTAATAATGGTATTTTAAAGTTTATTAACAATGTCAAGAATCAATTCATATCATTATCGTTAGAGTGTAAATAAACTAGGTATGTCTTTGTTCATGCAATTTTAGATTCCGATTAATTCAAATTCATCTATTTTGCTCTGTCACTCGTATAGCGTGAAACAAGAGGTCATTTTACAAAGTAAGATTTGAAACATAGCTGGCAAATCAGGTTTTATCAACTAGCCTTAGTTTGAAGCTGATAATCTTAATCAATTTCTCTCAGAGAATGTTATAATTTTTTTTGAAGAGTCTAATTTTAAGTATTATAATGTTTGACAGAAATCAACCGCATGGGAAAAAAAAAATCTAACTAGTTAGCCCCTTTAATGATATAACCGCTTTTTCCCAATTAGGCCCCAACCTTCTTGTCCAGGGGGGTGGGGGGAAGAACCCAACACTTATATAAAATTGATTTCCCCTGACTTAAACATGATTGAGACCAAATTTGGAAAAAGTCCAATTATTCCTATAGGAGAGGTAGGATTTTAAATAATTAGCTCTATTCTCTTTATAATTTCCCTCCTACCCCAGAGGGTAGAGACCAACTGTTTACAAAAAAATTATTGCCTTCACCAAAACATGATTCAAACTAAATTTGGACAAAATCCAATCATTCCTACAAGAGGAATGGGATTTGCAAGAATTAGCTCTATTTCCTCCGTTAGGCACTGCCCGAGAGGGTGGAATCCCTTTGTTTATACAAAATTTATTCCCCCTTCACCAAAAAGTGCTTCAGAAGGATTTAAAAAAAAAAATCCTGTTTGGGTACCAAGACACACCAATTATACAAAATATGTTCTCCTTCATCTAACGATGCTTCTGATCAAATTTCGTCAAAATCCCCTTAGTCATTCATGACTAGTATCATTTTGTAGAAAAAGTTGACACATGATAGAAGCAAGATGACAGATGCCACAGTATCCGTATAGCTCACTTGGCATTCGATCCAGTTGTGCTAACAGCCTTGATGGTCACCTGAGATAGGCAATAATGAATATAAAGTTTAAAAGGTAGTTATCAAGTGTCATGAAACAGAAATTGTGACACTGAATATAATAAGCCAGTGTCAATACATGCATACAATCAAAACTGTCATCCTATACTGACAATTCTTACAAAGTTATTTCCAGTGGGAAATACTAACATTATGATAAAAAATGCAAATTTTCTCATGAAAATTGCAGTAAAGTCTAAAAACCCTTTCTCCCCAATAAGAAATATGAGACTCATTTTGGTAACTAAAGCACCTTAAGATGCTTCCATTCATAGAGTATTTGATTCTACTGAGAAGAAGATTTTTTAAAATCTGAGTCAATATGACCACTTTTGGACCCATCCCTCAGGCCCCTATTGGTGAAAATCTGAGGATCGTTCCCTACCTGGGGCAGTAACATCTCCGATAGTAGAACATCATACATTTTTCAACATCAGGTAAAATTCTGAGGTGTATGGTTCGATCCCTATCTGGGGCAGTGGTAGCTCAGTTGGTAAAGCAAGTTCAATCTACCAAGGGCAGGTTAGTGTTTCTCAGGAAATTACACCAGAGTTGAACCGTTGGACTAAACACTTTAAACATAATCACTTTAGATAGCAAACATTAAGCCTCACGAACGATGTAAGGGAGGTAATTATGTGCACCTACTAGGAGAAGGCCCATATCAAAATGATGCATGTAGCAGACAGACCATCAATCCAGTAAAGACTAGTAAAGTCAGTATAGACTGACCTTCAAATAATTGCAATACCCTTAATTTCACATATTACGCTGTGTTACACAAGAGTTAGATATTACACTTCAAAGTTAGTCCAGTAAGCAATTACCTTTATTTTCTTGATCCCTAAATCAAGGTGAAATTAAAAAAAAAAAAAAACATTACGAGGGATTTTTTTTTCTGTTCCAATATATTTCAATCACCAGGAAAAACCAGACATAAGTAATCATTTACTAGTGAATGATTTCAATATCATACTAACCTGTGTGTTGTTATTGGCAGAACAGAGATAACGTAGATTGTGTTGGAAGAGCCGTTGGTGAAAACGACACAGGGAGATGATCATGTTTGTATTCAATGGCAAGACAAGTCAGTGATGATAATGGATGGCAGGATATGTAAAGGAGAGAAAAATCCTTCAGCAACTCTGTCAAATAGGAAAACAACAGAATCCAGCAACAAATGGTTTCTGTTGGACATTAGTCTCTCCCTTCCTTTCAGCCAATTTGAACTAATACCTTTAATTAACTAAACAGAATTTCATGTGCCTGGTATATAAAATAACCATCAAACAAGACACATATAGAACTCACCTGAATTTAACATTCATTTTCATGTTTACCAGATACATATTGACTTTTACACCAGTTGTTGAAAAATGATTCTGGTTGTATTCTCTTTCTCCAGACAGAAGCATTATTTTAAATATTACCTTCAACTCCCATATAGGGCCTTATTTCTCTGGTACTAGGTGGGCCAGAACCTCAGTCAAAATGAGAAGAGGCCTTGACGGTCACTTGAGATAAGCAATAATGAATATTAAGGTTAATGGGTAGTTACCAAGTGTAATGAAACAGAAATTGAAACTGAAATAGTAAGCCAGTGTCAATACAAGCATATCATCGAAACTGTATACTTATACTAATAATTCCAGAGGGAAATACCAATGTTGTGCTCAAAAATGCAATTTCATATGAAAATTACAGTAAAGTAAAAAAAAAAACTTCATCCCCAGTAAGAAATGCGAGATCCATTTTGGTAAAGCACCTTCAATGCTTCCATTCATACAGTGCATTTGATTATACCATACCTGGGTGTTTAAAGAAGATATTTGAAATTTAATTCAATTTGGTCCCTTTTGGC